TTTCATAACATTATGTTTTATCAGTATTTCTCGTAATAATTTATTTTTCTATACAAAGATACAAACTAATTACTATTTAACAAAACTATTTGCGTTCCGCAGCTTCACCTGATTCGTCGTGATGGAAACAAGGGTTGTGCTGGTTAGCTCATCATATAATCATCATCATTACAGCCTTTCATAAGTCCACTGCTGAACATAGGCCTCCCCCAAGGAATGCCACAAAGCACGGTCCTCAGCCATCTGCATCCATCGACTTCCTGCATGTCTTACCAGGTCGTCACTCCATCTCGTGGGAGGTCGTCTTACACTTCGCCTACCGGTACGAGGCTGCCACTCAAGAAACTTTCTTTCCCATCGGTTGTCGGTTCTTCGAGCTATATGGCCGGCCCACTGCCACTTCAGCTTATTAATCCGTTGGGCTATGTCGGTTACTCTGGTTCTACCGCGGATATACTCATTTCTAAGTTTATCACGCAGAGGAACCCCTAGCATAGGCCTCTCCATAGCTCGCTGAGCGACCTTGAGCTTCCTCATACGGCCAGCAGTGAAGGATCACGTCTCAGATCCGTAAGTCATCACTGGCAACACGCACTGGTTGTACAATTTCGTTTTGAGATTTTGAGGTATGTCTGACGAGAAGATGTGTCGTAGTTTCCCGAACGCTGCCCAGCCGAGTTGAATCCGTTGATTGACCTCTCGGTCGAAGTTGGACTTACCTAGTCGGACCCAGGTAAACATACTCGTCAACAACTTCGAGCTAAGTGCTCCCAACAACTACCGGCCTAGGTGTGACATAGACATTAAACATGATCTTTGTTTTGTCCATGTTCATCCTAGTACCTATTCATTGGGAGACACTATTGAGGTCATTGAGCATGGTGCTTAGGTCCTCTGGCGATTCTGCCATAAGGACTATATCGTCGGCAAATCGAAGGTGAGTGATATACTCGTCATTGATGTTAATACCGTATCATTTCCAGTTCAGAAGCTTGAAAACGTCTTCCAATGCAGCGGTGAAGAGTTTCGGGGATATAACATCACCCTGTCTTACACCTCTCTGAAGTTGGATAGGTTTCGTACTCTGGTTCTGTACTCGGATAGCCATCGTAGTTCTACTGTACATACACTTCAGCACTTCGATATACCGACAGTGAACTTGGCACCGCTGAAGGGACTGCAGTACCGCCCAATTTTCGACGGAATCAAAGGCTTTCTCATAGTCCACATACGCCAGACATGAAGGCAAATTGTACTCCTCGGACTTCTGTACTATTTGTCGCAGAGTATGTATGTGATCTATGGTGTACCCCTTTCGGAAACCGGCTTGTTCGGGAGGCTGGAAGTCGTCCAGTCTGCGCGCGAAACGATTCGTAATGACTCTCGAAAACAGCACGTAGACACGGCTCAGAAGGGAAATCGGTCTGTAGTTCTTCAAGAGAGCGTTGTCATCTTTCTTGAAGAACAAGACCACCGCACTTCTGCTCCACGCCTCCGGTGTAATGCCACCATGGAGGACGGAATTAAAGAGCTTCACAAGGACTTCAAGTACCGGTTTTCCACTCGCTTTCAGAAGCTCTGCTGTAATTCCATCCTCGCCTGGGCCTTGCCGTTTTTAAGGTGCTGGAGAGAGAGAGATTCTAATCTCACTCAGACTGACGTCCGGGATATCTTCGGAATAGTGTCGGATAAGACTCGCTCTTGGATCGTTACTCACACTTGCGTGTGGCTCCAACGATGAGGTGTACAGATGCCCATAGAACCTCTCAATCTCACTCAAAATCTCACGTGCCCAGGAAACTATGCTGCCACACTCGGTCTTCAGCCTTGACAGTTGGCTCTTTCTGGCAGACAGATCTCTGGCAAAGACTTTGGAGCCCTGGTTCCGATCGATCGCTTCTTCAATACAAGCTGTATTGAAGTTGCGTAAGTCCCGCCGCATGCATTTGGAGATCTGTCTGTCCAGTTGCCTGTATGCTGTCAAATCTGTTGAAGAATTTAGCTTCATCTCCCGCCTAACAGCCATGAGATTGAGAGTGTGACCGGAGAGTGTTTGTGTTCTTCTGCGGCGGGTCTTGCAGAGCTTAGCTCCGACCGCATGGAAAGTTTCCACGAGCTTGTCATTCATATCGTCTACTTCATTGCAGTCTTCTAGGCACTGTAAACGGTTTTGTAACTCGAGTTGAAAGGTTTCGGGACTTTGGAACAGAGCACGAGGGGGACGGAGCGTTGACTTCAATAGACGAGACCTCTCCAACTTAACGTTTAGATTCAGTGTGCCTCTAACCATTCGGTGATCGCTACTAGTTTTCACCCTCACGATCACGGATACATCACTGAACAGTTGTCGTCTGGTCGTCATAATGAAGTCAATCTCATCTTTTGTAGAACCGTCGGGGCTCGACCAGGTTCACTTCCTGTGGGGCCGCTTCTGGAAGAAAGAGTTCATCATAAAGAGTCCCTTTCTCCATGAAGTCGGCCAGCTGCTGGCCCCTTGGGTTCCGTTGCCCTATTCCAAATTTCCCTACTTTCAGCTCACCGTTCTCTGTTGTGCCCAGTTTTGCATTGAAGTCTCCCATTAACACCGTATATTGGGGTTTGGAGGAATGCATGGCTCTAGAGTTATCCTCATACATTTCCTCCACCTCCTCACCGGGGTGTGCCGGAGTTGGTGCGTAAACCTGTATGACCTTCAGCGAATACCGTTTGGTCATTCTGAGTATAAGGTACGCAACCCCCGTCGACACACTCTCAATCTTTACAACGTTGTTAACGAGAAACTTATGGACGAAAAATCAGACACCTCCTTGGGACAGATGGTCGCCGTCCCGATGATAGAGCAAGTTGCCGGATTCGAGGATTACCGTGTCCTCCCCCTCTCTTCGGACTTCGGATAATCCTATAATATGCCAGCGTAACTTGTCTATCTCTTCTTCCAGCTCCACGATCTTCTCGTCAGTCCTCAGGGTGCGTGCATTGTATGTTGGCAGGTCGAGTCGTCTTAGGTGGCAACCGAAACTCCACCAGAGATTCTTAGCACCTCCTACCCCGCCGTTACCATTGTCGCCACCGTAGCCAGGAATAGCGGGGCCACCGGGGACTGGAGGCCGTTACTTTGTTACTCTCATCATAGGGGGGTATTTGCCATAGTTGCCACGCTTAGCGAGCGGGTTGGCAACCGCAGTTTTTTTTATTGTAAGTTTGTTGTTATCAGGAAGATGCTGCTGCCCATCTCCTGTCTGTTTCCCTTTGTCGCCTTTTACGACGCCCACGAGAAGATATGGGGTAGTGGATATTCTTAACCGCCACTACACGGCACGGCTGGTTAGCTAATTTTACTATATTTTACATATAGTAGTATCTCAGGGATTCCGCTTAAAATAATTGATAGGGGGTTGAACAAAATAAATAAATAAAACAGATTAACACTCACTGTCCGGTTTTCAGACACAATAGTAAGACAATAGCAATGACTTATATGTAGTGCACGGGACAGCGAAAGGGTTAAAATAATACGTTGGTTCTGTTTATTCAACCGCCTCGTTACATATGTGCAACCGACAAATATTTATGACATTTATTATTGGGTTTTTTTAATTGTTTTTGTTGAATTTAATAATATAACGAATTCGGATCCTTACATATAATTCAATTAAAAATCGTGATGAATATTTCAAAATAATATCGAGTAATATCACGTTGCTGAGTGAACACGAAAAGCGTGCAACTGATTCCGTGTACGTGACACTCCTAAACGGGCGTACCGGTACGCAAGCGAAGCCAACCGGTACTATTGTTTCTATGACTAATCTATAGGCCAGTCAAGCATGAGGTTTAATAGTGTTTGAGTAAGATAATCTTAAATTATAAGAATATAATTTGATATCTTATTATCTTCTACATTTCTTATATCTTATACACCGTTTGCCGTGTAGTGGCTGTGTAAGACAGCCGAGGGAGAAAATTGGAAGAAAAATAATATACGAATTCCGATTACCCACCCCGTCTGGGGTGAATAAACGAACACGCGTTTCCGACTATTCACCCTAGGGCGAATTTCTTAGGGTGGATAAACGGAATAACCCGAATATCCACTACCTTATATTGTCCCATGGGTGTCGTAAGAGGCGTCAGAGGGAAACTGAAACAAGATGAGCAGCAGCACCTTCTTGATAACAACTCAAAATAATAAAGAATACTAGGGTTGCCAACCTTCCTGGTACGCATGGCAACTATGGCAGAATCCCCGCTATGAGGCATTATATGGGAGAAGAATGGATGGATGTTTATTATACAATTTTGCTTATTGAAGCTAAAACTGATGGATTTTGCAAATATTATTGTAAAGGATAAACATTTATATGCTTATCAACTCGCAAACTGTCAACCGATGAACATAGCTTAAAAAAATAATAGCTTTACCGTTTTAGGATTTTCCGTAATCCTCACTTGGCAGGGATATTAGTAGTGATCATAATCTAACTGCATCACTTACCATGTCGTCACTGAATTTAGTGGAGAGACGCCTTACACTTCGCTTACCGGTACGAGGCTAGCAACCAGAATCTCCCCTCGGGGAAGATGTTAAAAGGGCCTTGATTATAGGGTTATTCCTAAAGCGATCCCAAGAATGTACACGAGTTGCAGTGATGAGTTAACACACTGCTTTGATTTTTTACATAAACTAATTCAAAGAGAATAAATAAAACAACGGAAATGAAAGCAGAAAATAATTATTATTAAATAAGAGGAACACTAAGAGTGATTACAATTCAAACATTAAATTTCGATATAGGATTACATGAATAAAATGTCTGTTACATAAACGACTCAATTATTAAATACCACGACACTAGGGGTCAAGCTCGTAAGTGAAAGCGATGTGCAGTGATTTGATACAATTTGCTTTGAAAATGGTCTGTATAGTGAAAGGAGTAAAGTTCGTTCTAGCATGCCATGCAGCCGTTGTAACTGAGGCAGTAGGGCACGAAAAGCCTTCCTCAAGGTTGTTCGTCTAAGAGCGCCTGGAGGAAGGCGTCAGGGTCAGGGATGTCCTCGAGAAAGCCGGCCGCGTCGCAGAATTCCGCAAACGAGGCACACGGCAATAATTCATCCGTAAGTGTGGTGACAATGCGCTCAGCGGCTTTCGCATTCGCTTCGTCGTTATGGCGAATGTACTCTGCCAACTTGATCGGCCACTGTTCGACTGTGGTTGCAGCGACATTCTATAAAAGAAAATTTCGTTAAATTTGTTTTCTGATTTCAGATTACAGTTTTACGTTGTAGTCACACTGCAGCTATACTACGGTTGTAAAACGAATGAGTCGGCTCGACCTAGAAAGACCACCTTCTCACATAATAAAAGCATAAAATAGCAGCTTAATGCTGTTGTATTTCGTATACTCAGTGTAGAGAACCGAATACCTTTTTTACTGGAAACGAGATATTTCATCTTAGTCCTGGGTGACAACGCGTCCGCATTTTGATTCTAGACGAGGATAGCTATCTGATAAATGTCTATGGGCTGCAGTATCATCAGTTGAACTGCGTGTATGCTTGTCACCCTTATTCTATTAAAAAATCTATTATTTTTTTACTTATTATAAATCCAGTGTTTGACTACAATTTTAGCTGGTGGTAAGTGGTGAAGAAGCCCTAGTTGGTAAATCGCGTTATCTTAAAGTAATAAAAGCCTATTCACTCTTGCCTTGAAGATTGTAATCGGAAGAAAGGACAGACACCGACAAATTATTCCACCTCTTTGCTGTAAGCATTACGAAAGACAAGGTCAACCGTTTGGGTCGAATGCGTGAAATATCTATCGACATTAATAGGGTGAAGGCCCGCCGATAGCAGAGTTGTCCTATGGTGAAAATAAGAGGGAGGAATTATTTAAATTGGCAAACCGCCAATGCAATTAACTTCTCCTAAAGGCTTCTTTTTAATAATTTACTAAAGACCCGCTCATGCATAGCATATATGTTTTTTTTAAGTAATATTCGTTATAAAAATCATATATCCGCATATGGAAATTAAACAAATTGATGAATTAAAAATATAAAAGAGAGAGAGAGAGAGAGAGAGAGACCTAAGAATTGTGTTATTCGTGGATTGGGGACCAAATAACTATTTCTACTTTTTAAAAATTAAAATATCATTACATATACACATATACAATTTTAGCATATTGTACTCACGGATGTATTAAGTTAAATAAGAAACATGTTACTCCCAAATATACGCACGCACGCACGTTTAAATTAAGGAAATGTTCGTCGCGTTGTGTTAATGAGTGTTGATGGACTTTACATGTTTTTGAAATATTATACGTGTCTGCTCACGATGTTTTCCTTCACATCGGCGGTGAATAGTGATAAACCAGCACTTAAAATTACAATTAACAATTTCATAAAATTATATTCAAGATCTGTGGTGATAGGTTAGGGGCTGAGTGCCCGCTCTAAAATTTATAGTATTCAAGCAGTCCGGGTCTGATTCCTGCTGACATTAACGTATTTACGGATTTTATCGCGCATAATTTATGTTTTATTTTTAAATTCTTAAAGTTTCGGATGTTTTACAGTACCCATGGTCACGAGGGGGTGGTGGACTGAAGTATTTGACGTCCTTAAAATTCGTAAAAATAATTTTATTCAATGTGTAGTATGCGCCTAAATATAATAAATAATAGAATAGGCGAACCCCCAGTTTGTTTTGATTTGGCTAGTGTTGAAAAATGCGAAAACGTCTTTAAATAGCGACTGACGTTTACTCGTATCAGTATCCGCAATTTGTTTGACAGGTGTCGCTTGTTGCTCTGCAAGCACAGAGGTGTGTAGTATAATTTTATTTCATATAATTATTTTCAGTTTTGGTGAAATGTTCGACGAGTAGTGGTGGTATAAGCGAGCGTACCTTGAACATGACAGAGTAGAGCAGGTCGAGGAGCGCGACGAAGAGTGCGTAGGGCTTGTAGTCGGTCCAGGCGCGCGGCGAGCGCTGGTCGGGCGGCAGCGCGCGCAGCGGCGGCCCGCCCGGCGCCGCGCCGCGCGCCTGCGCCGCCACCAGCACGCGCCGCAGCGTGCTCACGCGCACCGCGCGCCATCTGCAACACGCATACACTTACATTTATGTATACCCTTATATTTCTTCTGTCGGTGTGTATGTCACTCAACTAAACGGCTGGACCGATTTTGATGAATTATGTGTGTGATTAAGTTGATACGAAAATGATTTATATTCACAATTAGACCCGGTAGGTGGTGCTATTGTCGATATCCAAAAATCAAACATGACAAGCCAATTCATCAAAAACTTCTATGTATACTACTAGACGGGCAGTACGGTGCCACATTGCGCACTAATCTGTTACGCTCAATTCTATACAACTGTATAATCGACTATGAGCGGACGAGAACGTTTTTTCCGCAATATAACACTGATTTTGTTTAACATGAAAAAAAACGCTTTCATTGTTTATGTGCGCACAAATTTATTTTCGACTAAAAACCGAAACTGACGTAAATAAAAAATTACATCTGCGTGGCACATTTACTGTACCAGCAACCAGCCTCTACGACGACTGTGTGTATGACATGTACCTCCCCTACGAGACTATCCTTGGGGAAGGCCCATTGTTCACCAGTGGACTTTTGATAGATTACAATAATATTATACATAGGAAGGACACACTGAGTTGCAGAATTACCCTCTGCTTGGTAAAATAAGCACATAAACCAATCGTCCTTATGTTTTCAAATATAGTTTGAATTAAAGAAACTGTTTAAAATTAAATGAAGAATACTTTAATAAGCAGAAAAGACATTAAATTACATATAAATTGTTTTATGTGTTGTAACTTTCATAATACACCCCACGTACACATCGATTACGAGATAGCCTTGCTATAAGTATATCATGGTTATAATATGAATGGGTCGGCTCGTGCAAGGCACGCCCCTAACAAATACCAGCGGAAAATATTAGCTTAATGCTGTTGTGTTTCGAAGTATTCCATCTTATTCCTGTAAAAAAATTGATTCATACTCATTCGTATTATTGTCACTGTCGACATATGAGATTCAGTAACGTCCACAACCCTAACACGTTAATTAAAGAGGAACATATATATGATTTTTACGTCACAATACACCTTTAACAGCACCCTGTAGACAGTACCCGAATTTAAACTCTTAAAGGTACAGACTGCTATCTTAAAATATCGTGAGTTCTGTGTGTCGTGAATCACTACTAACACAGATAGCTTAAACCTAACTTGGGAGGAACTCGACCTAGCCCACATGAAGTGGACCTGGTCAAGCCCAGACGGTTCGACAAAAAGTGAGATTGACTTCATTATGACAACCAGACGACAACTGTTCAGTGATGTCTCAGTGATCGCGAGGGTGAAAACCGGCAGCGATCACCGAATGGTGAGAGGCACACTGAACCTAAACGTTAAGTTTGAGAGGTCTCGTCTATTGAAGTCAACGCTCCGTCCCCCTCATGCTCTAATCCAAAGTCAGAAACCTTTCAGCTCGAGCTACAAAACCGTTTTCAGTGCCTAGAAAATTGCAATGCAGTTTTTAGTAGATTTGACAGCATGCCTGTATGCTAAACTGAACAGACAAATCTCCAAATGCACGCGGCGGGACTTACGCAGCTTTAATACTGCATGTATTGAAGAAGCGACTGAGTGGAATCCGGGCTCCAAAGTCGTTGCTAGAGATCTGTCTGCACAAAAAGAGCCAACTGTCGAAGCTGAAGACCGAGTGTGGCAGCGTCGTTTCTGGGACACCTGAGATTGTGAGTGAGATTGAGAGGATCTATGGGCAACTGTACACGCTATCGTTGGAGCCACACGTAGGTGTGAGTAACAATCCAAGAGCAAGTCTTATCCGACACTATTCCGGCGATATTCCGGACGTCAGTCTGAGCGAGATTAGAATGGCTCTCCAGCACCTTAAAAACGGCAAGTCCCCGGGCGAGGATGGAATTACAACGGAGCTTCTGAAAGCGGGTAGAAAACCGGTACTTGAAGTCCTTCAGAAGCTCTTTACTTCCGTCCTCCATGGTGGCACTACTCGGGGGCGTGGAGCAGAAGTGCGGTGGTCTTGTTCTTCAAGAAAGGCGACAATGCGCTCTTGAAGAACTACAGACCGATTTCCCTTCTGAGCCGCGTCTACGTGCTGTTTTCGAGAGTCATTACGAATCGTCACACATGCAGACTCGACGACTTCCAGCCTCCCGAACAAGCTGGTTTCCGAAAAGGCTTTAGCACCATAGACGAGAGAGAAGTCCGAGGAGTAAAATTTGCCACTATGTCTGGCGTATGTGGACTATGAGAAAGCCTTTGATTCCGTCGAAATTTTGGCGGTGCTGCAGTCCCTTCAGCGGTGCCAAGTTGACTGTCGGTATATCGAAGTGCTGAAGTGTTTGTACAGTAGAGCTACAAAGGCTATCCGAGTACAGAACCAGAGTACGAAACCTATCCAACTGCAGAGAGGTGTAAGACAGGGTGATGTTATATCCCCGAAACTCTTCACCGCTGCATTGGAAGACGTTTTAAAGCTTCTGGACTGGAAAGGATACGGTATTAACATCAACAGCGAGTACATCACTCACTTTCGATTTGCCGAAGATATAGCCGAATCGCTGGAGGACCTAAACACTATGCTCAATGACCTCAATAGTACCTCCCAACGGATAGGTTTTAAAATGAACATGAACAAAACAAAGATCATGTATAACGTCCATGTCACACCTATGCCGGTAGTTGTTGGGAGCACTAAGCTCGAAGTCGTGACGAGACTTCGACAAATAGTCCGACTAGGTAAGTCCAACTTCGACCGAACGGTCAATCGACGAATTAAACTCGACCGAGCAGCGTTCGCGAAATTGCGGCAAATCTTCTCGTCAGGTGTACCTCAAAAAAAAAGAAAACGAGGCTGTACAATCAGTGCGTGTTGCCAGTGATGACCTATGGAACTGAGACGCCTTCACTGCTGGTCAGATGAGGAAGCTCAAAGTCGCTCAGCGAGCTATGGAGAGCTATGGCGAGCTATGCTCGGAGTTTCTCTGCGAGATTAACTTAGAAATGAGTATATCCGCAGTAGAACCATACCCAACATAGCCCAACGGATTAGTAAGCTGAAGTGGCAATGGGCCGGCCATATAGTTCGGAGAACCGACAACCGATGGGGAAAAAAGATTCACGAGTGGCAGGCTCGTACCGGCGGACGAAGTGTAGGGCGTCTCCCCACTAGATGGAGTGACGACCTGGTAAGACATGCAGGAAGCCGATGGCTGCAGGTGGCTCAGGACCGTGCTTTGTGGCATTCCTTGGGGGAGTCCTATATTCAGCATTGAACTAGTGAAGAGCTGTAATGATGATGATGATAATGATGATGATGACGACGAATTTGGAAGTTGGTTAGCGAGAATATTAGTAGCGTTATTAGTATTTAAAAAAATATCTTACTTGGCGTGTGGGTAGAGAAGAAGTGTGAGCGTGGCGAAGTACAAGGGTCCGTCAGCGTCGTGCGCAGATTCGAGCAGTCGAGCCGGCGCCCAGTTTAGCGAAGTCTCCAGCGCGGTTAACTCACGTCCCGCCACGCGCGTTCTGTATGTAAACGAAAATATTTACTTACTATGAATGTTTACAAAATAATAGTTATAATATACCCAATGTTTCAGCTAATCTATTAAAGGCGGTGATGGAAAACCGATTTTAAATTTCGTTACGGTTCTAAGACGGGTTATAGTTTTCGATTCAAACAAAACTAAAATCTACATTCACTCCATAAATTCAAATAAGTTAAAACGTATTCTGCTCGTGGACCGCCAAAATAATGCCCAAAGTTTTTCATTCTTTATTTACATCATTTAAGTTCAGTTCGATTTCTATTGCCATAACTGATATGTATAATATGAGACCGGTTCCTTAACAAAATTTTTAAACTTTTACATTTATAAATGTTGCCCTATAATATGCCTTAGATTTAAGAGGTTTTATAAAAAGGTTTTTGCAGCCAGTCACGTCGTTCAAAGCTACCGAGAGCGTGGTAAAGTCGTTATGCCTATTTACGAAATACACCTGCAAGGCATCCGACTTCTCTTGAAACAATCTGCATTTCATATCCAAGCACTTAAAATTAACTGTATACGTGTGTGTCTATGTATATGGATATGTGTGTACATACGTATGTGATTATGCTTGCGTGCACGTGTGTGCGTGTGTGTGCGTGTGTGCGTGCGTGCGTGCATAACGTGCAACTGACGTGTTAATAACGTAGAGCGCCATGTGCACGAGCGCGGGCACCAGCTGCATGTTGGAGAGCGGGCCGCCGCCGCCCGTGTCGTCGTGGAACGTGCGGCCGCGCGCGAACCGCAGCAGGAGCAACTTCAGGTCGTGGATCGTGCACGTGTGCCCGATGTCACGGTGCCCCGTGCACTCCTGACCACATACGTACATATTAATGGACATTATAAATTTGCAACAACATAGCTTGAAAATAAAAATCTAATTACATTTCTTTTCATAACTTACATAATATACTCTTAAATATTAGTTTTAAATTTCAGGATTATGATAACTGGTTTAAAGCTATAATATACTTAAAAAACAATAATTTAATCAATTTCAATTTCTACCACGGTCTACCTTCTTTCGGTCATCGTTTATATATGACTCAATTACCTGCACATTTTTTCTGATGATTTAGTCACAAGTATTAAAACAGCATATTTTACGTTCATCATCCACATAAAAAGTCATAAAAGGATTACCTTGTGATTTTTTTTACATTAATTTTGAAATTCTTAGGAAAACATGTAAACACAAACCTGTAAGTACGTTGTGTGTCTAGCAAGGCAACTTGCAAATGCAGATTCCGGTACGTGCGGTCCCCACAGAGGCAGTAGGCCGTTGCACCGCGTCGATGCGTTTTGTAGGGCCGCGCTCTCCCATTCATCTCTATAAAATTATTGTTTATTAGTACATGAGGTACACTTACAATTTATTTATATACTCAATTCTGAGAACTATATATCATAAACGATCAAATTTTCAAAAAGTGAGATTATCCAAAATATTTGACTGGAAGAGAATGCTAAAAGACATTATGTCTGTTCTTTTTTATTAAGACATTTTACAATAACTATAAATAAATATGACAGTGGATAGGGTTGGTTTGTTTTGTATTTACCCCTTAGTAGTATGCCCTTTTCACGCTTACCATATTAGATATTTGGTCGAAGTCATATATACAAAGGGTGGACTAATGCATATATCTCAACCAAAATTACTCTCAAGCTGGCAGTATTATTTTTTTAAGCAAATAAAATCTATACAAATAAATAAAATTGAAGTGTCTGTTTGTAATGTCAAAATAACAGCTTTTTACTAAATGCATGTGAAAGTATGTACGGTACTGATAACAAAAAAAACAATTTTTAAAATTTTTGTCTGTCTGTCTGTTTGTTCCGGCTAATCTCCGAAACGGTTGGACCGATTTTGATGGGACTCACTGGCAGATAGCTAATGTTATAAGGAGTAACTTAGGCTACTTTTATTTTAGAATAAGAATTAGGGTTCGGCACTCAAAACTAAAACCTATGAAATCCAATCGTAATAAATTCCACGCGGACGAAGTCGCGGGGATCAGCTATTAAGACATAAAATTATATTTATTTATAGCTTAAAGACAAAATTCCTAATTTATAAATAAATATACGAGTAAAAATAGTAGAGTACCTGGCGCGGGCGAGGCGCACGGCGGCCATATGGCACTCGACGTGCACGATGTTGTAGTGCGACACCGTGCTGTAGCCCAGCGTCTTGCGCGCGCGCACCTCGAACTCCTCCACCGGGCACCGCTTCGTGAACGTGTACACGCCCAGCACCTGTACAAACAACACTTACACTTATTTACAATAACTCTTAAAAATAACTATCGATTCTTAAAGATAAGACTTACAGAAAAAAACTATTTATTCCACTTTAAATTCCATTTAAATAAAGTATTGGATAATTTTCCACTGTTTCTATTTATATCTCTGTATTTAGCGCCATTTTTGTGCAACTAAGCGCGCTGCGGCCACCGATAGCGCGGCGCTCACTAACACATACGGGGTGGCGGAGGGGGCGGGGCATGCGCCACATGGCCGCACGTGTTTGCACTCACATTACAAGCGAATACAACTGCCCGCCACCGCAGCCACCACAGCAAGTCGCTTGTGTATGGGAGACGCTTTATACTTCGACAAGTACAGTAGCGAGTTTAGTTAAGAGAGCAGTTGACAGTAAACTGTTAAGTGGGCAGTAGAGTTCAAATGTCTTCGTCAAAAAAAAATACAATTTTATTATTTATTAACTCGCAGAAAAATAGACCGGCCGGCTATCCCGTTCAACTTAATTATCAATTTGCTACTTAACTTACTGATTGCCGTTCAGAAGAGATTTTTACTTAACTCGCCAGGTTCGCAAGTTAATTCGCTGCTGTATTTGTCGAAGTGTAAATCGGCCTAAACACTAGGACAAGATTAAATGTAAGTATATACTGCAAATGTTGTGTTAGTTTTTATACTAAGCGCTACTGAGAATAATATTACTCAAATATTTTCTTATTACTGATCTCTTTTTATTAGATAATGATTTAACTTGCATCCAGCAAGTCAATTTCCCATACTCCAATAAATTTGTAACTCTTTTAATACAGGCACATAGTCACCAGTTCTAAGGTAAAGGTTCAGAGATTGTTCCGAGAATATGACAAAAGGCAGAACTAGTATATATTATGGTCTATTTAAATTTAATTTTCATTTTGAAATATATACCTACCCACCTACGTACATACCTACAAATGTGGCGGCTCTGTCATCGCGCCACGTGCGAAACGAACCGAAGCTTTAATAATGCTATCGTACTTTATGAACGACTTCGACATATTTATATACAATAGTTCCTTCTCGCCCCGCGGAAAATTTCTACTTTTTCTTTCACGACCAAACATTCATACATATAATAACCGTGCGTACATACATGTGGCAAATATGAAAGGATATTATAATTAATGAATGGAAGTATGCTTCGTTCAGTAATGAGTGTGAAATAGTTGAGATTCAATGTAAGAGTGTTGATGAGTCAACGTTAACACGCGAAACGGTATGAACAAAGTGTGAGCTGCGGGGTTAGCCAAGATAACTTTCTATTATCGTTAACGCTATAGAAATTTATAAAAATGAATAGGAATAACGCATCTGAACAGTAAGTCACGTGACATAACGTTGATTTAATTTATTTTTATATTTCCTAAAGCGTTAACGATTGTAGGATGTCATCATGGTTAACTCTGCAGTACTGTACTTGCGGATCGCCATTCGAAGAAACTTGTTTTTTCTATCATCTAGCCCCGCATACATTCAGGCCAAGCTACTGATTGTAAGTGTTGATTGAGTTATGTGAAGTTCGTGCACGCGGCACGCACCTTGGTGGGCTGGTACTTGTAGCCCTCGCGGCAGATGCAGCAGACGGCGCCGGCCTCCTCGGCCAGGTCGGCCAGCTGCTGCGTGAGCGAGCACTGCGCCGTCACCTGGCCGCGCTCGTTGCTGCGCATGCCCAGCGCGCCCAGCTGCCGCTCGCGCACCGCCATCGCCAGCCGCTTCTTCTCCTGACAACACACAGCCACCATAGCGTTTACACAATTGCTTATGTCTAAATCAAAACACTGCCGTATCATCCCGGGTGGTGACAAGTGCTTACTTGTCCTAACTGTACCTAACTTGTAACTGATGTGCGAACGTGTGCGATCTAACGCTTATACATCGTTATCATTATTACAACCTATTAAAGCCCGGTGCTGCACATGGGCCTGTCTCATAGATTGACTACTTACCACGCTTGGCAGGCGGGTTGGCAACGCAATTTTTTCATTATTTTAGTTGTTATCAGATAGATGCTGAAGTCCATCGCCGGTTGTATTTTCCTTTGTCAACGCTTACGACCCCACGGGGTGACACATAGGGTAGCAGATACTCATACGCCGCCACTACACGCCGGACCTTTATTTATTATTATTATATTTTAACTAGGTCAGAGTCAGAAATCGGGGAACAATAACAATTCAAGAGCGGATAACAAACAGTAATTATCTTTGGACAAGTTTTGGCTGTTGTTTGAATTCGTACTTTCTTGGTTCGAAGTCACACGAAATAGCCATGTATTCTGACCTCTATCTTAGGCCATCGACAACTACTGACATGATATTCATATTTTTACACTCGTGAGCAACGAAAATGTAACAATCTAAATTTAAAATAGCACAGTTTATATATTCCTTGTATTATAAAAATTTTTCAGTAGCCTACATAGTAAGTGGTCACTGCAGCTACTACACATATAAATTATTTTGCTCATGTTCTGTTTATTTTAGCACAATTTCTTAGTTACGCCCTTAGTTAAGTGCGACTGAATGGCAAAATGCATTAATATCCGACCGTTATCTTGTCCTTTTATTTAAGAGGATACCCTGGCGCCGTTTAGTTCATACCAATGTTTTCTCCTGGATAATGACACTAGAGCAAATATTTTTTTACGATACAATATATGTATCACTGCCATGTTCCTAAGTTTTATGCACATAAAGCAATTATTTTAAAATGTAGGAAACTTCTAAAATTACTAAAATTGGCCAGTCATACCACCGTTATTAGACATCCAGCAAACAAATTTAACGAACAAAAAATCACTCTTATATTATACTTGAAGAAAATTAAAATTAGTCCCGTTTTGAAGCAGGACAGTAACATGAGACGATGATTTCGTAAATTTTTGAAGATAAAATCAGTCAGAGTTGCAACTGTCCTCCCTCGATTTTCCAACTCTGTTGTTCGGGTACAACGCGACAGCAATATATCTGTTGCAAACTGATTTTTCAAATGTCTTGCAGCCTAAATATGGAGGATATAAAATGAACGAGTTTTTTTTTATAGGGTAAGGGTGACAAACGAGTCCACCTGATGGTAAGTGGTTGCTGTGGCCTATAGACATCTACATCTATCCTCGATTACGAATCGAAATGCAGATGCGTTGTTACCCGTGAGGACTAAGATGAAATACCTCGTTTCCAGTAAAAAGGGTCTCCGGTTCTCTTACACTGACCATACGAAACAGCTTTTCGTATGGTGAGTTAAGCTGCATTTTGCGCTGGTATTCTGTGAGTGCGTGGTCCTTCGCCGGTCGAACCGACCCATTCGTCTACAACTATAACAGTAATAAAGCTGCAGCATGGCTCTACCACGTAAGAAAGCACTTCACATTTTATTGTTAAGCTGGCTCTATTACTCTGACGTCTGAACATAACAATAAGTGCACTGCTGGTTTTGACAGAAATTCCTGCAAATAGAACCAAATGAAGTAGAAACATACTCTTCAATCTTAAATAACTAACCTGTCGTGTAAAGTCGCGCACTTGCTGCACTTTTGCGGCGCACTGCGGTTGAGAGCGCAGCGCTTCTAATAGATTCTCAGCGAGAGAGCCCACATGTTCGCCTGATGACACTTGCTCTAAACGGTGTACGATCGGTATCACCTTCTCGCACACTAACATCTACAAATAAGACATTTCAAATAATTTTGCGAATCTTTAAAACCCTTAAATGAAGAATAAACAGTATACTAATTTGAATCTTATGGTACACAAATTAAGACAGACAATAAGATGTAAGAAGGCAAGCCTGTGTTACCTGTGTTGGTTCATGGTCTGTGGCGAGTCCAGTGAGGAAGCGTAGTATATACTTCAATGCAGGCCGGCTAATAAACTCTTTCAACTCATCAGAGTCTGTGCACACGAGCGTTGGTTTCACACACGGCGCGTGTTTCTGATAAGAAAACGTGCAATTATTTAATTTATATTGTATTTAAACAAATAGAAACGCTACATAAATTTAATAAGTAAACTTAAAAGGCTAATGTCGCTTAATATTCTTCAAACAATAACTTACCACTATATATTCCAATGCATCGCGGACCACGCCTAACGATATGAGATAATCTTTGAGTGTCCCGCCGATTGAATTTCTTTCGATATTAGCGCAGAGAACGCAGAATAGTTCCATACGGAACTCTTCTTCTGTCCATTGTTCGGAGTCCAACTTGTCGAAATCTAGTACCGGTTTAAAGTGGTCAACCAGCATCGCCATTTTGAGATCGTTACCATACACCAAAGCCGCCAATACGCGGGTCAAGTGGCCAAGTGCAACAGAGTTGTTCCGTATACCTACAAAACATTATTAGTTAAAATTCTATTAATACAAATATATTATTACGACCCTATTTACAGTTAATCTTCTTTGTATTTTTAGGTTTTTTATATACAAGTAGGGATCAGAAAACGAACTGTTATATCCCTTTTTACAACGCAGTTAAATCTTAGTAAGCATTTATTCAATCCCACGGTACTTTTCCTATATATGACGTCAATCAGTAATTGCATTGTTCTTTTCCATATTAATTTCATTCCATTTTACAGTCAGTTAGATTCAGAGCCCCGGGTAGATCGGACATAGATTCCGATACGTATTAGAGTTCGGAAGTCAGGGTTAATATTAATTGTGTGTGTAAACTTTTTATAATAAACCCTTAGGTTTACCTTGTGGTTTTTTTTAAAAAGTCAAACGGGATCGGCCTCCTAACAAATTGGTGTCAGAAGTGGGATGCCAAACAGAAAGTCATTGAAGACATTGGCATCCGAATCCGAGGTCCCCGAAATCATCAAGGTCGACATTAAGCCTTAGCCGTGCCTAAGCCTGCACCTACCACAATTTTGGACGACGATCAGCCTCCGCTCTGAAGCGTGAGCCCGCTCCACTTACACCTGGTCCTGAAATCTCCCGTCTGGCCGACGATAAGTCTCCACCAGGAGCCCGCACCAGCTGGATCTAACTCACCAACAAAAATTATTTCAAGAACTTTCTACGCCTTCCGGTCCTGCTATTTCCCACGACTGGACGGAGTCACCGCGTCAGCGATCTCGCCTGCCAGCCGCCACGAGTGTAACGTTTCACCTAGCTATTGTTACGACGCTTAAATGCTACGTGTAGAAATTATTACCATTCTGTAAGTCATTTTGTATTCTGTTTAAATTTAAAATTTACTTTTATTTTACACTGTTTCTGTACTATTACCAATCTTTTACGTTGTTTTATTGTGATTATTTTATATAAGTTTAATATTTAAAATTTAATTCTATGTCGCTTAAAGCAGAAAATATGTCGGAAAGAATCACGCTTTCATTCTTGACGAAATTTATAAAATCCTATAATGGGGAGAAAGATTCCCTACCCGCTTTTCTTACAAACTGCGACAATGCAATGTCGTTAGCTACACCAGAACAACAGCCTATTCTGTGCAAATTCATCATCTCACAACTAGAGGGAAAAGCACAAGTTGCATGTAGTTTAAAAACCTTTGAAACATGGAATCAGATAAAATCATTTCTCCGTTCTACTTTTGGGGAGAAAAAACACGCGACACATTTACTATCAGACTTGCAAAACTGTAAACAGTCATCCGAGGACGTCACTAAGTTTTCTTTAAAATTAGAACAAATTTTAACAAAAATTCAATCAGATATACACTATAGTTGCAAAAACGCTGATGAGCTTCCAGGTAGAATAGCCGCCATGGAGGATCTAGCATTAAATACATTTTTGTTAGGGTTAAATCCTGCTATTTCTACTATTGTTAGATGTAGGAACCCTCAAACTCTAAATGAAGCTGTTCAATTAGCGATAGAAGAGGAAAAATTACAAAATCTCCAAACGTGTTCAAAAAATTCAATAAAACAGTGTAGTATATGTAATAAAGTAGGCCATGTTGCTATTCAATGTTTTAAAAATAAAAAACATTCTAATTATAATCATAATAAACAAATTTCGCATTTATCTAGTTCTAATTCTGGTAAATTAATGTGTAATTATTGCAAAAACATAGGCCACACTATTGATCAATGTAGAAAGCGACAATATAATATGCAACAACGTCAAAATTTTAATAAAAACTTTAATCATAACTCTAATTATATAAATCGTAGCCCAAATAATAATTCTAATTTTATAAGTCGTAACCCTATTTCCAATTCTAGTTCCAACTCTGTGCCTATGCACATGACATGTGATAACGACGACGCTGTCGATAACTCTAACTCTTTAAACTGAATAAGATTTCGGATGCGTGTCTGCCGAAATCGTACTATCGTAACGACACGAAAACAATTAATACTACTTTTTCTACTAAATCTTATAAAAATCCTTATGCTAAATCTTATTCTAATTCTTATTCTAACTCATCTCGGCAATGCTTTAGCAAGCAACCGAGTCATTCTAGCTCATTTACATCTCAGTTACCCAAAGAGGAACTGAGTCATTATAAGTCTATTACATCTCAGCAACCCAAAGAGGTGAAGCTGAGTCTTGCTAGTTCTTATGCATCTCAGTTGACCAAAAAGGCACAACCGAGTCCTACTAAATCGTTTACTATATCTACATCTCAGCAACCCAAAGAGGTGAAGCTGAGTCTTGCTAGTTCTTATGCATCTCAGTTGACCAAAAAGGTACAACCGAGTCCTACTAAATCGTTTACTATATCTTCATCTCAGCAACCCAAAGAGGTTAAGCCGAGTCTTAATGAATCTTATTCTAATTCTATTCCTATCTTTGAAACGAGCATAAATACATGCAAAGTTTCGTTACCATATACAAATTTATTTACAAAATATTCTCCTAAGTGTCTCAAACTTCTTATCGATACCGGCGCGAGTGTCTGTGTCATCAAACACTCATGTTTAAAAATGAAACATGAACTTCTTAAGGATAAAATAAGAATCAAAGGTATAAATGATACGGATACATATTGCGAAACGCTAGGCTCAATCTACTTACAATTTTTATTAAGTGATGAAACTTACGAGTATAAATTCTACGTTATTAACGATAATATAAATCTTAATTACGACGGTATTATTGGTACAGATTTTCTTAAATATTTCAATGCTAATATAGATTATAGCTCTAAGATAATGACTCTGTGTGGTTACCAAGTTCCCATTATATTTCATCAGCCAACATACATCGTTCCGGCACGCTCAGAAGCCGTCATTGAATGCGCTATATCAAATTACTCGGTCGAGCTTTATCACAATAATGAAGGCTTAGTTCTAGATCATACCTTAAGCGAGGGTATTTACGTCGCGAATTGTATTGTGTCAATAAAACCAAACAAAAAAGTTAACATCACCGTTTTAAACACGACTGACACAGACTTAGAAATTAAAGATTATTTCGTAGAATTGACACCGATCGATTATAATAATTCTATTTCCTGCGAAAATCCTATATCTAGTAAATGTTTATATTCTATTTCTACTTCTAAATCTAATCGAATAGATCGAGTATTAAGTCTTTTACGCTGCTCCCATCTCAACGATGAAGAAAAGAAAGCACTTTTAAATTGCTGTTCCGATTATACGGATATCTTTCACCTCGAAGGTGAACCCCTTTCGTTTACGAATGGCATCCAACATTCCATAGATACGGGTAACGCGGCCCCAGTTCACGTAAAATCATATCGCTTCCCTGAGTGTCATAAGGAAGAAGTCGATACACAAATTCGCAAAATGCTAAATCAAAACATAATTCGTCCCTCTGTTTCGCCTTGGAGCGCCCCTGTATGGGTAGTCCCGAAAAAATTAGACGCTTCTGGCAAAAGAAAGTGGAGAATAGTCATTGACTATCGCCGTCTTAATGATATCACAGTTTCTGAAAGTTATCCCCTGCCTCTTATCACTGATATCCTAGATCAATTAGGCCATTCCAAGTATTTCACAACCCTTGATCTTGCCAGCGGTTTCCACCAAATAAAGATGGATCCTAAAGATGCCCCAAAAACGGGATTTACTATAAGTACTAATTCGAGCATGTCTGGTCACTACGAATTCACTAGAATGCCCTTTGGTTTAAAAAACGCTCCTTCTACCTTCCAGCGCCTGATGAATACTGTCTTATCAGGTTTGCAAGGTCTACACTGTTATGTTTATCTAGATGATTGCATAATTTATAGTCATAATTTAAATGAACATATGGAAAAATTAAAACTAGTATTCAATAAGCTGCGCGAATACAATCTAAAATTGCAACCAGATAAGTGCGAATTTTTAAGACGTGAAGTAACTTATCTTGGTCATATTATCACCGATAAGGGTGTCTCTCCTAATCCAGAAAAAGTAAAAGCAGTGTCACAATTTCCAATTCCTAAGAGCCCTAAAGAAATTAAATCCTTCCTAGGCCTAATAGGCTATTATCGCCGATTTCTTGATAATTTTTCTAAATTGACAAAACCACTGACTTCTTTATTAAAAAGGGATACTACTTTCCACTGGTCTCAAGAACAACAAATTGCTTTCGATGTTTTAAAAGAAAAATTAATCACTGCTCCGCTGCTCCAATATCCAGATTTCTCTCAACCGTTCATAGTAACTACAGATGCAAGTAATTATGCCGTAGGTGCAATCTTATCCCAAGGTCCTGTAGGCAAAGATAAACCGATAGCTTATGCATCACGTACTCTAAACCGTCCCGAAGGCAATTATTCAACTACCGAAAAGGAACTTCTAGCCATTCTATTCGCAGTCAAAACGTTTCGTCCTTACCTCTACGGTAATAAATTCAAAATAGTTACCGATCATAGACCATTGGTATGGCTATTCAATGTCAAAGACCCAGGTAGTAGACTCATTCGTTGGCGCTTAAAACTCGAAGAATACGATTACGAAATTGTTTATAAACAATGCCGTCTTAATTCTAACGCCGATGCGTTATCTCGCTGTCCCGTTAATGTTATAGATATTAACACTTTAAATAATTCTAGTTATGAAAAATATTTTAAAGACCAATTTACAAATAAAACTCCTATTTCAAATACAATAATCCTAGAATGTACTCAAGGATTACACCTATCCAAACTAAAAACTATTGCTTGTCCCGTCTCTTTAGATTTTGACTCATCTATACCTCACTGTGAAGAAATATTAGCACAATTAGACAAGCCTGAGGACTTATTAAATTCCGAACGCGAACCATTTACAATTCAATGCGTAAAGGATAAGAAAAAATCTTACTATTTTATGTACACTAAAATTCATCATTATGAAGAAACCAAATTTAAAGATATTTACAATTTAATTATAAAACAGAGATAAAATTTTAATCGAGAACCCTGATATTACAGATCTCGCCTTATCAGACTTTTCAGATCCATTTTCTAAGCTAGCTTATATTAAAGTATATAATATGATTGCCTATATTTTTCATAACACTAACATTAAAATTCATATATACAAAAATCAATTAATTTATCCTACTCCCGTCGAAATCCCTAAAATTTTAAAAGAGAATCACGATTCACCTATTGCGGGTCACCCAGGTTCAAGTCGTATGTATAAACGAATTAAAGCCGCCTATTATTGGAAAAGTATGCGCTCTGACATTGTAGATTATGTAAAGAAATGCCAATTATGCCAAATTAATAAACCATTAAGAATGTCCAATAAGGCCCCTAATGGAAATAACCTCTACTTCCACTAGACCGTTTGAACGATTAGCTCTTGACATCGTTGGTCCTTTACCTGACGCAGGTTTTCAAAAATTCAAATTCATCCTTACATTACAAGATGATTTAACTAAATTTTCAAGTGCTTATCCCCTGGTCACAGCTACCAGTGAAGAAATAGCCAGAAATCTTGTACATTTTATGTCTCTCTTCGGTTTCCCTAAAACAATCTTAACGGATTTAGGTACTTGTTTTACGTCTGATTTATTTAAAGAATTAACTCAAATCTTAAAAGTCAAGGCTTTATTTACTACTCCTTACCACCCACAGACAAATGGAGCTCTAGAACGCTCACATGCTACTTTAAAAGAATACTTAAAATCTTTCGTTAATGAAAACCAGAACGACTGGCATTGTTATTTATTTACCGCAATATTAGCTTATAATACTACCCCTCATTGCACTACCAATTTCACCCCTCATGAATTATTATATGGTTATAAACCTAATATCCCTAATTCTCTATATGAAACGAACAATAATACTACTTATAATGAATATATTCGAGCTTTACAATATCGAATGCGTTTTAGTAGAGAAAAGGCCATTCAAAATATAATTAATAGCAAAGAAAAATCCAAACAATATTACGATGTAAGTTCACGCGAAATTTCGTATAAAATTGGTGACTTAGTTTATATAAAACACCATCACCGACTTCGTAAGGCCCTATCACCTATATGGAAAGGTCCATATAAAATTATAAAAGTCCATAATAAGCACAACGTTACTTTACAAGTAGGTCGTAAACATGTTAAGTATCATATAAACGAGATTAAGCCTGCTATTAACACTCCTTAAATTTAACTTATTTTATATATTTTTCAGAGCTTTATGCTATGGAAGCCAAAGCCACGCTGAGTCGAGGATCATACCTATATCACATAGTCCTGGAATTTATTTTGAACCTATTACGCATATTAACTTTTATAACGATTATTGGAAGGTTATAACACATATAGACCTTATACCTTTAGCTCCTTATCTCAATAAAATTGAAAATTTATTATATGATACCTTAAACCTTTGTTCCAAAATAAATACTGACGAATTTTCCCAATGTAAAGATTTTTCAAATCCTATAGAGATTTTAATAAAATATAATTACGTCAAATTGCAATCCCTAGCACATATAATCGATAATAATCAATCGCCAAATAGAGTTAAAAGATCTCTAGAATTTGGAGGCGAAATTCTTAAATTTTTCTTCGGTACTCTAGACGCAGATGATGCGCGAAAATATGATGCCGCGATAGAATTATGTCGGAAAAGTGAAACAGAACTATTTAATTTATTCAGAGACAATATTCACATAATTAAATCTACCATAAATAATTTTAATGCCACTATTTATAAATTAAACCAAAATGAATTAAGATTAAACTCACAAATTAATAAAATGAATGAAATTCTTTCGCAAATCACAAAAACCGATAATTTACTTATTAACATTTCTAGAATAAATAATTTATTGAACATAATTGAAAGCTCCTTACTTGCTATTTCTAACTTGCTAGACACGACTATAAATGCTATCCTATTTTCCAAGGTAAATGTTTTGCATCCTAGCGTGATTAGCCCTTTAAGTCTTTATAATGAATTAACCAAGCATATCAATCAAATAAATAAACGTTTAGATTTTCCAGTGCAATTGAACATACATAATATTCATTCGTTAATTGATGTTTCGAAACTTAGTTCATATTATTATAACAATAAGATTGTTTTCAGCTTGCAGATTCCATTAATAACACCTGATAAGTTCATTGTTTATAAAAATATCCCACTACCGACTCCTCACGACGAGTCGCATATACAAACGTTTGCACTTATTCAACCTTCTAATTCTTATATTGCTTTAAGTGACGATAGAATACATTATACTATGTTTAATAACTTAGATGATTGTAAATTTATTAATAATAACTATTCTATTTGTGAACTATTTACTATAACGTCTAGCATAAATAATCCTAATTGTGAATCGAAATTATTAACAGAAGTAACTCTTTCCTTACCTTCTGAATGTAACTCCAAGTTATTATTTGGCCAAATCAATATTTGGCATAAATTAAAAAATAATAAATGGATATATGTACAATCCAATGTAAATAAATTAACTATCAAATGTAACGATGATATTACTGATCATTCTATTATTGGCACAGGTATTGTCAAATTAACCGAAAATTGTATCGGTTATTCCAAAACTATTCAATTATTGCCAACAAGTACTTATCAATTTTCGATTAAGTCAACTATAGATATAAGCTTTGACATAACAAGAGATGATTGTTGCAAAAAAGATGTATTTAATAAAAGTTTACCATATTTAACGCCAATCTCTCTAAGCAAAGTTAACTTGGATTCCTTAAAATATGCAAATCATCAGCTAGATAGTTTAGAATTTGAATTAAATAATCTTCAAAAGGAATCACATTTTATAAAATACGGTTCATACTATTCCACATTTACTTATATTTTAATTGTATTACTATTTTTGTACTTAGCCTACAAATTATTTAAATGTTCCAGAAATCGAAACAATAATAGTGGACATTGCATACAAATATTTAATCAGTGTAATAATAAAAAGTCGTCGAAACATAATTCTAAAACTACAAATTCAATTGAGATGATTGATATGTCAACATCTGAAGAAGATAATAACTCACCCAAATCTTTACCAAATTGTACTAATTGTGAACCTTATAGAACTGTACACAAAGTTCACTCTTCCTCCGGAAGAAATCTTAATTTCTAATTTTATTCAATTTTAGTTTACAAAAATGTTTGTATTAAAACAATTGATTAATTTTATTATTATACAATTTCAATTTCTACTTTGTCATTTTATATTTTGTAATTGCTACATTTTACTATTTTTTATTCAATCTAATTGTGATAAGTATTTTTTAATTTTAAATGTGTATTGTTATTTAATTATATACAATGTTAAAATGAAAATTGTAATTGAAAATACTATTTTGTTTATTAAAAATCAATTTCTACTCGTAATTCTACTAATTCATTTAAAATACTTTTAATTCTAGATTTTACTATTTTACCTTTATTAAATTAATTTATAATTAAATTCATTGTTCTATTTTATATTGATTATTTGTTAAATCTTACTCTGTTTCTTTTACATAACTTAGTTACAACTTACTTTATCTTTATGTAAAATCAAATAGTTAGAAGGTTTTATATTGTTATAAGATAAATTTGCTATGTTTTACTATAAATTTAATTTTCTATTTCTATATTTTGTAACGCCTTCCGACCTCTAACTATTTCTCTATTTCGAAACTTCGCTTTATCTTAATTTAGAAAAAGCTCAGTCAAAAGGGGGGAGCTGTTATATCCCTTTTTACAACGCAGTTAAATCTTAGTAAGCATTTATTCAATCCCACGGTACTTTTCCTATATATGACGTCAATCAGTAATTGCATTGTTCTTTTCCATATTAATTTCATTCCATTTTACAGTCAGTTAGATTCAGAGCCCCGGGTAGATCGGACATAGATTCCGATACGTATTAGAGTTCGGAAGTCAGGGTTAATATTAATTGTGTGTGTAAACTTTTTATAATAAACCCTTAGGTTTACCTTGTGGTTTTTTTTAAAAAGTCAAACGGGATCGGCCTCCTAACAGAACGATAATTATATGCTATGACCTGTGGATTTGATTAAAGTAGGGATGAGAAAACGAACGAGAATTGGATGCTATGGCCTGTGGATTTGATTAAGAACCCAAATGCAGAGGAGTTTTCTCACCTGAGGACTATGATGGAATGCATCCTTACCATCAGCCTCCGATAAACATACAAAACAGCAGCATTACGGCTACTATATTAATTTGGTATTCTGTGCGGGCATGATCCACTCCCTATTGAACCACCCCATTGGCGTTGCAATCATTACACAACTGCAGCGTGATCGTTTCTCTTAAATATATGTAAGGGTATGATAATTTTACCAAATCTAAAAACTGCAATATAATGCATTTTTAATTGACACTGACTATTTATTCCAAAATATTACTATATTGTGTAGACCCACTAGATATAGTGACGACCTGATAAGGCATGCGGGAAGTCGATGGATGCAGGAGATTTAGGATCGCGTTTTGTGGTATTCCTTGAGGGAGGCCTAAGTTTGGCCTTGTGAAAGACGATACCCAAGTTAATTTTTAAGATATTATAATTGTTACCTGGACACTCTGTGCAGTTGAGCAGAGCCTGTACATATTCCGGACCTCCAAAAGTGAGCGAGAACTGCAAAAATGACTCGAGACTCTCGCTAGCTGCCACCGATAGAATGCGTTCCATTATCTGAAATAAAAAACAATAAGTAATTTTTGTTTTTTATCAAAATTTAACACAGAAACCCACACAAAAAAAAATAACAGGAAAATGAGGGTAAGTTTTAAATTTTAGCTCATAAATCACATTCAATTTTCGTGGTGGGTCGTTGTCGAATTTTTGACGGACGAAACGCAACCGTTTTTCCGACGAAGAAAACGGTTGCAGAAAACGGTCGTCGTTGCAACCGGTTCGAGCGCACGGCTTAAGGCTTTAAGGACGAAATTTATTCAACATGGAATAGAACTGCGTTTTCGTAGAATGAAATGGTTGTAATTTCTTACAACTAGTTAAGGACTGTTTTGTCTGTCTACGTTTCTAAACGAACGGGAAAAATAACCCTAAATAATTTTATCATCTGGTTGCGCTGCATAAGTATATAAATGAAAATAATAAATATACATAAATACCAATAAAATAAAATAAATACATAAAAATCAATCAGATGGAAGCCCTCGGCAGGGGAGACCAAACGGCCGAGGGTTAGAGGGAAAGGGAAAGAAACTGGCGGATGTTGCGGGCGGTACCAAGAACCACCACCTTCTGCATTTGAGTCCGGAGTGGTCCTTCACGGAGTCCTTGACGTCTTAGATGACCTGAGAGACTGACCGGGATTAGCCCGTTCGTGGAAACGACCACAGGAACAATTTCGGTCGGCAGACCACCCCACATGTCGGTCACCTTGTGAGCCAGGTCCATATATTTTGTCTGCTTATCTGTTTCGGCTTTAACGAGGTTGTCGTCATAAGGAATGGCAAAAATATCCTTGACTGCGCTCGGTTCACCGGCACATTAGCAGGCTTATTCGCATGAATAATCTTGTCTTGTGATGATAGCCCGGTCTTAGTAGAGTAGTCTGGTGCGGCTACTTTCGAGCACGGCTTCCGGCAAGTACTTATGATAAGGCAGTTTCCGATGCACGAAACCGTATTTCAGAGCTAGCTCATATACTCAGAGTTAGAAAGCGCCGAACAACCGGATATAACATGCCTAATTGACTTACCGGGATGGCGACAAGTTCAATAGATGTCGAAGGCACTCATCCTTTAGGATGTATTCTTGATTATTATTATTATAATGTACTATAGGGCACAGAGCCGGTCTAGTAGTAGTATGTGTGTGTGTTTGTGTGTGCGCATCTCGAGCAGCTGGTAGCTGGTAGACACATGCAGCAGCACGGGCAGCGCACGCTTTTGTTTGCGTGTGTGTGCGCGCAGGTTTTTTTTTATATAGGGTAGGGTGACAAATGAGCACACAGTCCACCTGATGGACCCATAGACATCCAAATACGTATGCGTTGGCACCCGTGTGGACTAATATGGAATGGCTTTTCCAGTAAAAAGGGTCTCCGGTTCTCACCATATGAAACACAGCAGTTTTAAGCTGCTATTCTACGCTGGTATTCTGTGAGAGCGTGGTCGTTTCCCGGTCGAGCAGAGCTATTCGTGCTACAAAAACACTACTAATATAGCTGCAGCATGGCTCTACCACGTATTAAATGCGTGATGTGCGTGTGTCTGTGTGCGTGTGCGGGTGCGTGTGCGAGTGTGCGCACCTCGAGCAGCTGGTAGACGAGGTGGGCGCGCGGCATGTCGCGCTCCTCGTCGGCGGCGAGCTGCAGCGCGCGCAGCAGCACGGGCAGCGCGCGCGTGTGGGCGCGCGTGAGCACGCGCACGCAGCGGCGCACGCGCGCGCACAGCGCCAGCAGCCGCAGCAACGTCGAGCACAGCGCGCGCGCGCCGCCCACGCGCCGGATCGCCGCCAGCCGCGCCAACATCACCTCCAGCCCGCCTGCACCCACCAATCATCATTCAACTACATTTTTCTACAACATATTATGTTATATGCATAGTATTTATTTGTTATATAAGTATTTGTCCAGTAAACTAGTTACCTACTGGTACCTAATATCATATTATGTGCGTATGTTTTGGAATACCATTTAGATCGTAATGTTGCACTTATTTCTTATGTTCATATTGTTCATGTTTTGATGTTATACTACTGTGTGTACCTAAATAAATAAATAAATAACATTACACTGTTCAACATAGCCCTCCCCATAGCTTATTTTCCTCTATCGCCTCTAACGACATCCATGTGATTACATGGAGTAGTAAATATTCTTACACCACTTTACAAGGTCAACGATCACGGCTTGTAACATTAGTCTTAGGAAATACCAGCAAAAAAACCCAGCGGTACCTTTTTTAAATATTAACTTACTATGTAAACTCTAAACACACTTATAACAGCGTGTTGACAATTTATTATCACTTATGTATTCTTTAATATTATAATTACTACGAGTATTTTTATACAGCTTCTATTCAATAAAATTTTTGAACTTTATTTAAAATACTTGTTACAAACATATTATTCAATTCACAACTTCTTACTTAAAATTTGCTGTTATTAAAACATATTTTCCCATTTCATTCTCCAAAACCGGACAGATTTTTTTTTATATAGAATAAGGGTGACATACGAGCACACACTCCACCTGATAGTAAGCGGATGCTTTGGGCCAAAGACATCTACATCCATCTTCAATAAATAATCAAATTGCAGATGTGTTGTCACACCTAAAGACTATGATGGAATGGCTCTTTCCAATAAAAGGGATCTCTGGTTCTCTACATTCACCATACGAAACACAGCAGCATTCATTGTTGCTATACAACCGCTCGGCGTCCAATAAGGACAACTGCAGATCTGACTGAATAGCCTTAGTAAAAAAAGCATAATTCGAGATTTGGCTCTCTAACGTTTCCTCCTCTAATATTGGACCAATTTAAAACATATTTCATAAACTGAATAAAAAGGATATACACTGTGACTTTTTTTCTTTTTTCTCTTTTCAGCATTAGTTATCAAATTTGAACACTTGGTCTCTGTTGACAGCGGTCTAAATAGGCAATTTTAAGCATTTTGTAAGGGTTCTAGTGCTTGCTTATAAGATAATGTATCATCAAAAAGGAAAACATAGGGACATAGAAGAGGTTGAAATTTATTTTACTGTAAAAACTCATTGCTATTGGGTCATAAACCAGAAAACAAACAGGCGATAGCGTCTGTATGGAGAAAAGACCCCACGCTTTTCGTCTTAAGTTGCTATTTTATGCTGGTATTCTATAAGAGCATGGTCCTTCCCCAGTCGAGCCGACCCATTTGTACTACAACCATAATATAGCTGCAACGTGACTCTTTTTGAAGAACAATATTAGTAAGAAGGATTGTGACAATCTCTGTATTTATTTTTTCATGTTCAATGAATTTGTATGATGTCTAATGAACTGGTCAGTTTCAGTAATTTTATAAGGTTCGCAGTTATTAAAATAATTAATTTATGGAAATAACCAAAACATATATAGGCAATCGTATAATTAGATTGTATCCAAGGAGATAACAGAGGAATATGTTTGATGGACTAAACATAGCCAGCATATATCTTAACGGAAATCGTTTCTACAAGGGGAAGAGAACTTTGTGGAGTTGATGATGACACTTTTAACTTATTACAATAAACTAAGTGAATATAGCATGCTTGTTTCCCGACTCTACAAAGGTATGTGATACTATGTCACTCACCGCAATCAGCCAGGACATTTGCCATCCGATACAGCTGCTCATCGTCCACGGCCTCGGCATTGGTCTGGCTCAGCGTCTCCACGAACTCCTCCGTAGCGTCGCCGAGCAGTCCGCGCATACGATACACTACACGCATAGCATCTACGCCCTCGCCCGATGTACACCATACCTGTATTATTTATTAATTTTAAAACTAACAATAATCTTTGTTCAATATACAAATCGCATAATATTTAAATCATAAATAGAGCTGAGAAACGGTTTTATCTCAAGATGCTGTTGCTGTGGTATAAGATTAAGATAAAAACAAATTTGTTCTGTTTCTCTCTTTAATAGGAGCATATTATTCATACCTTCTTGTAGACTTCCTTCACCGGCAAATCAAGCGACATAATCTTATTGCAAACAAGCAGCTCCATGCCATTATCGTCTTCTAGTAGCGCTACCAACTCGCAGTCTGTACAGATCTTGTTCTTCACGTCTCTCATCAGTGGACCCATGCCGGGTTCCAGAGATGAATATGGGTTACCTAACATGCGACCCTGTGGAAATAAGAAAGTGGTTTTCTATTAATATGTACTGTCTTTAAGCTACAATATTTTATGGGACAAACAAGGCTTTTTAATTATATTTTGTATTGTAAATTTTGAAGACTTTAATTTTATAAACATAAACTGTTATGTTTACCTGCAAAAAGTCTTCCTGTTGCGGATCTTTTTCAAGCGTGAGGAAGAACTCTCCAACATCGTTTTCTTCTGGATAGATAATAGAACACAAACGCTCGAATATAAACACAGGCGTTCGATAGTCATGCAATGGGTACTTTTGTACCGTCTCTATGCAAACTGCCATAAACTCCGCAGTTTCAGTTTCGGTTCCTGAGAGCATAAACATTATTAATTAATATTATTTGCATTTTATAATTCATAATCGTATTTTAACTTTTAACATGCATTATTAATTCCAGTTATGGTATATAATGCAAAACAATACTAACATCGTAAACTGAATCATAAACATTAAATAAGGCATTGGCATTGATTTTCAAAAATTTGGTATTGCACTCCAGTAAAAAACAAAATTTTTTTTTTTACCGGGTGTACTTTCCAAACAGCCAAATATAGTGGAACATTACAATAGTGTAACCCATCACAGACATTATGCCAATGATCTCCTTCGGGTCGTAACAAGTTTTAGAATCTTAAGAATCCAAGACAAAGTTTGAAAAACCGAGAACCTATGTAGGAATTTTTTTGGTATAGATGAATCCTCTCACGAATGCAGGTGAGGTTTACTCTACTAATTAGCAAAGGACTCAATAATTATTTTCTTACATCACTAAAAACAACTTTTACCCATTTACTTTTTGTTCTGACGGTACTCGATAATAATTTTGGACCTCTTGAACTTACGCATACTAAAACAATATGCATGTACACCTACAAGTATTTTTTATGGTGGTAAGACCAACCCACCATCGTGAGATAAAATAAATAATAAAATAGTATAGCAATATAAGTAGTTGTGTTGGCAAGTTGCAAGGCAGCGTCGGCACATACCGGTGGTCATCTCCTCGAGCAGCTCGAGCAGCTTCTCCTGCGTGTCGTCGGTGAGGCGCGTGCGCTGCACGACGAGGCGGCGCAGCGACAGGTAGCCGCCCAGCACGGCGCCCACCAGCCGCCCCTTGTACACGCGCCGCGCGCCGCCCTCCTCCAGGAACATGGCCAGCAGCTCCGTCAGCCGCTTCAGCGCGTACCCTGCAAGGCGCGTTGCCCACCTTATTATTTTCCTATTATAAGCCAGTACTTGACTACTGTTCCACCACATTTTTGACTGTCTCGTTGGTCTAGTGGTTGTAAACGAGATTGCTGATTAAGATATCCCGGGTTCAAATGCCGGGTCGAGCCCAAATCAGTTGTTGTATTTGGGTCAGGCTAAAATTAGTGTAATGGGATTTTTCTGTTAAGAAATTCTTAGTAGCAACCCGGAGTCAGGAATTTGGTGGTGTTTCAACTCCGTGCCTCGGAAAGCACGTAAATCCGTTAGTTCTGGCACTTGATCCCTCTCCGGTCATGTCGGATTACCGTCCTATCGAACTATGAGTGGCTACTGCACTGACTCTGGCACTATAATCCTGTACTGAGTAGATAGCTAGTCGCCAGATTGACCGTCATGCAATTCCACACACTCTTCGAAATGTATCCAGTTAAACACCGAAAGTCTAGCTACTTGGCGTCTATGCTCGGGACTGATAAGGTGAATATTGGTTTTAACCGTATCGAGATCAAGAGGCGGCTTAGAGCAATTCCTGATAGATATTTTGGCCTCCAAAAAAAACATTTACATATGACTACATGTGAAAGGTCAAACTGACGACGGAAAGCAGCGTCAAAAGTGGGACTACATCAGGTAAATTTAAAACCAAAAGCTGGCTAAATATAATCTTGTTGCCTTGACATAATCGTATTTTAAATTACACATAATATTTAATGAATTATATTTATTTTATATTATATATATTTAATATGTATTAATTTTAATTTAATTTATGTAAGAGGCAATTTATTTGATTTGTATAATTATGAAAATAATGATTTAACACGTAACACGTGGCAAACACGTACACTGTTTACATACAACTATACTTCGTCTTTAATACAGCATATTTTTAAGTGAATAAATGATATTATCAAAAAATAAAATGACAGTATCAATAGCTACCAATGACACAATTAAAAAAATACCTTGAGAAAGATCTGATGTGAGAGTGGTCTCTTCCAATCGGTGCAAGTGCTCAATCTCCTTTGTCATTAAATCGGCTATCTGTTGTAACACGCCACGGAGTGCGAGAAATTGCTTCCACGGTGTTTCAGATGCCAAACCTAAATAAACATATAATTTTAGCATCTCTGATACAAATATTATGTAAAAAGAATATTAAAATGTATATACGAGGGGTGATCCAAAAGTAATTAATGATAATCGTTTTTTATTTGTTTGCTTATGTACCCACTAGATCAGTATAAAAAAAATCATTTAAATATGCTATGATTCCGGGAGGTACACAAAATGATGGACGCTGTTGTGGCTGTTTAGAGGGTCAAGATAAAGATTTTTTTCCTAAGGGAATTCTGGATTTAGAAAAAGATGGATTAAATTTAAAAAAAAATGATTATCATCGACTTGTTAGGAGACTATGTAGAAAAATAAATTATTTTTTAACTATAACCACCGTGTTTAATATTCATTATCATCACTTTTGAATCACCCCTCGTAGAATCTCAAAAGTACTTACTTTGATAGAGCTGTAAAAATTGTTCACTAGCCTCGCCTGCTGTGCCCACTTCAGGTAAGAAACTTGTCAATAAAATCAGCACCTAAATAATAAAATTGCGCATTAATAAATTTTGGTCCCTCGAGCAGGCCAAAGTTATATTTATTTCTATCATGCGTATACTCACTGCTTTTGTTCGTTCATAAGAATCGCAAAGTGATTTGACCATTTGACAAGCGGTGTCCCTGGCTATGCGAGAGCTTGGATCAAACATGACCGGCCGGAGCCAGCCACCGTCTTCGAGAGCAAGGGGGCGCATGCCATGTGACAATAGTACCTGTATAAATTACTTAAATAGTAATATGTTATTTGATTCGAAGATTTATTAACTTTCACAAATTGAATAATATTTTTATTCATTCATATATAAATAAAGAAGAAGATTAGTATGGCAAATTTATTACAAGTTATAGTTTTAGTATGTTATTATGTTGGAAGATTCTATTAAACACGAAGATCAAGGATTCGCGATCAAACAAAGTATTATTGAGATATTTCACGTTTTAGGCAACTCACTGAACACCTATCGCAATAATATAGGGTTAAATTGCAATATACGCCCATATTTGAAGAGAAAGTTCAAAATAAGTAATACAGGCGAATGATAAAGAAAAATCTCAAGCATTATGTCCTTTTTTACCTTTTAAATTTAGAATGCGTGGTAATGCATTATTTTAACTGATTGTCAATCATATTCAAAGGGTTGCCCGATTGTCATTCATAAATATCTAAGGCCTACTATTTTACTACGTACGCACATATTCGAAGGGTTACTCAGTCGGCAAAAACATTGTAAATATGAATTGCACAAAGAGGAGCGCGCGTACGCGTAGTTGTTGCCCATAAAAAAAATTTGGGATAGTTTTGAATAAAAGTATAAGTATTATTTACTCGTATTTTCAAAAACTGCAATAACGGTACATCATTATTTATATATTTATAATTAAATATAAAATCTGTATACTCTTACAAAAATAACCCCGTACAGCGTGCAGAATAGCACGCACGTGTACAAGCAAAGACTCGCTATGTATATTAAAAGACCAGCAATTTTGAACAAAACCTGTGTCACAGCTGTGTATTGCGCGGGCATGGACTAGCTGACACGGTAAATATGCACATTTGCAAAGTGCGCACATAAATAATGACAGCGTTTTCTTAGTCCCATTAAACAAAATCAGTGTTAGACTGTCGAAAACAACGTTCGCGGTTTACAAAGCAAAGAACTAAGTTCTCGGGCGCTCGCAGTCGACCAAAGAAGTTAGGGAGAATTGAGCGTAACTTAGTGCACAATTTATTAGTACCGTAGTGGTCGTGTACTAGTATACACTGTCAGAGTGTGTATGCGCGTGGTACGTACCCGGTCGCGCCACTTGGCGAGGTACTTGCGGGCGAGGCGCACGTCGCGCGGCGGCAGCGCGGCGTCGTCGGGCAACGGCGCGGCGCGCGCCGACAGCTGGCGCCACTGGCGGTGCGCCACGCGGCCCGCCAGCCACATGGCCAGGTCCACCACCAGCTTGCCGGACCGGTTGCTCGCCGCACTCGCCGCACTCGCCTCGCTCGTGGTTCCCTCACCCGCGCTCTCCTGCTGTCAACCAATGAACGTTTTTTTATAGGATAAGTGTGACAAGCGAGCGCAAAGTCCACCTGTAAAAGTGATGTGAACGATAATTACCGTTTACTTAGATCTTGTACGGCAGAGTCGGTAGTTCCGCGCGATCATGTAAACTTAGTCTTACTTGCGCACCTCCTAGCGCGCCACCCGTCGCGACTGTAACGCCACCATCCGCGAACTGACTCTTACCTGCGCACCTCACTACCACACTACCCGTGTTTGCGCCGTCACCGCGCCGTATTTCCGCTGCTGGACGCAGGACACATTGCGAACCTTACTTTCGCAAACATTTTCATTAGCTCAGCCTTCGTGTCTATTTGTCATCATTGGCACAATATATTATGTATGTAAAATCTACACAGTGGTTTTTTTATATTCACCTAGCTGATACCCGGCGCGTTGCTACCACTGAAGAAATAATTGTTAAAACATCGTTTTAAATTTGGTAGAGTTATATTTTTTATAGGATAGGGTGACAAACGAGCACACAGTCCACTTGATGGTAAGTGGTAGCTGTGACCCATAGACATCTACATCTATCCTCGTTTGGGAATAAAATGCAAATGCGTTGTCAGCCGTGAGAACTAAGATGGAATGCCTCTTGATCTATCTTCTGAAGTGTGTTTCAAAATCGCTGCAAAATTTTGTTATTAAATGTCTGCGCTCGGGAACTGTTAGTGAAAATTATAAAACAAATGCAATGTGAAGATGTCATGTTGTATTATTATCTTTCATCAGCACAGTGATAAATAAAAACACAGTAAAATTTATATATTTAAAATATGAAAATAAAAACCTTGGCCTCTTTATTCTGTTCTTCTGTTGTTGTTGTAGCAGCTGTGGCCGAAGTTGTGGGAGCCATCAACTGTTGCATATAACCGAGGCAGGGCAGAGCGACTTGTTGCAATGCGAACTGATAAGCTGTGGATCAAATTTTACGTTTCTATCATTAGCTCTTATTTCTCATAACTATTCTAAAAATATATTTATAATAAAACTACAGTATTTTATTTATTATTGCATTACATACAACTTAATTAAATTATGAAACATTACTACATATAGCGGACAGCCTGCGTGTGCTACGGCAACGGCACGTAACGATATCGTCGCCGGAGTATCAAATATAATTAAAACGGCCATCATACAATTGCATACACTTTGCTTTTCTATTAGAAGCGCTGCCCTATCAATGTATTAAAAAATGATGTAATCATGATTAACTTGTATATGAACTTACAGTTTGGTGAAGAGGTATTAATGCCAGGAATGCCAGCCAGAGCTTCAGTTTTAAGTAAAGTGCTGGCCGCTGGAGCGATACCAGCAACTTCGGTCAATTGCGGACTACACCTATTCAATAAATTCCATTTAGAAAATAATATAAATACAATTATTTCAGCAACAGTTTACAAAATGAATATACATTTAAAAAAGTTAGTTAATCTGAAACTTACCACACCCACAGTTTTACAATACAGCGAAGTCTAGCTTCCCAGCATTCGACAGAATCTTGAATCTTGACCAGAGATCCCAACAGCAGTACCAAAGGACGTACCTGCAGAAAGTGTATTATTTAAACCAAAAAAATGTAATTAAGTAAAATATTTTATTAAAACACAAAACACATTTTACAAATCAAGTAAATACTAAATAAGTTAAGGAAAACTGTTTTATAGTATTATCCACAAGAACAATGATTTAAATACTTTTTTATTATCCTTTGTTCACTTACGGAGTTGTTATGATCTTGAGAAGCTGCATGTCCCATTAGAGATAGTGTAATTCGCTGAGATAGCAAGTTACACAGCTGTTCTGTCGCTGGTAAATTGTCACGCGTTACGAGGCATATCAATGCACGAACTTCTTCTTGGCTCTAAAAATTAATTATGAAATAAATTTAAGCTCCTTTCATTTCACCAAAATAAACCTATTAAGTTTAAAATATTAAAAATTTTATGACGACTAAATTTAATTAAAATAATATATTTGTCATATGGGGATAGAATTGGTTACCCAGAGATACACAGTATATGATTATGTGCCACAGATTCCTTTCATTCCTTCAACTTCCTGACCTTTATTTTCCACCATATCTTTTCTTATTTAATCTTCAATATAGATCTAAATATAAAATCCAAACATTTCCGGTAAATTTCAATTAAATTGACAAAAATGATATCCTCCCTTTTTTTTTAAATTAAGTAAAAAAAATCACAATAACTGTTCATTTAATCCGCAAAGAAAAAATACAGGGTGACAGAAGAGGATTTAATAAATGTTTTTAATTGAACAAAATTGTATTTTTGTCAACCCCTTATTAGAAATAAAAATCCCCAACAAGTACCTATTTTTGTCATATTTTGCGAAATTTCGAACTAATTAAACAGCAGAAGCTCTTTAATTAGTTTTTACACTAAAAAAAAAAAAGGATTTTAAACATATTAATATTTTTAATTCAGAGTTTTTTTCCCGTTTTACTCGAGAAATATCATTTTCCCCCGAAATTGAATATATTCGCGCGAGCGTGCCTACTCCGTCGCTCTGTAATCACCCATGAGCTATGTCGCACTCGCAGTCCCTCTTATCTCTAGTATATATACAGTAATCTATGCGCAGTCCGTTTTCGGACATCATCGAGGGTGGACCGCGTGTCAATGTTGAAGCGACTTCGTTAAAATATATCTTAGTTTTTTAAGAGTTTATACTCAATTATAAATATTTTGTGAATAGAAATACTTAATTTAGTTAATATGTGTAAATTGGTAACTGAAAATATTGTAATACAATATTCAAAATAAATTAATTTTTTAAGTGACCAAAGAAGAAGAAATTTTCGCGGCGGCTTAAAATATTTTTCAAAAGTTTAAAATAAGAAAATAGTGATAAACATAAAAAAAATATTTTTAAAAAAGTGTGGGGTGCTTGATGTCATTTGCTGTAAATATTTTTGTGGATATTTGTAAAATTAGCTGTTTTTGTAAATGGTCTTATAGAAAAAAGTGGGTAGGTGCTCAAAAAGTTAACACACGTTTCTGTGATTGAATTTATTGTATTTAGTGTAAAAAAGTATTTATCTTGCATAATTTCATGTTTAATCTTAATATTATTGTCGATATCATTTCGTATTGTATAGACATAATTTAATGTCAAGGTAATAACAGTGAATATACCTGCCGGCGACTGTGTCAATACCATATTATCTAAAATCAATTTTAAATTACGGTGATCTACTTACATAAAATGACTAACCTTATCGATATTTCTGAAACACAAAAAACAATAGAAGCTACACTTCGAAAAAGAATGGATGACTTTGAGCAGCAACTTGGCACTGCCTCAACCAAACCAGAAAATCTTGTTCAGATTAATAAAGAATTTAATGCTTTTCGCGACTATGTTCAGGAGATCTTCAAGCTAATGCGACAGCAAATTTATGAGGTGAGCCAGTTAGCCGATTCATTGGAAATGAGACACCGAAAGAAATACCTTATCCTTAGTGGAGTACCTGAAAAGGCTGATGAGAATACTGCTGGTATTGTTACCACAATATTAAAAAACAACCTTGGTCTCAACGATATTACACCCTCGTCCTTCAAAGTTGCACACAGACTTGGATCGGCATCTACGGGCCATAGTAGGCCTGTACTTTTCAGACTTACTGATTCATCCCTCCGCTATACTGTTTGGAAGAAAAAGGCTTCACTTAAGGGCACACCCTACGTACTATCTGAATTCCTAACTAAACAACGCCAAGCTGTATTTATAGAAGCACGCAAACTTTTCGGTATGCGTAACGTTTGGACACTAGATGGGAACATCACGATTAAACTGCCAGATGGAAACCGGCATAAAGTGCTGACTTCAGAAGATCTTAAAAAGTTTGTTCGTGGTAAGGATTCGGATCCGGTCGTGCAGTTGGTATCAGGTGACAATGCAGCTCGGGCATCAGGAAAGTCTGAACTGGCTCGTAGCAGACGTGCTGGGAAGATCAAGTAATGTGATTTTTATTTGTGTAATCAATGTGGTGAAATCTCAATCATTATTGTATCACTGGTAATCTTATCGCAATATAAGTTGTTTATATACTCAGGCCCTAGGGTCATTCCACCATATTTTTAATTTTTTATACTTAGTGTTTAAGTTCTGTTATCTCATTAGCTTAAAATTACATATTGTACCTTTTTCTTTCAATATACTGTATCCTGTATTTTTATCTTATCTAGTGTAACATAAGAAGACAATTTTTGGTCAATTCAGTGTTTCAGTAAATAGGTAATAAGCACTTGTTTAATTTAAATTACGATCATTAATTTTCTTTACAGTGTCTTGTATTATCTCTTGCACCAGTTTTGGTAGTTATTATTTCTATTCTTAACCTACAAGTTTTAGTTATATTGATTTCATTGCACATTAGTTAACTAGGATTATGGTCACTATATTGTATATTTTAAAAGTATAGTGGCACTTAGAATATAATAATATAATAATACAACTGGATATCTGCGTTGTTTGATAATTCTGTATACTTTTAATTATCATACTGATTGTGAAATAATATCTTATAATAATTTGTACCTAATTTTTGGTATCAAATATTATTGCTAGTACATATACGTTGAAATGTTTATGTGTGTTGTATAGAAATACATAGGAGTCATATTTTATTGTGCATGTCAGAGGGTAATAATAATATATAAGGAAGGATGTATGTACACATTATAAATTTATACGTCCATGATTATAAATTATAATTTTTATGACTTTATAAACAGAACAGATGTGTCTGCACAGAGTACATTTGGGTGAGAGTAGATAGCGCCATATTCATAGGTTAAATATGAAATGTTTTTCCTTTAATGTCTACGTTCATACATGTATCGGTGCCTACCGGGCTTTTGGCCAAAAAGTAATATTTGAATATTTTGTGATTTTTTTTTTTCTCTTTTCTTGTATATTAGCAATTTTTTTTTCTGTGCTGGTTAAATTCAACATGCTGTTCAGCTTATGTTGAATTTAACTCACGCTACCCATGTAATGATGTTATGACCCTGTATCACGTCACAATTATGAATTTTGTAGACGCCTTATTTGCTTATTGTAAACAGTCGACCGGCGGGTTAGTACCTATATTAACTGCGTGCCGTTATATTTATATATTTTTAATTTATATATTTACATATTTCCTATCTATTTTATATACATTACTTTAATTCGTTATACAATACAATGTCTGACGATGGTTCCTTTCACTCAGTTTCTGACTCAGATTTATCATTCAAGTCCACTGAAGATTCGGTAATAGAATCGGTTAGCCTAAACACGTTTATTGCTCAACAAATAACAAATTCCTATAAACATTTTAATGTTTGTCACATCAATGCGCAGAGCCTACCTCAACATTTCTCAGAGCTTTTGCATATTTTTACTGATACGATCCACGCTATTTTAATCTCCGAAACCTGGCTCAAACCTTCTTTACTCTCGACTTCATTTAGTATGCCCGGGTTCGTGCTATTACGTAATGATAGATTAGGAAATCGAGGTGGTGGAGTGGCGATCTACCTTCGCTGTGGTATCCCTTATAAAGTTATTGCATCTTCTCCCTCTATAGCGTCTGGATCTCTTGAGTATCTCTTTGTAGAAGTTCTCCTAAATGGAAACAAAATTATTCTTGGAGTTGTGTATTCTCCGCCCTCAGTTAATTACTTTCATGACCTTGAGTCCGCTCTCTCGAAAATTGCATCTGAGTACGCACATCACATAATTATGGGCGATTTCAATACGGACCTTTTGCTCAGCTCCTCTAGATCGCGAGAACTACGAATGATCATGAATTCAGTAAATTTCTCTATTCTCCCGCTTGGGCCCACGCATTCTAATATTAACACTGCTGATTCATGGTTAGATTTGATAATCGTTTCGTCTACTGAACATGTTGTAAATCATGGGCAGTTTCCGGCTTCTGGCTTCTCGCGGCATGATTTTTTATTTATTACCTATCGAATCAAATCGCCAAAAGTTACCGCACCTGTTTTGCGCCTGCGTAGCTTTGCGACTATGGATGTGGAGTTGTTGAAACGGAAGGCTGTCTCAATTGACTGGTCAGATATTTTTTATACATCTGATGTAAATCATATGGTAGAGACACTGACTAGTAATATCCTTCAGTTATTCGATGCAGTAGCCCCGATACGCAATGTAAAGATCAAGCGCCCTCCAGCACCGTGGATGGACAGTGATATCCGTAAAGCAATGGCAAAACGTGATCGGGCTTTTGTAAGATTTAAAAACAAACGCTGTGATGCCAACTGGAATATATATAAAGCTACCAGAAACAAATGCAATCAGATGGTTCGAGCTGCAAAACGCCGACATATTCATAAGAACATTTTAAGCTCTTCGCCAGCCGGCATTTGGAAGTTTCTTAATTCACTTGGGTTAGGTAAACAAAGGAATTGCCCTGATATAGGGGCAATATCTCTCAATGATCTTAATAAGCACTTCTCCTCGGCACCTATAGTCGACAACTCAACTAAATATAAAACCATTTCTCTCATCTCATCCCTTCCTAAAATCGATGCAAACTGCTTTGCTTTTTCTCCAATAACTGACGAAGATGTTCGTAAAATTATTTTTTCCATTAAATCTAAAGCAGCTGGCTATGATGAAATAAGTAGAAATATGATTATTCCCGTAATTGATTACATTCTCCCAATCATTACCCACATCATTAATTTTTCTTTTTCTACTGGGGTTTTTCCATCTTTTTGGCGTAAAGCATTTGTTCTTCCTCTCCCCAAGTTAAATAATCCCACTTCTTTAAGCCATTTTAGACCAATTTCTATACTTCCCTTTCTTTCAAAGATTTTAGAATCAGCTGCACACAAACAGCTATCCAGCTACATATATAAAAATAAACTTCTTAGTCCCTTACAATCTGGTTTTCGTCCCGGACATAGTACAACCACAGCTCTCCTTAAAGTTCTCGAGGACGTACGAGAGGGTATGGAGGAATCAAAAGTAGTAGTTCTCGTATTAATTGACTTCTCTAATGCTTTCTGTACAGTCGATCATGACATTCTTCTTGCTATCTGTAAATACATGGGTTTCTCTTCGTCTGTTTTGGATTGGTTATCAACTTATCTTCGTGGTCGCCAGCAAAGAGTTAAGGTCAATCAACAGTCTTTCTCTGATTGGTCTGATCTTGCTACTGGCATTCCACAAGGCGGAATTCTTTCTCCTTTATTATTTTCTATTTTTATAAATCTCATAACTGTAAATTTCAAATGCTCCTACCATCTGTATGCTGACGATTTACAGCTGTACGCTCAGATTGATCCAGCAGAGGTTAACTCTGCGATTGAAATTTTAAATATAGATCTTCAGGCTATCTGCGACTGGTGCACAAGTTATGGAATTGCTGTCAATCCTGCTAAATGTCAAGCCATAATTCTCGGTAGCCCTCGTCGTCTAGCTAATTTAGACTTCAATTCACTGGAGCCTATTGTTTACAATAGCACAAATATTCCTCTTAGACATGTAGTTAAAGACCTTGGGCTAATGATTGATGCTAATTTAAGTTGGCAATCTCAGGTAGCTGAAATAAGCCGGAGAGTGACAATCACCCTGCGTGGCCTCTATCGTTTCAAGAATTTCCTTCCAACCGAGACCAGGGCTATGTTGGTGCGAACACTCGTTTTACCAGTCATTGATTATGCTGATGTGTGTTACCCCGATGTGAGTCAAATACTTCTGTGCAAATTGGATCGTTTGTTAAATAATTGCATCCGTTTTATTTGTGGCCTTCGTAAATACGATCATGTATCCTTATATCGTTCCAAGCTTAAATGGCTCCCTATTCATAAGCGTAGATGCATCAGAATTCTTCGCACGCTATTTTCAATCCTATATGATCCATGCACTCCTCAATATCTGAAATGCAAGTTTCAGTATTTGGGTTCTTCCCACGATCGTAACCTGAGATCCTCCGAGGGAACTACTTTATGTGTTTTTCCTCGCCGTACTAAATTTATGTCTCAGTCGTTCGCCGCTGTGGCCATAAGGCTATGGAATAAATTACCTCCTCATATCAGGAAACCGACTTCTGTTGCAGCCTTTAAAAGAGTGGTGACTGATCACTACCTTTGTTCTTTTAGCAATTGACCTTCTTAATTAAATGTTTCTGTATAATGAGTATTATAAATTACTTAAGTTGTTTTTGTATAATATGTTTGTATGTAAGTATGCTTAAAATGTATGTATTATGTATTGTTTAAAATTATGTATGTTTATGTATCATGTATAGAGTATAGTATTTATGTTATTTGTAGTTATATATATTTATTTTTGTATTTACAAGTATAGTATGTATATGTTTATATTTACATTCACGTATATATTCTCAAGTTTTTATGGCACCTGCTTAAGTTTCTCTGTTTAGCTCGTGGTTGACTGGTAGAGAATGCCTAAAGGCATTAAGTCCGCCAATTGTACATCTTAAGTGCAATAAAGATTTAAAAAAAAAAAAAAACTATTCCGCAGTGTCAGGTGCAGAAATTCAAAAATAATAAAATCAAAAAATGTAGATGTTTCTTTTCAAATTTCCGCCGAGTTTTAAGTAGAAGGCCAAATACGCCATGTGCCAATTTAATTAAATATAAATTTTATAAAGTGATCTTGACTAAGTTTCATCAATACATCATTGATAAGAGTGCCAACAGCAAATGTACAATTGTGTTTACAAGAAACGCTATCAGTTGAATTTTGCAGCTTGTTCATTATTTTTGTTAGGCAGTATATCACTTATATACTTGTCATCTCTGCAGTCTATTAATCTTTGCACTTTTCTCAGTAATACAGAACGTAGTCGCTAGACGGTGTTGACGTCGGCTAAAATCTCTGCGGTTGCTGTTTCATCAAGGTCATTTAGGCTTCTTAACGCCTTAATGAATAGGCCATATAGGCGTACACAAATTGAACGGGGATAATACGGCTACTGAACGCGTTTTATACGTTCTTAATACGTTCTAGTGGACTTAGTAGTGACTGACGTATTTTTTTCGTTCATACCACGTTTATAGTATGAAACGTAGTAGAAGGACGAAGCGTTCTTTATTAGATTTTAAGTGTCGATTGATGTAAAAAAAAATGATAGAATAAGGTCGACAAACGAGCACACACCCCACCTGATGGTAAGTGGATGCTGTGGCTTACGGAAGTCACCACTCACCATATGAAACAAAGCAGTGTTAAGCTGCTATTTTACGCTGGTATTCTGTGAAAGCGTGGTCCTACCCCGGACGAGTCGCCCCATTTGTGCTACAAGCATAATATAGCTGCAGCGTAGCTCCACCACGTGTGGTGGTGTAATGTATGTATATAATGTGATTAGGATGTGTGTATTGTGTATTGTGTAACGTGTATGGTGGGCGCGTGTATGTGTATACCTGCGGCGTGGCGCTGTGCAGGTTGTGGTGCACGAGCTCGTGCACGAGGCCGAAGCGGCACAGGCGCTCGCGGTGCTCGGGCTGCGAGGCCAGCGCGCGCAGCAGCGTCAGGCACTGCTCCGCGCTCGCCAGCGAGCACCCGTAGCACCCGTGCCACCCGCCGCCGGACTCTGCGCACCGCCTCACCGTTATTGCATTCCACTCCGCATTATTTATTCACATTTAATAACATATATTTGTCCTATGGTGCTCTAAGACGAACATTACACGCCTAGACAAGCGTCAATCAGTTCGATCAATCATAAGTGACGTTTGAATGATAGAATAATTTCGACATTACATGCTTATGCTGACTGATGTCAGTCAAACCCAAATTTTCGAAGAGAAAGAACCTACCTATAAACTAAGTTTATTTTCGATTCACCATTTAACTGTAATTTAATATCTTGAAAAGAAAAAGAAAAAGAACGAATAGGAAAAATTTTAATATTTAATATCATTTTACCCATTTTAATTTAACGCGCGCCAATGTTCGACTTCTTGGAGCACATAATCGATTCGCGGCTTTATTTGAAACGCATTTATGGACGAAAAATACGGTTACGTTTTATATTCATTCGTATAGGGTGGATGCCCCTATTACCAGCCTTTTAGTGCCAATTTCAATTTCCTTTTGTGTACCTACTTAATGCCTGCATAACATAGGGCTATGCCTTTTGAGTTTTTGGTAGGTACCTATTGTAGGTAAGTTTTAGGCGCACTGAAATAAATTCATAACTTATAATTTTAAATCATGCATATCACAAGCATGAAATATGTATTAAGATAGACGACAAAAAATATTTTATTTTAATGTTTAACTTATTACCTTACTGTGGTTTAGCTTTAAGCAGTTCCATTTTTCTTTTAACACTAAGCAATTAATTAAAACAAAATTATAATATTGTATGGTGTTCTTAACATATTATACCAAATGTCTGAAAAGCAAGTACGTATCATTTGCTAAACTTTTAAATCAAAAACAAATTTTAAAATATAGACAAATTGATCATAACTTCCTTAACTATAAAATAAGTTATGTTCTAATTAATTGTATTTATTCCAGTTTATGACATCCGTGACTTATATTACGTGGCTGAAATTAGGTACTTCTTATTATGTACGTCAAACCAAATAACAGCCGGGCGGCTGACATTAAGCACTCCATACATTTCGTATATCTAATTACGGCCCCATTAATTTCCACTAAAATGAAATAAAAAACTTATAGATTTAAACAAAAATAGCTGCATTATTCTGCCTATAGTCACATTCATATAAATCAAAAAGCCTAAAGATGAGCTAATGTAAAATGTGCTTAATTGTATTGGGACCATAACTTGTAAAAAAGTGGAGTGGCGACGGGCTGCGCGAGCGCGTGGAAGCCGCCTCTTCAATATATTCTGCGTCCGCCTCCATTGCTGTCTGAGCGTTGACTGACGCGTGATTGACGAAATACCATTACACGTTCAATCAAAATTCGTGATTGAAAGTTGATTGACGTAAAAATCAAAATATCCAGATATTTGTCAATCAATTTCATGCAACCGTCAATCACCGCATTACACGGCAGGTTATTCGTCAATCACAACCGTGATTGTTGTAAAACTGACAGCAAAACCTACCGTGTAATGAATGGTCGTCTAAAGAGTCCCATATTTATGTTGAACTTATAAGAAACCTAATGGTTAAACCAGAAATTAAAACAAAACCCAACGGTGTAATAAGTTTACGAAAAAGCATGAAAAATCAAATATACTCTATGGCACTTCCACAACTAAGACAAATCCCCCAATAATATATGACACCCCATATATCAAAATCCATCAAGCAGTTTAGGCTACAGTGCGTGCCAAAGTGATAGGCATACATACATACACTTTTTTTTTATAGGATCGGGTGACAAACGAGCACACAGTCCACCTGATGGTAAGTGGTTACTGTGACCCATAGACATCTACATCTATCCTCAATAAAGACTCAAGATGCATATGCGTTGTCACCCGTGAGGACTAAGATGGAATGCCTCTTTGCCAGTAAAAAGGGTCTCTGGTTCTCTACACTCACCATACGAAACACAGCAGCGTTAAGCTGCTATTTTACGCTGGTTTTCTGTGAGAGCGTGATCCTTCCCCGGTCGAGCCGACCCATTCGTGCTACAACCATAATATAGCTGCAGCATGGCTCTACCACGTAGAGATTACACTACAATAAAAACAACACAATTCTACACATTACTTTACATTCTAGGCCGTCAGGTCAAAAAACTGTGCTAATTGTGTTACTTGCTTAAGATGTCATAAAAGGCTACTAATGGGATATTTGGCTTGTTATTGTACAGGCGATAGGTTCACCACCTTCCACTTTCAAGATTTTCCATGTTAATCCATAATGTATGTAACGTAACCAAATAACATTAAAATGTGGACCAAATTTTTTTAGATAAAAATGACTAACAAAGAACAATTACTTTTTGTAAAAAAAGTCCTAGGCGTATTCAATTTCAGTTCCATAGAAAACCCTAAGTATAAATTTTTCTTCTAACACTCTCAAACTAATTACATTATCATAATAGGTATAAATTTACAATACCTTTAGTAATATCTCCATCATAATTCTGAACCAATCCAGCATACACGGGCAGAGTTTCACCTTTCAATTGTTCACTTTGCGATTTGTCATAGGACACTAATTCTTTTCTGTAATAACAAAAATATCATTCAATAAGAGGCTATTACTTTTTTTACACCACTACTTTAATTTTTTATACAACCAAACATATTTGATTTGATGGTTGGATGCCTTTATTTAATTATAGCAAACACTTCAAGGTTTAATTTATCAATTTTGCAGCAGAAGCTTTAATTCATTTATTTTTTTCCTTTATTATATACAGAAGTTGAAATAAAATTATAAAACAATTTGATATCGTTCAACTACTTTACTTGGCAATATTTATTTATTTATTTATGTATACACTAAAAATTCATATCTCTTAGTGCATAGATTCCTAAATAATATGTAGATAAGTATATTATCATCAACATGCATCATTACAGTCCTACAAATGACCATAGCTGAACATAGGCCCCCCTTAAAGGAATACCCCAAATTAGAAAAGTGTATATTAAAAAAAAATGTTCTAAAAATATAAAGTATGTTCTAAGACTGACCTGCACGCAAGCACCTTCTGTATGATCTTGGAGAGGTCCTCGAAGTAGCCCTTGCTGTCGACACAGTACTTGTGCGCGAGCGTCTGTATGACGCGGTTGATTTGCGCGCCGCTGAAGGCCGCGCCCGCCGCGTTGCTGTTCTCGTCCGCGCGCGTCTCCAGCCGGTGCTCGCTGATCTTGTGCACCAGCGACTGCCACACAAACATTTACCGCTTATTTTGATAACATTTTAATTCAAATAATATATCGTACTTATATAGATTATATATTTATATGCCGTGAATTGTCGGCGTAAGATAATCAATTACGCCATACACCAACGTGTAGAGGTCATAACAGACGAAATAAATCAAACAGGAAACGGGTAACAGCATCTTCCTGATAACTCAAAATAATTAAAAAACTGCGTTTGCCAACCCGCCTGCCAAGCGTGGGATACTATGGCAAATATTCCCCCTTTAAACAATTTTGTACTGTAGGTTTATGTTTAGCAGAAGACTTTACATAGGCTGTATGTATGTATGAATTAATTTATATGGGATTCTTTTTTATTTGTGACAAAACAGGTTTATCTTAATTTATAAAATTTCATTAATAAACTTATTTTGAGTATTGGGATATTTGTAGCAAAATCGACTGCTATTTCCATAGTCGTCATAATGTTACCTAAACAAGATACAACCTTAGCTTCAGGTTATGTAACCTAATGAGGAGGACAGGACCATTAAAGTTTAGGGCACTGTAATTACCAATCACAATTCCAAATATAATGATTGCAGTTATTCTCCCGACTTGAAAAGTCTCAGCAGTGCATTTTGCTAGGTAATGATTGCAACACGTGCAGTGCAGTCACCTCGAGCACGGGCTTGTTGGCGACGAGCTGGCGGTAGACACGGTCCGCCTTGTCGAGCAGCGCACCGATCGTCTGAACCATCTTCTTGCGCTCTTCGTCGTTCTCGATGGTGTCCACCGCACAGCACGGCCTCGCCGTCAGCGTGTAGTCGAATTTCGCATACTTGCAGAAACCGCACGCGTGACACAGGAACGGGTCCTTCTCATCGTAGTTTATAGCCCTAGGAAAAGATAATCATTAACATTTTCTTCATTTTGTTAAAATGTAAATATTCCTCGGATTTTATGTTATCATTCAAAATCGCTAAATTTTAGAAAATCGTAAAAACGAAGGATTTATTTATATTGTTGCCCCCTAACAATGTGTTATTAAAAAAACCATAAAAAAAAGATAATGTTAAATTTGTAATAATTCTATAATTTAAATGATGTTACTTACCGACACTTGTGACACTGGAACACGTTCTCTCCACAGTTGGAACAAACGCCGGGATTCGCCGGTACGGATTGTGAGCACCGTGGACATTGTAATGATTCACCTGTAACAAATGTATGTAAATAAATTTTAACAAAACTAACCTCTCAGGTCCCGACATTTTATTGGACAAACTTAGTCAAAACTACGGTCAAGCGAAAGAGTATAGGAGGTCGGGCCAAAGACAATTTTTTATATATATGGTAAATATAACTTAGAGTCAGTCATTACTATGTTCTCATCCAAAAATAAAAAAAATTATCAACAATTAAAATATCGAATTATTTGTATGAGGGTTAAGTGAATGCTAGAGTAACAACGATTGCCAGACGATTAGTCGCTAAATGAAATGTTTTGAGAAATTATCAATTACCGGTTAATGGCAGTGTATGAGTATTCATATCATTTCGTTGGTATCGTAAGAGGCGACTGATCCACTGTTCCACGGTACACGTACCTTGTTACACAGTTAAAAAGTACCAGTAGTTCTATTTGTTTTGTTAAATAAGTAACGAGGAAAATACTCGTGGTACGGTGGCGGCTCGTAGGAAAAACGGTATTTTGGAACTTTTTCACCGTGGTGTTATTTATCACTCGTGTCTAGAGGCGACAGAAGGAAATAAATCAGGAGATGGACAGCAGCGTCTTCCCAATAACGACAGCAAATAAAAAACTGTGGTTGCCAACCCACTTGCCAAGCGTGGCAACTATGACAAATATACCATCTATGACGCAATATATAGTGGAGGCCTATGTTCAGCAGGGGTTTAATAGGCTGTAAGTAACGGTGTTTGTTGTAATAGTGTGGGAGGAAAAAACCGGCCAAGTGCGAGTCGGACTCGCGCACCGAGGGTTCCGAACTAATCCGTAAGCTAATATATAAGTTTAAAATTATTAAAAATATTTTTATTACATGATGTAACTAAAAATTTATGTTTTTCGCAATTTTTCCTTTATCTGTGCTATAATACGTTGTTTCGTACCAAATTTTAAGGTTCTGTGTACACGGAAAATAGGTTTTGATTCCCTTGTGAATGTCGAAAATTTGCGGCATAAATGGCTGTATCTTTTGATGCGTTGGCTTAGAAGTTTGATTTTTTCACAGCTCCAAGGGATAGTAGTCTTGAGTATTTGATATGAATTTCAGCTTGATACCTCCACGCGTTCCATAGAAAAAGGGTCTTGACAGACAGACAGACAGACAGACAGACGGACAACAAAGTGATCCTATAAGGATTTCGTTTTTTCCTTTTGAGGTACGGAACAATAAAAAAACGAACATTTTTTCTGAATTTAATCTCGGTGGAACGCGGATGCTCCGTGCGATGTTTAGGGCAGGGTGCCAGGGGTGGGCGATATTTGTGGCAGTAAAATTTTGTGCTCCCCTTTATTTCCATGGCTAAGCTGCTATTTTACGTTGGTTTACACTTTAAGACTGGTAACAGCGTCGACAGTGGCGAGACGTCTGTTACTGCGATCGTCATTTCGTCTGCCAAGCGTTCTTAAAATACTTACTGCAATGGGAGATCCACAGCAGAGTAATTTTACATGATGAAGAAGATTCCTACCATCGGAGAGACACATATTCAGCTGAGGAATTTTATGGGAAGTGGTGGTGGTGGTGATGATTGTGATGGTGATGATAATGATAAAGAAGAAGACCCTACAAATTACAGTGAAAATTATTTAAAGAATGTATGATGCGTAAGACTTACCGGTAGCTTGTTGGTTCTCATAAAAGTCGGCATATTCCATCATTAGATTGCAGGCAACGATTGGAAGCGGGAAGTCAACTCGCACTTCGGACTGTCCAGACTGCAGTTGGACGCGCTTTGCTTTATGCCACATTCCTGCAGAATCATTTATTGTAAATGTAAATAATACTCGAAAAAAAGGGTCTAAGGACTATTACAACTTTAATTAGGCAGTCATTTATTGTAAATGTAAATAATACTTGAAAAAAAAAAAGGGTCTAAGGACTATTACAACTTTAATTAGTACATAGTATATATATATATAGGTGGGCCGTGTTGTGCAGATATATTCAGTCAGCAAAAACATAGTTATTCAAATTTGAATGATAAATGCATTTATCTTGTGGTTAAAAAAATTAATTTAGATTTTGGGATTGTTATTTTTCAGGTCTTCATTACTTACAAATAAAATTAAAAAAATTGCCTCTATATCATTATTTTGGTCTGTTTGTGAGGTGGATCATTTCGGCACAACTTGGTTCAATTAACATTATAAATAGCAGACAATGATATATTAAAATTAAGGAAAGCAATTTTTAAAAGCAGCTCACCGGGCTTGTTCTTCAACTCCTGCACGGCCTGCACGGTGCGGTTGTTGTAGTAGAAGTTGATGGTGCGCACCATCTTGCCGCGCTTGATGTCGCCGATGCGCAGCGCGATGCGGCTGATCATGTGGCTGTTCACCAGCTTCACGATCTGCGTCGTCGTCGTGAACTTCGAGTCGATCTGTGCCAGGTTACGCGATTAGCTCTTATATGATCGCCCCAAGGGCCCGAATTCTCATTAATATTTCCATATAAATTGAAGAGGACGAATTCATTGTTTCGCAGTTCTTTGTTTTATATTTCAGATTTTACGTTATTATTTATTTGTAACAAATTATTCATGCTACAAGTATTTATGATTACAAATATATATTTTTATCTATATAAATTGTTGAATTAAGATTGTCAATAAAATAAGAATGTTATAATCTTAGCAGCTTATAAAAAGAAGAAAAAATGCAATTGAAAAAAAATATTTGCAAAGAAAAATATCAAACTATGTGAGACATATAAGAATATCAATTTAGACTTACATTTTATGAACCTATTATTACATTATTACAAGAACACAACCAAACACATACATTACAAGCCTATAATATAATATACATCCAATACAAACACATCTCAGAAGTGCATAACAACTACTTCAAGCCAACAAACAAGTCTACTTACAAAGTAGTCGTCAGGAGGACGACAGTACCAACCTTAATGGTGGGGAGCTTTATGGTGGCCATGGGCACCTCGGGGTTGTTGCAGACGAGGCAGGGCTCGGACTCCAGGTAGTAGCCATCCAGCTCTACGTAGGCGCCGAGCGCCGCGTACAGCGCCGAGTTGCCGTGCGACGAGAGCAACTCGTTCTGCCGCCGCAGCAGCTCCACTGCGCTGCCCAGATACTTCTGCATACACACAACATTCGCTTCTAAAGTGACCGTCCCGATGTTTGTTGCAAGTACTTATTCAAAATATATATATATATGTCCATCTAGACAGTTACCAATACATTTTATTTTGTACAGTCTTCACTTATGTCGTACTTATGTACTCAATGGTTATAGATCGAAACTTGCATCGAAAATTTTGCACATTTTTTTCATTTAGTTTTGATAACAAAATATTGTTTAACTATTACTTACTGATAAACACAACATCGTTATTTAAATTTTACTAAACCACAAATACTAAAAATATAACTTTAATATAATCTAAAATACATACCTCAGTTTCAATATTGGGAGTCTTCAACGTAAAGTATCCCAGAAGATCGACAAACTGGGCTGATTTGCGTCCATACTGAGGCAACGTGGGCCAAATACTCCACAACAAAGAAACGAGTGACGCTTGCTCCGGTTGCGGGGAGTTACTGCAATAAAACAGAAACATTTGATAATATTCAAATGTTTCAAAATTAATGTGAATTTTCTACATAGCAAGTTAATACTCACTTGTAAATGGCAAGAAGAAGCGCATGAGCCTGCCAACGGACTGCCGTAGAATTTGTTTCCAAAAGGAATACTTTTACGAACATCTTTAATTCATCTTGAGACACCTTTAATACAAAAATTACAATAGTTTATGTGGTGCATTACTAATAATTTTAATTAAATTCATATTTAACGATACAATACCTGTTTTAAAATTTGTTGCACAAGTATTGGTACTTTTTGTTCTTGGAACTTAGATCCGTCGGACACAAAGGCATCACTGTCTGCACTGCGCTCACGTTCTGGCCAGTCAGAAGATGGCTGGAAAAGGATAAAAACATTTAGAAAAAATCCAAAATGTGTGAAGTGTTAGCAGTTACTTGACCGTCGACGTATTGGTGCTCTTGTTTTATTGTTTTAATAAGTAAAAATCGTGCGATTTTGTGTAGGCAATGTCTGCGCATTTAAAATATTTATTAGAGGGAACAACGTAACAGGACGTAACATGGAAGCACCATTGGTGATTAAATCTCTTTTTATCTGCTTAAGCGCCTTAAGACACATAACTAACAATATCACTGTCCACTTGGTTCATTGTTAGCTGTCGTCAAAATCCATTAAAATTTAACAATTTGACACATCAGCAAAACATTCGTCTGTTTTACCTTTGCCTGCCATGATTGGCAAATCATTTTTAAAGCTCTATGTATTAGTTAAATAGAACTATAAAATTGTACCAACGTTATTTCACATACTTGATCTACTTTGCAAAAATGTCCTAATATTATTATACAATTAGGCGCTTTCTGCGTTGTACGAGTATATATTGTACATACCGGGTTTTAAGACAAATAAATATCCGCCGCACTACCCCAGTGCATGTTAGCGGACTTCATGTATTCGAATTATTTTTTTAATCTTTTTTATTTATTTTTTTTAAGTGGGCAGCTTATATACATAAATTTAACAAGGACACACACCCAGACCCGGAACACTTATTTGTAAGTCATACAAATACTTTTTTCCGTACAGGATTCGAAGCCGCGACCCTTAACGCTGCAACTTATTGCTAAGCCACTGCACCACAGAGTCGTTAACTACGATTGGGCAAGCACGGCTTAAGAGTAATCATATAATATAAAAAATGTACAGTTTGCAGAAGCTGCAGCACACACGCACGTGAGCGGCACGTACCTTGGCGTCGTGTCGCTGGTGGTGCGGCGCGCAGAGCGCTGCCTGCAGCAGCTGCAGCACGGTGGGCGCCACGTGCGGGTGCACGCGCCGCGCCACCGACACCAGCCACGACAGTGCCGAGCGTCGCTCCGTCGCGCACGTGTGCTGCCAGTTGCCCGTGCGCGCGTTCACTATCTCCGCGCACGCCTGTAAAACAACATACAAAAATAATAACATATCATTTCAAATAATTATACCTCTTTTTTCTACTATTAACCTATTCCAAATCCCATACAGATCATATTCAAATTCCAATAATAACCAACAACAGTCCGTAACTCCTTACTACAATGTTCCGTAGTGGACACGGTCAACGCCACGCTTGTTAGGGGGATTAGCGATTATTGCACCTTTTACGCTGCTCCCGTCGCCAATCTTAGTATATAATAGTACATCTAGTTTATACGAAATATTATCCCGTTTTCTATCATAATACAACGGAGCAAATATAAAGAGGTGTTGTAATTAGATGTACTTTTTTTACAATATGTAACAACGCGTGATAGTTTGCGGGGTGAGGGAGTGTTAAGTCCCGCCCACTTAGCTATTTTCCATCTACCGATAAAAAGTAAAACTACTTACATCATTTCATATCGATGTTGTAATGCAGTTTAGCTACATTGAAGATAGATAGTGGGCTGTTCACAAAATTATTATAAAAACTATAAAAATAATATTTTGGCGATTAAAAATTCTTTAGGGCTGAATGCAAAACAAATTTCATCACCTTCGTATGATTATTTTACCAATACCGAGCTTTGTATTTACTCCGTGGATAATACAATCTTTTAGCCTTTCATAGCCGCCTCTTATGACACCCATAGACAAAATGAAAAAGATGATGGGTTATTTTAATTCGCCAAAACAGTTAACATGCATCACGTATCATAAATTTGTAAACCATTTTTATTGAATTTTAACCTTAAATATTGAATTGCAATATCGAATTCAACAACTTCAAATTGTTATCCATTAAAATTAACAGTTAAGCATGATGATTTTAATGATTGAAATAACAAAGATATCTAGTTCCTCCTGCTGAAGCTAATAAGATCCAAAAATGCTTATTTTAAACGCAACTATAGTGTAATATTAAAAAATGCAGTGTACCTTGAGATGATCCATAAGTTGCACTAGCTTGTCATAGGCCGGTTCGGGTGTGGCGAGCAGCTCGCGTGCAGCGTTCAAATGCGTGTCTAGAGCGTGCACGTCACGCAGCTGTCGATAACGTTCGCGGGTACCGCACAACAAGAGAAGCAATTTGCGCACTTGTTTTCTGGTAAAAAACAAAAACAGATTGTATTACTTTGTATAAAAATTTTAATTATATTATTTTAATTTTATTAACATGTATCGTTGTAATGCTGAGCGAAATCGGAAATTTATGCACGAAAATTTTTATATTCATTTTAAATAAAACGAAAAGATGCAGTTTTCAATATTTTCTTAATTTACCCACAAATACTTAAAAATAGCAGGTTAACAATTCGAGTATATGTTTGAATGCATAGTTTTTTTTTAATGTGTGAGAATATATTCATTTTATGTAAACAAAAGAATATTTAAGCTTTCACAAAGGTCTCACATAAATTTAAACCAGATCCGATAATAACTGGTATGAGATGTTCTTACCTCAGTGGTGTTTGTGGGTTCATCATATACTCGCAGAGGAGGGTACGCCAACGTGCATCAAAGTGTGCCGGGTCGCAATGTTTGTGTATCTGACACGGGAGCCGCAGCGCCATCTCCATCAACAGTTGGGGATAGTTATCGAAGACATCCAGAGCATGACCTGTAAAAGTAAAATGTAAATGTTAATAGATGTTTTAATGATCACAATTAAATTTATTACATCATTATTTATGACTAGCTGTGCCCGCGGCGTAGCTCGCGAATATAAGTTTTACTTAAAGAATTTGACGTTTAGGGTAAGAGAATATTAACCGATTTATATCATTACTCTATGAATAAGTGGTAACAAAATAAATCGATATTCTCAAAGTTCTAAGTCGTTTATGATAGAGCTTCTGTGTAAACGACGATAGAAGTAGACTTAGCCGGGGCGTACAGAAAAAGGTTACGGGGACTACTAACGCGAGAAAAAGCAATATAGAGCTGGCCATGTGCAAAACAATCAGTACTGACGCGTAAAGTTTGACCTTGCGCTTTATTTACGATCGTCGTATAACACACGCTGAGTGGGAAACACACTTAAAATAGGGATGTTAGATGATCATCGATGTTAAAAATTAAAACTTCGATGTTTTAACATCGATGTTGACATATGTCAAACATCGAAACATCGACGTCAATGAACCCATAATCGATAATTGGGAACTTGCAAACAATGCGAACTCGCGAAATCAATATCAACTAAATCTTGCATCTGCTCTGAAGAGTAAAAATTTTGAATAATTCAGAATTTCTGAACGCATCGTTAATCTAAAAAAATGTCAGTATGGTGAGTCAAACTTAATTGTCAAGTGTCACCTGTAATGTCACAATGGTCACTGCTTTCGCTTTATTTTGTAGTGTCGTTGTCGGTTGTCGCATAATAACTATTCTACGTAAATTGATATTCAAGTTAATTGTTACTTTTCCCTTGCTGTGTATACCCACATAATTTTAAAATAATGTGTAACTATCTACACATATACAAAAACCATCGATAATGGTCAACATCGATGTTTTGAGTGGCCTAAACATCGAACATCGATGTTGAGCTAGCGATGCCAACATCGATGTTATTATCCCTATCTTAAAACTGAAGCCTGAGCCGTGGTAGCTCAGATGGTTAGCGCTCGGTGTAAGCTTCACAGTACTCGAGCAACCCGGGTTCGATCCCCGCCGGCACCAATGAAATTGTCAATTGCAATTTTAAGTGCTGATTTACCACGTGCTCGGCGGTGAAGGAAAAAATCGTGAGGAAACCTGCATGTTTGAGAAATAAAAAATAATATTTCGATGACATGTGAAGTTCGCCAACACGTATTGGGGCAGCGCGGTGGACATTTCCTTGCCCTAAAACCCTCTCAGAAATGAGAGGAGGCCTGTGCCCAGCAGTGGGACGTAAATAGGCTGCAACTTTACTTTACTTATAACTGAAAAAAAAGTTATTTGGTATTAGAGTGATTCTGGCTATAAAACAATATCACCATCACGACATTTATTGCAATTTTGCTACTTTTAGTTGAGTTTTGTTGAATAATTAAATATTTCAATACCTCTGTATATATACCTTACAGGCTTGCAGCTTCGTCAGGCTCATGGACATAAATCATTACAGTGAGTCTCAATACGATTCACCTGCGAAAAATCTTAACACCGCAATTCAGAAAAGGTTGTAATTTGTACAACGCCATCTATTACGTTCTTTGTGAGAAAACATCCTTTTTTAATTTAAGGAAAACATATTTTTACTGTGTTTTAAGTACTATAATAGAACGATACGAAATATATTATAATAGAACGTTTTTTTTACACACGAATCTTTTTATTACTATTTTTGGGATTTTGTGGCGCCATTAAACAAATTCGAACCTACATTTCAAAATAATAATCATGACTTTCGATAGAATTAACCAATTTCAATAAAACAAAGATTAAATGAACTTGATAATACGCTTTATGATTTTCTTAAGGATTTCATTGAAAAAAAAAAGATGTTTACTCAAAACGTCATGCGTCCATAAACAAACAGACAGACCGTCAGATAGTACAATTCTAAAAATTATAAAAATGTACTTATTTAATGATTTACAGTCCCAATAATGATTTTAGTCGCAAATTAATATACTATACAATATTCAGAAACAGACATAACATGTTATTACCATTTTTATTATATGTATAGATTTAAGAGAGATGGCGCTGTTAACATCAATTCTAAAAATAAGAGATTAATTCACACGATTGATACAATAAAAAACATAAAAGAACTTATAAATCAGTGCCTGCATAGTAAGCAAAAAAGAAAGTTTGATCCTCGCCGAAAAATGAAATTGTTATTTGTTAATATCTCTTAAAATTTGATTTACCACATAGAGTACTCGGCGGTAAAAAAATAAAAAATAAATGAGATTGTCAACACGCAGTAGGGCAGCGTGTCATTAATATAAAGGTTAGAAGCAAATATGAAACTCAACTACAGGAATAAATTTTAACCTGCCTTTTTGTATCACATTTATGCCACACCACCATCTATCGAAGAAATGGGTTAACTATTGTGCTTCAGATTTAGTTAATAAGGTTAATATATTTTTGTATAATATATTTAATACGTTCTTTAATACTTTTGTTTACTGCGTTTTAGATATACATAATTATATCATTATTTTACATAATTTAACTATGATTTATGATATGATATTAGTTTAAAATGCACTTGATGACTCAAACAAAGCCACCGTTGAGCACATTCGTACCTATACTTCCCTACCCATACTTCAGAATATTTATCATAACTTTTGATGGAATGAACTGATTTTAATGAAATAAAGACTAAATGTAACCCGAAGATACACTTTATAATTTCCTTAACAATTCTTATGATATAAATTAGTACTTTATACGTGATAACGTATCATGATGGCGCTGTTAACATCAATTCTAAAAATAAGAGATTAATTCACACGATTGATACAATAAAAAACATAAAAGAACTTATAAATCAGTGCCTGCATAGTAAGCAAAAAAGAAAGTTTGATCCTCGCCGAAAAATGAAATTGTTATTTGTTAATATCTCTTAAAATTTGATTTACCACATAGAGTACTCGGCGGTAAAAAAATAAAAAATAAATGAGATTGTCAACACGCAGTAGGGCAGCGTGTCATTAATATAAAGGTTAGAAGCAAATATGAAACTCAACTACAGGAATAAATTTTAACCTGCCTTTTTGTATCACATTTATGCCACACCACCATCTATCGAAGAAATGGGTTAACTATTGTGCTTCAGATTTAGTTAATAAGGTTAATATATTTTTGTATAATATATTTAATACGTTCTTTAATACTTTTGTTTACTGCGTTTTAGATATACATAATTATATCATTATTTTACATAATTTAACTATGATTTATGATATGATATTAGTTTAAAATGCACTTGATGACTCAAACAAAGCCACCGTTGAGCACATTCGTACCTATACTTCCCTACCCATACTTCAGAATATTTATCATAACTTTTGATGGAATGAACTGATTTTAATGAAATAAAGACTAAATGTAACCCGAAGATACACTTTATAATTTCCTTAACAATTCTTATGATATAAATTAGTACTTTATACGTGATACGTTAACAAACAAACAGACAGACAGACAGACAGACAGACAGACAGAAAATTCTAAAAATGGTAGAAATGTATTTAATTACTTATTTTTAGTACCCCTCAATCACTTTTATTACAAAAATATAAAATGTACAGACATCTGCTATTTACAGTTTTATTATATGTATAGATTAAGGTAATAATTGTAGTTACTTTTCACGTATTCTTTGACAAAGAATGGCTGCATGTCTGGTAGCGGTTGTGGCGGCTGCGGCTTAAGAAGTTGTTGTCCAGGCGTAGTGGTAGTAGTAGTAGTACCTGTAATAAAGTAGACATACAATGGTGGATTTCACACCCCGATCTGTTCACATAAGCCACACATATGCTTTATATGTAACCATTTAAAAATGTACTGGTAATGAACAAATGACAGGATTTGAATATAAGAATAACTTAACATTTAACATTGTCACACAATCGCATATTAAAGAAATTCATTATATTTTACTATGAGCTGATTTCGCAATCGTCAGATATAAGTTATTCATCAAATAAATATAAAACAATAGAAATACTTTATTCATAGTATTGTCATTTTTAATTTGTTTATGTTGTATTTTTTTATAATATGAATGAGCTAATGTTTTAATTTTACTATAGATTTTATTAAATTTTGATTCGCTATTTTAAGTACGTGTTAACAACTGGTAACATTAGTATGCTCGTAACCCTTCACTGTTGGCCGTATGAGGGAGTTCAAGGTTCGAGCTATGAAGAGGGCACAGAAGTTCAGTCTCTTCGCGTGATAGACTTTGAAATAAGTATATCCGCAGTAGAACCAGAATGAACGTCATTTCATACGGATCAGTAAACTGAAAAGGCAATGGACCTGCTTCAATAGCTTGAAGAACTGACCATCGACGGGAAAAAAGTGAGACTCAGAACCGTGCTTTGCGGCATATACCTTGGGGAAGGCCTATGTTCAGAAGTGGACTTGTGAAGGGTGTGCAATGATTATATTTATGAACCTACAACATTTTCATATCGTTACATAAGTATTTGGTATCCTAATTATTACAATTTAATATATTACATGATAAATAATTAATGTTATTTTTATTGTGGTCCATTAGTGTAAGCACCGAAACTTGCGTGGTAGTATTCTATAATTCTTACAAGGTATTAATTTTTATGACGTAGAATGAAGTATTTTTGAAGGGGAATAGATATAGTTCACAAGACAAGAAACATGATTTAAAAGAATTTTGCATACGGTATGTTTTCTAAATAAGCGCAAACAGTTTATAAAGTAGACAAGAAAATGTACCAAATTATAACTTTGATGTCTTAATTAATTTTGAGTTTGAGTGATAAACTGTCAACGTAGTAACACTAGCAATGGTAAGTATGTAAATGTATATAAGTAAAAGAAGAGAACATACTGGACGTCTTCTCCTTCCAGTAGGGCAGCAGCGCGGCGAGCACGTTGTAGCAGTGGCGCGGCGCGCCGGCGCGCACGAGCGCGGCGGCGGCCAGGCGCGACACGTGCGCGGCGCACGCGGCGCCCGTCACCTCGCCCCGCGCGCCCGCGCCCGCGCCCGCACCCGCGCCAGCACTGCCGCCCGCACCCGCGCTGCCGCCGCACGTCTTCCAACGAGCCATTAACACACCTGACGCAACATCAAAATTAATTACAGTCTCCAGCTGGTTTCCGCTTTTCACTACTGTCACATTATTGTGTATATATTTAAAATTAACATACAAATTACGACCAATATAAGAATATCCAGGGACAAAATGGGGTAACCATTTCGTCCCAGAAAGAAAAACTGATACAAGTGATGAGCAGCAGCATGTTCCTGATAACAACTCAAAATAATAAAAAATTGCGGTTGCACAACCCGCTTGCCAAGTGTGGAAACTATAGCAAAATTCCCTCTATGAGGCAATCTATAAGGTTATGTTAAGCAGTGAACTTTTATAGCATGTAATGGATGAATGAATTAATAAGACTTCTCAATAGCAAAGCAGTGTTAATAAACGAAGAATCTCGAAATGGTTTCAAAATCAGAATCTTTATATATAAAAATTACGTGTCACTTTGTTTGTCCGCGATGAACTCCTAAACTACTGAACTGATTTCAATTAAAATTTGCACACTCTATGCAGTTTGGTCCAACTTGAGAGATAGGATAGTTTTTATCCTGATAAGTGACACTCAATATTTTTTTATAACGAATTTAAGGATTTTTTTATATGAAGGGTCGTCGAAAAGGGCTTAACAACGTCTGCCTGGTCAGCTAGTAGTTTATAATATTCTTTCGTTTTTTTTCTGTCAATCCCTATAAATTGCTGTTATAGTGAAAAAGGGAGGAAGACAAACACTAAAATCATGGAAAATAGTACGAATAAAGGGTTGCATCGCAACTCACTGAGCAGACGCATGATGACGAGTTGTAGCTCGCGCCTGTTGGTGCGCTCGTGCACGGGCGGGCCGGTCTGCTCGGGCTGCGTATCCAACTCCGACACCAGCAGCTCCAGCCGCATAATGGCCAGTTGCAGCTCGCCGCGCTCCCGCTCGCCACCCTCCTCCCGCGGGATGTCCAGCTCCGACACCAGCAGCTCCAGCAGCCGGTCCAGCACTGCGCGGTCACCTTCCACGCTGGAATCTAGGTCTCCGGCCAGCATTAAGACCACCTGCACATAGACAATATATTTGTGATTGGACCACATGAAACACGACTGACAGATAGAAATGCTTATCGATTTTGTTTTTGATTAAAAGGACATACAAACCTGAACAAAAGGTATAGCACGAACTCCCGGTAAATTACGAAGAGTCGGCAAGGCATCCAATGCAGCAGACAGCAGAGAAAGTCGAAGGGCATGTAACTTGTGCGTTTCGCTTTCTGCTTCGATTGTGCGAGATGATGACGCCACGGGCTGAGTGGAGGATGTTGATGGTCCTGCTGATTGAAAAAAAAAAACAGTTACTACACAGTTTCAATTTTTTTTAGAATAATTAAATGATGATGATGCAGATGATGACAGAACTACACCTTAGTATTTCTTAAAAAAAAGTGTTGCAACGGATGAGGTTGTAACACGCAACGTTACCGTATGCGCTGGAGCGTCCAGAGACGGCGCCGATGCTGTCGGCGGCCGAGCCGCCGCTGTCGGAGGCGGCCGAGCCCGCGGAGCCGGGCGGCTCGGCGGGCGACGTGCGCAGCGTGCTACCGTCCGTCGCCGCCGTGCTGCCCTCGTCATCCGACCTACGCGCACACCACTCCTCCTTTATACTCTGTCCTTCACTAGCCAGGTATTAAGATATATCACAGTGACAAACTCCGCATTATTGCTGATACGGTGATAAAATGTTAATGGAGTTGTTGTAAATGTATTAACATTTCTTCTATCTCGCATATTACATGTGAATATTATACACTGAATACAAATACCTACGTGTATCAATAGTTGAAATTGAAATATCAACGAGACAATAAATAAAGAACATTTTATTCAAAAGAGGCAATTCTATTAGAATTCTTAAGAATGCCAATTTCTTGCTTCAGATGTCCATAAAAGTTAGCAGCAATAACCATTAGGTGAACTTCTAGCCCATTTCTCACACTATATACTATATACTACTCTCACACTATATACTATATACTATATTCGGGGTAATCTTTTACGATGGTTTATTTCTTATATCACTAACCGTTGTCAAAGGGTTGTAATCAATGGATACCACTCTAACGTTACGATGGTTACCTCCGGTGTACCTCAAGGATCTATTCTCGGTCCTCTGTTGTTTGTAATGTTTATCAATGACATAAGTACCTGTTTTCTCAATTCTAAATTTCTATTATATGCAGATGATCTTAAAGTTTATAAATCTATCCATACTACACAAGACTGCATTCTTCTCCAAGAGGACCTGGATAGACTGACAGACTATTGTTACAAAAGTAAACTTCAGTTAAGTATTCCGAAGTGTAAATATCTCAGTATTACTAAAAACAAGAATATTATAAAATTTTCGTACTCACTGTGTAACATTCCTTTGGCTAAAGTGGATTCTACGCGAGACCTTGGTATATTGTTTGATTCAAAACTGTGCTTAGACTTACATATTGAACAAATTGTAAACAAAGCATACAAATTATATGGATTTATTATGAGATCAACTCGCGACTTCAAACGGACCTCTTCATATCTTTGTTTATATAAAACCCTAGTTCGCTCTCAACTTGAGTATGCTGTGCCTATTTGGAATCCTTACTATAATAAATATATACACAAAATTGAAAATGTTCAGCGCCGGTTTCTACGTGCAATGCATTATAGATGTCATAAATCTTATCTACCATATGACCAGTTACTCAGTAGATACAAACTTCTAACCCTCGAATCTAGACGTAAGCAATTAGAGGCTATGACACTTTTCCATATAGTAAGATGCAAGTTTGACTGTATTGAGTTAAATAATGTGTTATGTTATGCGGTCCCCAGAACTGTCCATAGACGACAGGTGCGTGCGGGTAAACTCTTTGCCGTAAGTGCCTGTCGATCCAATACCGGTATACGTTCACCGATTCGACGTATGGTTGCCACATATAATGAGACCTTCGAGCATATAGATATTTTCACATGCTCAACGGAAAGGTTTCGTGGTTTATTATATAAGACACTTTTCAAATAATAATTTGTCACCTCAGTCACATTATAATATCATTGCTGACCATACTTTGACACTTATATAATACGTTCTGTACAGCTGCAGGTCTCCTAGCGTCTTAATCATCTATCTCAAGAGGTAATCTGTGAACAGCACTGTGGGCTGCATTATTGCGTATATTAATGTTACTGTACTATCTGTATGTAATATATATAATGTAGCTGTTAGCTGTTCCACTTTGAATAAATAAAATAAAATATAAATAAAAATTTATGCGCTTTCGCGATTTAAAGAAAAACTTTATAATAATACACAATTACTTAATTACAATTTTTCTCCCTCGCACAGCTTCCTTGTGGAATCGATTACCACCAGCGATTTTTCCGGACCGATACGACTTAGGGACTTTCAAGAAAAGAGCCTACTCCTTTTTAAAAAGGCTTGCAACGCATCTGCAATGCCTCTGGTGTTGCAGTTGTTCATGGGCGGCGGTAGTCACTTACCATCAGGTGAGCCGCATGCTCGTTTGTCCCCTCTCCTATAAAAAAAAAACAAGCATTTACTGGTTCACTATGTTACGTGTTAACACACGCAACGCATACGCGTAGACTATTACGAATGAAACAGAGGCAGTAGAAACGATTTTCTCACTCTTTTATTCTAACTTCGGGTTGAAGTCGGAGAAGCGGAAGTGTTATACTTTCCGTCTGATCAAAAACAATAAAAGATTTCGCACCAAAAATCGCGCGCGGCTGTAGGCGTGTCACTGAAGGCGGGCGCGGGCGCGGGTGCGGGCGCAGGCGCGGCGGCGGGCGCGTGCGCGGGCGCGGGCGGCGGCGGCGCGGACGGCGCGGCGGGCGCGCGGCGCGGCTGCTCCTGCAGCGACAGCGCGATCGCCAGCTGCACCATGGTCTCGTCGTCCGCGTCCGCCGGGATGTCCAGCAGCGCCTCCAGACCTGTGCCACGTCACAACACTATATGCCTTACTTCGAACTTATTAGGTTGCTTGTGTGCGGCCAGAATAAAACGATCCATAACTACATTGTTGTTGTATGTCGTAAGAAGGTCTTATGGATTCCAATAGATGGCGGTACAACCATTTATGGGCGTTCCATACCCAAACCAACAATAGGGAACAGGGTCATCAGGAACATGGTGCTAAGCATCTGGTACTGTGAACGTCAATCCCCTTGCTAAACGTAACAATTATGGCAATTCCTTCCTAAAATAGGAGTCCCATACTCAGAAATAAGATTTATAAGCCAATGAAGGTTGGATACAGAAATTAATATATCAAATAAAGCAAGATTAATTATGGTGTTCAGGTGATCTAAATTATGTAACCAACGTATCTCATGTCATAAAAATTACGCAAATAATATAATTTGGAAATAAAAACGGTACCAATGTTACCTCCATCTGGCGCAAGTAAAACCATCGGTTCGAGAGCATCATCAACATCCATGAATTGATTCTCTTGATTTTCTTCTCGGTTTGCACTTATTTCCGATTCTAGGACCACAGCTTCAGTGGTTGAACTTGCCGGTGGAGCCGTTATTGCTGACGATCCCGCACCTAAGAAATAAAATTGAAAGAATTAAGAAATAAAATAAGAGATTAATTTCAATAGGACAGTTTCAGTAAGATACTATTTTCATAAGGTGAAAAATTACCTGGTGTATTGGGTGGTGAAGGTATGTATACACGTCGCCTTTTTACGCGCGGCCGTAAGACTCTCATCAGAGCTGCTTTAGCACCGAAACTTATGCTTTGATCTTCGGCCAAGAGAAGCGATAAGTAAATTTGATTTCCAAAGTCAACCTGAAAAAAAAACATTGAAAAAATTAAACTTAAACATTAGTGTAAATGAGACGTGTAGTTTTGGCCTTAAAACTGACTGATCTACAAAATGTATAATACTTATTGGGATCCACTGTTTGTTTTAATGTAATATTTCAAGTTCTATAAATTGGACAAAATACTTAAAAATGTAAAATAAATTATTACGTAATGAATACCGGGGTAAAATATCAGCCTAATGCTGCTGTATTTTGTATGGTGAGTGTAGAAAACCGGAGACCCTTTTTACTGAAAACGAGGTCTTCCACCTTAGTCCTCAGGGTGACAATAGATCTGCATTTTGATTTTTAATTGAGGAAAGATGTACAAATCTATTGGCAACACCATCGACTTATTATTAGGTGGATGGTATGCTTATTCTATAAAAAATGAAGCGATTGCTTTATTTATGACCGTGCTGCATGCAAAAATAGTTATTTCCATTGGCCGGAATGACGGGTAAAATGGTTTGTGTAGGGCGGTGGTGCGGTGGTGCGGTGGTGCGGTGGTGCGGTGGTGCGGTACTGACCATGTGTGTGTCGGCGTGCATCTGGAAGGCGTGCAGCGTGTCGGCGAGCGCGTGCAGCGTGTGCTCGACGTGGCGCAGGCCGTGCGCCAGCACGCCGCCCACGGCCGGCGCGCGCACGCCCGCCAGGCGCCACAGCACGCTGGCCAGCAGCGCGCACAGGTGCGGGCCCGCCTCCCCGCCCTCTCCGCCCTCCTTGCCCTCGCACTCGCCCTCGCCCTCGCCCTCGCCCTCGCCTTCGCCGTAGTCGCCCTTCCACAGCGACGACCAATCACCTGACACATACATTTTGTTTATTTCAAACAAGATTTCACCTCGCATCAAACTTGTAGAGCAATAATTGACTGTAGTAAAATATCAAGGTCTAAAAAAAACCTCATTTAAATGATACTTATTTCTGGCATAATTTTTAAATAATCATACGATAGATAATGCATCTGCAAAGCTTTGCATTTGCAGTAAACACCAGTAGACTTTTCAAAACCGGTTGCATGTTACAGTTCTTTATTTTAATTTCAATAAATGTTTTCGCTTTTCGGTATGATAATATGAAGATTGAAGACATCGGTGTTTAGCATTATTTTTGAAACAGTAAAATTAAGTATGGATTCACTACTATAACCATTGAACACTAACCTCTAGTCACAACACTGGACTGGCTATACTATACAAAAAACTTATGCAATTTGAATTGTAGTTATTTAAATCTCTGTATTTTGAACTTTTTAACTAAAAAATGAAAGTATTTTATGTAGTTTGATTATTGTTGATTTTAAAGAATTATTTTTAGTAATAATGAGGGTGCGTAATATGCAAAACTCGTTACCAAAAGGAAAGTGGAATAATATTCCACTTAGTGAATTTACAGCTAATATTAAAGAAATTAAAACTATTTGATAATATAGGTACTCAAAATTTATTTCTAATCTTAATATCGTAATTACCAACATGCTTGGCTTTATATTACTGAATTTTGATAAACAATAAAATTCAATAGGGTTGTAGAGTTCCTTGTCTATAATACTTATCGATGTTCTTTTCTACCCATATCTGTTAATAACAGAAAATTATAAAATGTTTATTAATTAACAGGTTTCAAACTGAACCTAGACTAAAATTATGAGTAAAAAACACAAAAATTGTGAATTGGCGTCAGAAACAAAATAATTATCATTGTTCTAAACACTTCACACACGATTGTTCTATTAGACATGGGAATCGCACCACTTTGAAAAAGTACAGTATAGACACAATATTTTCTGGTAGTACCAGTACCAGTAAGTATAAAAGTATTGGATTATTATTTCGAATGTTTTTTTATTTCTTCTCTCCTTATTTTTTCCTAGATTCAAGGGCCATAGCCAAGTGTAGAAAGGTCACCTGATGACTTTGTGTTAGTGTTCCTGGTCCGCCTTATCTAAGAAGGAAAAGGAAGAGAAGTCCTCAACTAAAGAAGGGTATTCGCTGGTGGAGCCACGGATGTGTTTAAAAGCGTGGCCTTGCCAATGTGTGGCGAAGGTGGAACACCATGGGGTGCGTGTTCGACATAATCTGTTGTTGCCCCCCCGATGCGGGTACGTGTAAGCATTTCCTCATTTGAAAAACGGAACAAAATCCGTTCTGTAGTTACAAATAAAACCGTAGATAGACCAACGCAGCGTCAATCTTGGTTTTATATGAGGTATAAAGCTAGCGTCTAAAACCTAGGTATTAATTGATACATTTATTTATTGTATGGCATTATATTAATATGATAACTAGAATGGACGTTACGGGTAGACCTAGGTATAGAATTTTTCTCGATATATTTTGTCACACTGTCTTATCTCTATTGTTAATTCCTTGGACGTTCACTTCTGCTGTCAGCGCCAAAATGGCGAAAATCAAATTGCCTCATTATATCACGGTGTATAGCCAGTCCATATATAGAGGTCAGTGGTAATGACGGATAACATCTTAAGTAAACTTACAATACAAAGACATCAACAAAAGCAATAAAGGCATAATTTTAAAAATGCGTTTGTAAAATGAGTAGTTACCGTTGTCGGGTATGGTTGGCGTAGGCGGTGTGAACTTGACGAGGTGTTGTGGGCGCGCGACGGCGACCCCGCGCGCCAGCAGCACGAGGCGGAAGTACGCCTCGGGGTCGATGTTGCGCGCGTCCGCCGTGTCGCGCAGCTCTCGCAGCGACGTGCACACGTACGTCAGGATCGCTTGATCCTGCCCACGGTCACATTATCATGTCAAACTTAAGCAAATCATTCATGTTTAAGAAAACAAATTATCCAACAGCAGTTTATTCCAAACGCTGTTTAAGAAACTATTATCAGGTAAATAATATTTATTGAGAACAGATTATATTCTTTAAAAATGTCATAAATACAATCCCTAGTTTAAAAATATTGTAATCTATGCAAAAATAAACAAGATGTGATATATTGTTAATTTTACCTTAAACTGGTGGTAATTCGACTGATAAATGGCGCGGAGTAGGCACTGGGCGCGCGCGTGAAGCTGCGCAGAAGCAGGTGCACACAGTAGTTTCCTAGCCGCCTCGCCACCTGCTTCTGCCGCTGCTTCCGCACTTGGCATAGCAGTCGTAGCAGTCGTGGCAGTAGTGGCAGTTGTTGCACCACCCGAGGCGACAGTAGCAACATTGCCAGCCGTGGCAGCTGCAACCACAGGCGCACCCGCTGCCAGCTCTAAAGCTTCCAGTGCCGCACAAGCAAGGCGTTCTAAAGAGCTTGGTCTCCAAGGTCCGCTGAAACCTTCAGACTCCTACAAACATATAATTAATATACTTTTAAAATATGTAATCCTCATAATTATTATTTTAGTATACAAGTAATTGGATACTTAAACAGGGACAATTTTGTCCATTATTCTTTCTATTCACTATTAAAACTAAGTTATTAGCAATTACATAAGTAGTACCTAAGGAGAGTTTGCTTACATCATGCTATGTTACATATAAGTTAGCTTAGCTAGATCTGAATAAGCGTAGCTAATAGCTTTAAATATATATATATACAGCTATATAACCGTATATATAAATACAAAAAAGACAACTTTCGTAGCAATCTTACTTGGGCAATCTTGCTTGTGGATGCACACGCTGAAGCATCCTCATTTTCTTCTGGCCACCCAAATTGCTCCTTGTTCTTTCCATATACCTAAATGAAAATATTTTTATAATAAAATAAGATATAATAGTATTATAAATTTATTTATTTTCATTCACTACATCAAAATCCCACTACTGAACATAAGTCACTCCTATAGACTGCCTCATTAGAGGAATATTTGCCATAGTTACCAGGCCTGGGGTTGGCAAGAGCAGTTTCTTTATTATTTAAGTTATTATCAGGAAGATACTGCTGCCTATCTCTCCTGTTTTTAACTCCCGACAAAAAAGAGGGGTGTTATATGTTTAACGTCTGGTATCTGTGGTCTGTCAGTGGCAGGCTGGTGCAACTTCCATAGTAAAAATTATATGTACTACAGGGGTCAAATTTTAATGACGGTTACTCTTCTTTATGCTTTTCGTGATATGTCTATTAACGACATTGTCAAATGAAATACGTTCAAATGTCAAATCAAACAATTATATTTGTATATATTTTATTAATTAACATTGCTTTTAATTTTGCTATAGGAGCCGTTGTTCATTTACAGAATTGTTAAGAAATTAAATATGCATTATAAAACTTTCCAATTAAATGGTGCTAGAAGCGGAAAAAATGATAACAAGAAAAGGCTATTCGTAACAATATTTCCCTTAGATGATGAAAGGTATGTGGTGATTTCAACTTTAATAGTAATATGATATTCAACGCGAGTATATTTTTGGACTAGCCATCTATGTAGGACATGTTTTTATAGCGTACGATTGTGTGCACAAATACAAACACACTATTTCCTAAATCTGATTGTTCGATGGTTTAGCAATCCGAAACGAACTATACTTAGAAACTACAAGTCAATTCTGACTGCTAACATTCTATTTATTCAATAATAATGTGATTTTATTTATATTATTTTTTCAGATGCAACCAATGGGTGAAATAGCTGGCACTTGCACCAATTGAAAAGATTCACATGTTAAGACATATTTGTGACAAACATTGCATATGAACCCAACTAAAACGAACTGTTATTTCTTTAGTGGACTTACTTTAAACTTCCACAATTTATGTGTATGTTAATTAGGTTTCATTTACATGTAGCAAAAGATAATATCCCTCTAACGTCACATTTTGGCAAGAATTAGATTATATAACTAAATCATTATTTTATTCATCAATAAACATTAGCTATAATGAGCACTTATTTTGAAAGCGACAATTAGTAAACGATCTCTGCGAATAGTATGTACATAGGTGCCTCTGTGAAGAAGCCTAGCGATTTGTACATAGTATTTGTTACACATAAAAGCAATTTCATCCAATCAGTATTAAAATCCCAATATTTTTACCCTTAAAAAAACTAACGTTGAAAACAAGCATCCAGACGCAGACTATTTTACAGCATAGCAACAATTGTTCAGTGCGGGAAGGAAGCCTCGGTCCTGCAATGCCGCAGCCAAGCGCTTAGCCATTGCGCTACGGAGTCGTCATTTATTTTTTACTTAATTAATTACTAGTATAAAAGTGCGTTTTTTATTTTATATTTTCTTTATACATACTTTTGTACCTAATTGTAGAGATATAAATACAAATTGCTGTGTGTAAAATACATTGATTTCTTATCCTCATCGGCATTTTTACTCAATCCACACGTTTATTTCTCATAAATAATTCAGTATAGAGATCTAACTTTTCTTATGTAAAAAATCGATAAACAATATATCGATAAAGGTTATATCGATAAAATTATTCGAGGATAGACATTTACAGCACTATTGTAATTCAATGTTGTCAGCACTGGTTCTCAAAACTAAATGTCATATCTTGATGTTGGTAGAGTAACTTGGCGTAATTTCATGCAATTATTTTTACTATGGAAGTCCCGCCTCTTAAACGTAGTGATTATATTCTCTTTGGTCAGTGGCATCGTAGCTCTCAAACGGATGAACCGATTTATATTTAGGTTCTTTTGTTTGAAAGGTGACTTGATAGAAAGTGTTCTTAGTAATGATTCAAGAAAATCTTTTCAGCCGTTTGAGTTTAATTTTTTTTTCAATTTAATTTATTATTCTATAATATGAGTTATAAATCATTTGTGTATTTTTATTATATTACTCTCTGACGCCTCTTGGGACACGCACGGGATGATATAATTTATTATAACAAGTGAATTTGTCTTGTGCATAAAAACGTGTGACACACAATCACTAGATATCAAAATAAATTTTACCTTAACAGAATCAACCATTGTTACGCCGTCAGGGTCTTGCGATGGTCCAAAGTTGATCACAAGTTTTTTGTCCGATTGTAAAGACTCTTCGCGAGTTAATGGTATATCGAACCAGCGGCTGCGTACGACTACTGTCGGTATCGATCGCCCATAGATCTATTATAAAACATTTAAAAAAAAATAAAGATATAAAATGTTAGTAAAATCTAAGAAGAGTGATATCAAAAATAATACGAGTTAAAGTTTTAAAAATAACGCAGTACCTCTACATAGGATGGTGTCCGAGCAACATCTTGGCTTCCGAGTAACACCCTAATTCCACAAATGACCATGTTAGGATCGGAATTTATCACTTCCATTGAGAAACCGCTCATTTTCGTGGATACGACATATAAACCTACAAAAAAGTATACGATTTCAAGACATCATACAACACCTTAAATTATCAATAATATTTTTTATAAAAAAGTAAGATCGAAAGACTCACTGGTGGTGTTCAGGCGATTCTTTATTTGTGCAGTATTATACACTTGCAGCAAATCATTGCCGCCGAATTCGATGTCAGTCATAGCGACGCAGTGCTCGAAGAAATCAATCGGGAATTGAGGAGCACCGTTTGCATTAGATTTGGTGGTAGCCTGATGTAAAAAGTAATATTGAAAATTATTACATTTTACTTTTATTGAATTCAAATATAACTCGGTAAATTCTTGTAAAAACTGGATTCGTTAAATCGTTAAAAAAAAATCAAGTTAATGTAGAGGAAGGTTAGCTTTGTGGGCTCTCTTGTTAAGCTATTGCTAGATACCATAAAAGGAATCTTGAAAAGTTTTAAAATCAATCAATTTAGACCTGTTTGAAAGGAACAAGATGTAGACAGTGTCGTAAATCATTGTACATATTTGTAGTTTTTTTTTCTTTCTTGTAGTTTTAGTATTGCATGCATGCATTGTATCATTTTTGCATAACACGGTCCAATTAAGGTTAATATTTTTTAAATCTACAACTGTGGTAACAGTAGTATTGAATAATTTAAAATTTTCCAAAAATGCCAATAGCTTTCTCTGTGGAATAACAATCGAGGCTTTGACAAAAGACAAATAGTATCTATATAAAACACCAAAACCATATCCCACTGATTAGTGCAGGTGAGAAGAATTCCATAAAAATGGGCTATTTATTAATAAGGCGTCATCTATAAAGACGTAGTTGTGAAAAAGTTATAAAAAAAGTAAAAAGTAAGCAGCATAGGAAACGTGTGTTACCTGCTGCAGTTTGGGCTTGGCGTGTGCGTGTGCGAGCGCGCGCGGGCGGCGGCGCGGCGCGTGCGTGGGCTGGATGGCGGGCGACAGCCAGTAGCCCGTGCTCTCCGCGCTCGCCGCGTACATGCGCAGGCTGCCGTCCTCGCACAGCAGGATCAGCGTGCTCTTCTGCTCGCCGAACACGCTGCACCAGTGCCGCACCGCCACCATGTCCGTGATCTTCGCTTTCGCCGGTACCACCTGTGCACAATCTTATATTAATCACATCTATAGTGCCGTCTACTGAGTTACCCCATATCATACCGTGCTTGTGGTACGAGTCGATGGAACAAAATGAAATAGTATTTAGATAACACCATGTCCACCTGCCAAGCCAAGCTAAGAAAAACCCATTTTCATATTTTTAATTAATAAAAATCTCTAATTTTTATAGAGACAGTATAAAAAACGGTAAAACAAAACAAGTTAAATTCAGTCGATGCATTACAGTAATACTACAATACAATCTGTCAAACCATATAACGTCCCTAGACTCAAGCTAAGTGTCTCTATAAAATTAGCAGGTTAAGCCACAATCACTAAGGTTTCAATATGGTTTCATAATTGCAACCTTAGAGGCCTCACATCCTAAATATTTATGCAAATGTACACTTACTAAAGTTTTTCTAAAAAATCATGAATACCCGACGTTGAACAACGAAGAATACGATGAAAACGATGATTAAAATAAATTTTCGGACAAGTAACTAACACTCGTCACGTGCACATCCACGTCATCCATTGAATATTTTTGTTGAAGGAGTAATAAAATCTATCTGACATTTTCTTAAAACAATCCGAATAAAAAATCGAGTGGCAAATCCCACAATTTATATAAACTACCACCTGAGCAAATGGCAAAAAATGCTTTTACAACATAAGTTAATAAGTACACATCTCTTTTATACTGAAGTTTTAGTTATTGGTTAAATTGATATTTATATTTAAATGAATGAACCCGTATAACCTACCTTAATCTCCTGAACGTAAATGGTGGTGGGCGTAAGCATAAGTATAACGGGATTGTTGGAGGCCTGCATCACGGCGGTGACGAGACCTGGGTGTCCAGGTACTTCGGCCCATTGGCACAGAGACTGGACACTTCCCTGTTTGCCACTGCGTCCACTACCTTCTTTCTGTGTCGCTGATGACGACAAGGTTATCATGGCCGTGCCTGCCAATAATTTAAAATGTTATTTTATAATCTGGCTCAAGGGACTAAAAAGCTCTTCGAACTCTTAATATGACTATATTTTTTATAACTACATAATTGTTTGTTTAAGTGTAAAAGATTATAATTTCTTAAATTCTTCTTACGTTTAACACTTTCTTCAACAGTGTTGAGAGGGGCGAGGAAACTCTTGCCTTGGGCGTAGGAAAAGAATAGCATCTTGAGCGTATGAGAATAATAAATCGAAACACCGCCGCCTCCGACTAGGCCCGCCACATCCTGTAAAGATACCTCAATGTTTTAAATTTCTTTTTTTTTAAAGAATGTAAACAGCAGAAAAACCGATAAAAGATATAAAAATATATTCATACAAAGACAGACACTCACTTATTTCGTCTTAAAATATATGAACAACTACCTTCTTGAAAAAAATCTGAATATTTTACAGTATTCAGTAGTACAAAAACAATTGTTGTGAATTATAAAAGTTAAAGGCGGTGTTCAATACAGTGATGGAGATCAGTAAAAATTAGCTCACACTACATTACATTTCACTATCACAATGACAATGTTTTATTTCCAATTACATTAATGACCATAAAACAAATTACATCAGCCTACCTGTATCTCTGGGTGCAGCACCTCTAGTGTGTTGGTGACATAGAAGGTACCAAGTGTAGCGCGGGACTCTTCGCTCATCGGCTGCCAGTAGATGTGGCCGGCAGAGCTCATACACAGCATATGCATTACGCCTTCTTGGTTCACAAATGTTACATCGCGGACCTATGGGCACACATCAAATGTTATTTTTAAGTCAGAAGCTATTAAACAGAATTGAACACAAAATATTATAAGCCACTAGATTTGAGAAAAAATAGTGTTAACTATTTTTTCAAAAATTATATTTAGATTAGATTGTGAGCACATTAGGTAAAATTAAATAGTTTAAAATGTGAATATTTTTGCGAAATAATCAACAACACATAAACCTGATTACATTTCTGATAATATAAAGAACGGAATAGATGGGAGTATACAGTAAAAATACAATTTAATTTGCGCTAAACCTTTACCTGCATAGTACGACATTTAAAGTATTTTTACCTTTCCACTAGGCACAAGGAAGTGATGCATCGGATTATTTAGGTCCTTGCTGAGGTCGAAAATTTTGACAAATTCAGATGTAACCAGAGCTAGCTGCGTCTGTGAGCCGGGTAGCCATATCGCTTTGATTACATAGTTATTTCCTTCGAGGCCGGTGTTTAGTACAAGATGATCAACCACCGCACCTAAAATTAAATTAAATATTAAAATGTCGTCATACAGTACTTGATACATATTATAATAACCATGATCATCGCACTAACAACTTCCGGTTACCTCTAAAACTTGTCGTATGAGCAGAGTATGTACTATATAAATAGCTTAATAGATTTCCCGTATTTAAAAGTACAATGACCATTTTCGTAGCATTTGTTGACTTGCTTAATTTTTGTGTATATAATATTGTTTCTTTCAGGTGGCTTACAACAATATGGCTACTTTCTTAAATTAATAATAATTGCTAATAAGGTGCCCCTTACCTCCACTGTTAAACGTGAGTACGTGGCATTCTTTGAGGCCGCATACAGCGAGCAGGTCCTCGTTACAGGCGTTGCCGCTGAGACTAAGCACAGTGAAAGGTATCGGCGCTGAAGACAGTCGTGTCAATGTTAGTTTATGTTTTGATGAGTCTGCTTGTTTCAGAAGCGCAGACAGTTGCAGAACGGTGATTTTGCCTGTTCAGAATGTATAACATGTTGTTAAAACTATGTTCAAGAAATAATAAAAACATAATTAATTTTGGTAGTTTTATACTAGTGAATGTAGTTTATAAATATTATAAATGAAAAAATATCATTCAAGAGAAAAAAGATTTTTTTCTGCTTAGTTTTTGTGCAGTAAATATTTATTTTATTTTAATTTAAACAAATTTGAAATACATACATATATTGTTATTAATATCAACCTTTTTCATGTGAGACTGCAAGATGCTGACGGCGGCCGTGCGGCGAGGCGAGGCAGCACATGGCGACGCGACGCAGTTTGTGTGCCGATATCAGCTGCCGGATTGTCTGTCCATTTTCGCCCGTGTAAGACATGCGAACGTTCTCAAATGCGCCTTCTTGGGAGCCTGTGTAATCAGTAAGTACTTTTTAGTAAATACATGGGCGTTTCCACTGCCGAACAAAGGCCTAGCCCGTAAATTGGCTCATAGGGATTATTTGCCATAGTTGCTACACTTGGCGGGCGGATTGTTTTATTTATTATTATTTTGAGTTGTTATCAGTAAGATGTTGCTACCCATCTCCTCTTTATTTTCCCTCAGTCGCCTTTTACGAGACCCACGCAACGATATGGAGTAGTAGATTCCTTTACGCCGCTGCTACACGACAATAAAAATTAACATATGTACAACTTTTAAACTGATATTAGTAAAAAGGACGTAAAAAATAAATTATATTATGCAATGGGAATAAAATAGGGAGTAAGTAAATTTTACTATTTAAAAAAATAAAAATAAATTCTCTCGGAGATTTAAAAACTATTTTTTTAGGAAATTAATATAATAGGATATTAAAGACGAATGTTAATTAAAAAAAAGTTAAAAATGACTTTTAAGACTTAATAATTATAACTTTTAACAAAAAGTAAAAACCGACTTCAAATTGCTAAAAAAAGTAATTATTTATTTCCCACCCTTTACTTATTATTATACTTTTAGGTGTAAAAAAAATTCTCCAAATTTATATGGGACCAACCTTGAAGTATAACATATTTAATAAAAAAATAATCATCAAAATTTGTTCAGAATCTGCCAAGATATCGCGTAACGTACATACAAAACACTAATTGAGAACCTCTTCCTTTTTGAATTGAATAACTTCTGTAGTCAGAACTCTAATTCTACGATACTTTGTCTTAGTTTTTTACTTTTTAACTATTTTTTGATATTTGATACTTGAGTGGTAAGCAATATCACAACTAAAGTGTGACTTAAACAGTAACATTAAAAAAATTATTCCCTTAGGCGACCCGGTGGTATAGTTAAAAAAAAGAATTATTAAAATTGGTTTACAATTGGCGAAGATATTGCATAACATACATATGGAAAAAAAGAACAAAATACAGTCAAGTTGAATCTCATTTTGTTTTGAAATAAAAAAATAACTAGACATGATATAACGCTGTAACCTAGACGGAAAGACACAAGTCAATGACTAACTAAGTAATTCTATTACTATAGCATTATTTGCTAATTCGATAGCTTTTTGTTACTGTAAATCAGAGTGAATTTTGCCTCTTTTTCAGTTGAATTTTTTTGCAAATATAATTGTAGAAACTGTTATAGTATATTTCATTACGAGTGCGGAAAGCCTGTCATTGCAAAGAGTTCCGACAAATGTCTACGCGAGCCGAGGCGCAACCGAAGGTGAGGGTTGACAGTCGGAACAAGTTGCAATGATGGTTCCGCACGTGTACTGAACAACTATTTTTAATTCAGTTGCGAAAAAATGAAACAATTTAATAAAGAACATTTTTGGAAAATGGCGCCAACCGTAAAAGAATATAAGTAGAGATTTTTTTTGTTTTCTTCACCCATTCTGGGTAGGCAAAGGGAACTATGTCCATACAGCCAAGTCTTCAGTAGAATTTTTTTGTTGATATGAAATGAAAATGAAATTTAATGAGATGAAATGAAATGAAACCTAAGTTAGGTTTCATTTCATTTCACTCATTGAATCAAGTCATTAAATCTGATATTGAAACAAATTAGTAGCTTCTTTTACTAATATTTGCATGAATCATAAAAACTTCTATGATTTTTTTTTTAGTAAAAACTTTGTGGTTGGTTTTTTCTTTTTAATAGACATTATTTTGACAGTTGGGAAAGAGAACGTACGAGTTCGGAAAAGGTAAGGAAAAAGCTCGAGTATGTAATAGCCCACATCCCGAACGCTATACGTCCCTGCAATACGACACTTTGACCAACTGTATTAAAAAAATGTTTTTCTTTGTTTGTTCAAAAGCAAACGTGAGCATGTGAACGGGTGAACGGGTGTAGGTGTGTAGGTGCGTGGCAGGTACCGAGCGTGGGCATCATGAGCGTGTCGGTGTGCTGGAAGCGCTTGACGCCGAGGTGCAGCTGCGCGAGAGCGCGTTGCGCGCGGGCGTGCGCGCCCACCGCCGCGCCGCGCTCGCACGCCGCGCGCGCCGCGCCCGCCAGCGCGCTCAGCAGCCGCCGCACGCGCCCCACACACGGGCCCCACGCGCCGTACGACGACAGGTACGCGCGGCAACCTGCACCACACCACACCACTATTACCCTAACATCTTATAACGAATTAAATAAATAAATGCATGCTTTGTGTCCAGAGTTCACTACACCTTTTATATCCCTAATTATAAGGTGTATAAAGTTAAATTTACAGCCTATATACGTCCCACTGCCGGGCACAGGCCTCCCCTCATTTCTGAGAGGGTTTTTAGCGACAAGGAAATGTCTACCGCACTGTCCCAATGCGTAATACGTGGTAAATCAGCACTAAAAATTGCAATTTACAATTTCATTGATGCTGGCGAGTATCGAACGTCTTTTCTATAAGGTGTATAATAATGAATGAATAATAAATGGTTGATAATAACCGCCTGGGAATGAAATGGTTGGTTCCAAGCTGTTTCTTAAGTTAAATGTAGTTTATACAACCTGTGTCTTTATTATATAAATTCACTTTAAAATGAAAATCTTGTTGGGTATCTTGCGTTTTATTCCCGAACCATTGCTACAATTAAAAAAATTACTATTAATAAGAATTACTTGTAATCTTATATAAAATAAATGTAGCATGTAAATATTTTATACAAAAAATATTAACAAATAAAATCAACAATAATTTTGAAAAAAGCTCTTAGAACGCGTCTAACTCTCATATTAGCGAAACCGTACTAGTTTTTTTTTTGTAGTTTATGGCATATTTCATTGATGCCAATAAGAAGTCTGACTAAAGTTATAAGACGTACGTAAAACGCATGTCGCAACGTATTTTTTTCTGTAATTTTTACCGGCAGGTGTGTGTAAAGATAGCAATAGTATACGAGGAAAAGGTCATTTCATGGGTAAATAACATATTTCACAGACCTCATAGTTTTAATAATTATTATTACACCACTCCGTTAGTCCACGGCTGAACATATTATGTTTCCTTAAAGAAACGCAACAAACACGATATCGGGTCGCCTGCATCGACTTCTCGCATTTCTTACCAGGTCGTCACTCATATGCAGTGCGGTACCAACACTTCGTTAACGGATACGAGGCTGTCACATACTGATTAAACTAAATGTTATAAATGATGCTGAAGTGTTGCATATTACAAGTTTTCTGTACTTTATTCCTAAAAAATGTTATTTATGTTATTTCTAAACTAAGCTATACATTGACTAAAATATCAGCATAGTATTATGACTAATAGCAATAATTTTACTTTCAGTACAGCATAGTACATTTTATATTATTGTAAGATTTTTAGAAATCCTGTAAAATCCACAGCTGTACATTTGTTCTCCATTTATAAGGAGTTTGCCTTAACCGTAGTGCTTGACCGGCGGATTGGCCATCACAGTACCAGATGTTTCGCGCATTTAGGTGCTGCTACCCTTAAGTGGAAGTAAAAATTGGTTATACCGGCATTTATCAAAAGCCATTCTTCATCACGCTTCTTACGACACCCATGAAAGGAAATGTCGGCATGGAAGTTAATATGCAGTAGCACAAGCAGTAAACAACGGGTGGACCTTGTATGTTGTGCGCGAGCGCGGGGCGGCGCGGCGGCGCGAGGTAGGCGGGCGGCGTGGGGCTGGAGGCGCGCCGGCGCAGCGACGGCGCGGGCGCGCTCTCCTCGCCGCCCGCGCGCGCCGCGCCCAGCGTCGCCGACCGCTTCACCAGCGCCTGGCAGCTGCCACACACACACAGGAACCTCAATATAGGACACACACCCAATTTTGCAACTGGACAGTCTTCGGCGACAGTTGATAAATATTATGGAAACGTCACGCTTTATGGTCGCTATCTGTGTAACGGGCTTCGCTTATCGCCGCAGACATAGTTTTGTGGTACGAAGCTCGTAGGCTTTTTTTATTATCTATCAGAAAAATAATTAACAGGCCGCATTTTGTATTTTGAGAGCCGGCATTTTTATCAACTCTATTAGAACACGTTTCAGCTTTTGATAAAAACTAAAACTATATATTTAAACATTTAAAAAATCTATTTTTCTAGCCGCAAATTAAGTCGATTGATTTTTTTAAAAACTGTATTATTGCGCTACTCCACATTGTCGAAAACTAAAGAACCGATTTCATATTTAAGAAAATATATTTTTTTATTACATTTTGTTCGCGCCAAACGCTATTTTGTTGTATCGACGTCAGAGGGCGCGCGGCTCGGTGTCATACCGGTTTTGACGCGGTCGAGCGGTGGGTGTTGAGAACGCGTAAAGGTGCAAGGCAGTCGTCTGCCAGCTGTGCTTGGGACAGCACGCTGTCATTTTTTGTCAGGAACTCAGAATAATTAGGCGCGGCTAGTAAATGTACTGCCTAGGATTTGTGACGCGTATTCCTTGTTGTAGAGCTTCCCCGGGACTCATTGTGTCGGACTCAGAATCTGTATAAGTGCATTCGACAATATTAGCTAAAGCGGCCTTTGATATTCTAGAAATAACTGTTGCTACGCGAAGCGGTAGTGACCTTTGATCCGGACACTCCCTGTTCATTTTGTGTGTTAGGCTTTTATAACAAACGAGAGTTAGAGGGTTCTGTAAGTTAGTTAATAGTACGATAGAGTTAATGGACTGTCATCGTGACGAACGAAGAAAGTGACTGTGGACGGCGCCGCGGAAGACCTCAATTTGGAGCAGCCTGGAACTCGGCCGCTGCTGGTCGCCTATGCTTGCCAAGGTCCCACACATTCACACCTCACTGTACACTACTCGCCATCCACTATTACACACACTCACGGCCTGCCCAAGCTTTGGTGCGAAGTTAGCTTCGGATAATGGTAAGTACCATGTGTTTCTAGCTTTCTCCCTTATTGTTTGGTGTAACTAGACATTTTCCACTTTGGCCTTAGGAGGCCCGAACTACGTCTGCTCGTCGAAACTCAGCTGAATGGGCCCCTGAGGATTTGACCTTTAGGGGAGCAGCCGTAGGCCGTAACACATTTAGTTGAAATGTTTCAATCATCAGATAAAAGATATCGATTGAATTAATATATCTCTATATAACCTGGCTGAATGTAAATATGAAACAATAGAACTATTTTATTCATAAACTGTAATTTTAAATTCGTATAACCTTTATTTTACCTTAAGAGTAATTAATATTATCCGACTTTTGAAAAATCGGTTCTCATTAAACTTGTAAACTAACATATTGCTGATTGCCATTGTTTTCATATGACATCATTTTTTTCATGACATTCATATGACACACTCATTCACCACCACATCATGTTCTTATTTAAAAACTTATTATACCAACTTTGAATAATTGTTATTTTATTGTCAATTAGGTGCACAATGAATAGTACTAAAAATTGATATTTATTCACAACTTATAATTCCTTATTCAAAATAAAACCAATTATCAAAGCAAACAAATCATACCTCGAATCAGGCTTCGCTCCGCAATCGCAAAAGAAATTGCCAAACTTTGCGTATGAGACATCGTGTCCACGGTGGCAGACACGTGCGCACACCGTGCACACGCCCACGCCGTCAACCATCTTGCACGTGTGGCAGTGGTACCAGTGCTGGTTCATGAACTCGCGCTGCGTCACCGTGAACGTGCACAGCTTGTACTGCAGCATCGCATCCTCATCCTAGTGGTAACAGTTTTCAAATGTATTACTATGCTACTACATTACATTGCACGACAAAATTCACATAATATCAACAGCTTTTAAAGTTCACTGTTGTACACAAGCCTTAGGAAGATGGGTTAGTTAAGAAAAGCAGAGCCTAATACCCTCGCCACCATACAATTACACATCTCGAAAACTGTCATTTAGTTCTGCCTGTAGAAATTTAAAAATATGTTGGTACATAGGCTGCACTAAAAGTATCGGGAATGGAATATTTCCACTGTTCCTGTCATATTAAAATCTTTTTAATTGAAAATTCCTTGGTTTTTTAAAATCTAATACCATATATTTATTTAAAAAAAGATTCTCGGTCTTGTCACAAGGTTTTGTCAAACTTGTTTAGTCGTTAATAAAATGGAATTGACTCGAGAAAATTCAAGAGCGATGATTTATTATGACTTTCGAAGTGGTTTAACACAAAAACAGTGTGTTGACCGGATGATTTCTGCATTTGGTGATGAAGCCCCATCCAAAACCACAATTTATCGCTGGTTTGCTGAATTTCAACGCGGACGTATCAAGCTCAGTGATTATCCCCGTCAAGGTCGTCCAAAAACTGCAGTATCCAAGAAGACGTTGATGCTGTGCGTAAGCTGATTGAGGAAGATCGACATGTGACATACCGCGAAATTCAGGCAACTTTAGACATTGGCATGAGTCAAATACAAATAATCTTGCATGAACAATTAGGTGTAAAAAAGTTGTTTTCCCGATGGATACCACATTCGCTCTGTGAAAAGCAAAAAGCGGCTCGCGTTACTTGGTGCGTCAGAACTCTCGAAAGATTCCACGCAGGATCCTCAAATGCTGTATACAACATCGTATCAGGTGACGAATCCAGGATATACGCGTACGAACCCGAAACAAAAAACCAGTCACGAGTTTGGGTGTTCGAAAATGAGTTAAAGCCAACAAAAATTGTTCGTTCACGGAGTGTTGCAAAAAAAAATGGTGGCCACGTTTGTCTCCAAAACTGGCCATGTTACGACTATTCCTCTTGAGGGACAAAGAAAGGTTAATGCAGAATGGTATGCTAGCATTTGTTTGCCACAGGTCGTTTCTGAACTCCGTAAAGAGAACTGCAACCGCCGCATCTTCTTCCATCACGACAATGCGAGTTCTCACACCGCACACAGAACAAAAGAGTTTTTAGAGCAAGAAAACAGAATTATTAGAACATCCGCTGCACAGCCCCGACCTAAGCCCTAATGATTTCTATACTTTCCCTAAAATAAAGAATAAATTGCGTGGACAGAGATTTTCATCACCTGAAGAAGCTGTGGACGCCTACAAAACGGCCATTTTGGAGACCCCAACTTCCGAATGGAATGGTTGCTTCAATGATTGGTTCCATCGTATGGAAAAATGTGTCAAATTTCGCGGAGAATACGAGGGTGGATTGAAAAGTACTCGGCCTAACCAAGAAAATGAACAAATACTAAATCAGTTATATTTTTATTTTTCTACATAATCACCATCAAGTTCAATACACTTTTGCCACCTCCCCTTCCAAGCATTTAGACCGTTGAAAAAAAATGATTCTTCCTTAGAGTCAAAATATGCGTCTACAGCTGCTTTGACCTCGTCGTTTGTCGAAAATCTTTGACCTCCCAAGTGCTTTTTTAGGTTAGGGAACAGAAAGAAGTCTGATGGTGCCAGATCAGGTGAATACGGCGGATGCGGTAACAGTTCAAAGCCACAGTTGTGAATTTCAGCCATTGACTGTACTGACGTGTGAACACGGGCGTTATCTTGATGAAACAGGACTTTTCTTCTGAGCATTCCTCGACGTTTTTCTTTTATTTCCTCTCGTAAACGACGTAGTAAGGTGCAGTAGTAATCAGAGTTTATATTCTGACCCCTTTCAAGATAATCAATCATAATCACACCTTTCGAGTCCCAGAATACTGAAGCCATCACCTTATTTGCCGACAAAATCGACTTAGCCTTTTTAGGGGGTGGTGAACCAGGTCTTCTCCACTGTTTTGATTGTTGTTTTGTTTCCGGTGTACAGTAATGAACCCATGTTTCGTCCATAGTAACAAAACGATTCAAAAAATCATCTGCATCGGCTTCAAATAACTCCAAACAGTCGCGTGAAATAGTCAATCGCGTCCTTTTTTGTTCAACTGAAAGCAGTCGCGGAACCCACCTCGCAGACACCTTGTGGAAACCCAACTCGTTGACAATGATGTTTTGAGTTCGTTCATAAGAGATGCCTATAATCTCGGCTATCTCTCTAATTTTTAATCTGCGGTCTCCCATTATTAAATCAAGTACTTTTTTAATATTTTCGTCAGTAGTTGACGTCGAAGGCCTTCCAGAGCGGGGTTCATCATTCACACTCTCTCTACCACGCTTAAATTCTGCTATCCATTTTTTGACGGATGAATATGACAGAGCACAATCGCCTAATGTACTGACCATGTCATCATGGATGGCTTTTGATGATAGCCCCTTCTTATGGAGGTACTTAATGACGGCACGCTGCTCGATTTGCTGCATTCGCGGAAATTATGTCCGATTACTTTGTTAATAAATTTATAAAATCACAACTAATTATCGCACACGTTTCGAACTTCACACAATGAACTAGTCTGAACTGAACTAAATAATGTGGGTAGATTTGATTTTTAGAATTGAATGGATCTGTGTTAGGCCGAGTACTTTTCAATCCACCCTCGTACTTCGAAAAGCAATAAATACATTTTTAAATAGTAAGTTGTGTCACTTCCTTGATTCCCGAAATTTTCAGTGCCGCCCTCGTACCAGGCTTTTCCTTCTAACATTATGTTTTCTTTTTATGATCTATACAACGTTTTAAAAAAACCCTGTTGCGTGGGGATGTCATTAAATATTATTTTTTACGTGGTAGAGCCATGCTGCAGCTATATTACTAGTATAGTTGTACCACGAATGGGTCGGCTCGACCGGGAAAGGACCATGCTCTCACAGAATACCAGCGTAGAATAGCAGCCTAACGCTGCTGCGTTTCATATGGTGAGTGTAAAGAACCGAAGACCCTTTTTACTGGAAACGAGGCATTCCATCTTAGTCCTCACGGATGACAACGCATCTGCATTTTGATTCGTAATCGAGGATAGATGTAGATGTCTATGAACCACAGCAATCACTTACCATCAGGTCGACTGTGTGCTCGTTTGTCACCCCAATCCTATAAAAAAATTGATTTAATGCAACTTTGGCCAGCTATTAAGCAATGGGCTATTACAACCTGTCATTCTTGATTATCTTAATCTTTCAATCTATCACAGATCTGTATCTGTATCAATATTCTGTATACATCACTTTGGTATAAATGGCCCTTTTGAAAGTATCATAAGAGTTTTTTTACACATATTCATGTTGAATAATCTTATTAAATATAAACTCACGGAATCATCGGCGCTAGTATCGTCATCATCTTGTTGTTCATCTGTGTAGTCAAGGTCGAAACCGAGATCGGATGGAGATTCCCATGTAGGACTCAGAGATCGCCATGCTAAATCAAACAAATAAATATTAGGTTTCATCTCTTGATTGCCCATAAAATGTTTTGGATAACAAATTAGTTTCGAGCTATGTGCATATTATCATATCAGTATCCTTTGTATCCAGAGAGCAGTTTTAAAAAATTTGATTCAAATTTTCTCGTCAAATTCTTTTTATTCTACAAGTATTATATATTTTTACCTTGAGGGGGTGAAGTGTTTATGGCGTGTAGAGCGTCGGCTAAGTACGACAACAGTAAGCACGCCGACTCAATCTGCGGAGCGAGAGCACCATCAACTTGGCCCTCTTCTAGCTTCTCCAGAGTTTCGGGACTGCTGAGATTGTCCACACTAAGCGAAACAAAATATAATGTGATATTTTATGTAGATACAGATATTCTGACTTACGGCTGCAATTAATGAATTAATAAATTGATTAAAATTAAGAATGCAAAATTAGCAGAATACACACCTTAATAAATAAAGAATTTCGACCCTTTTCCTAATAAAATCTTAAGAGCCAAACAACATTAAACAACAGCATTGTGTGTGGGGGGAGGGGGGTGTGCGTGTGTGTGTGTGTGTGTGAGGACGAGCGCGCGTGCGTTCGTGTATGCATCCGAGTGTGTATGTGTGACAGTAGAATGGCACTGACCATGCAGCGAGCCAGCCGACGGCGGCGGGGAACAGCAGCTTGTGGTCGGCCCCGGAGTGCGCGTCGGCCAGGCGGCACAGCTCGCGCAGCAGCACGGGCGGGCAGCCCTCGCTGAACACGCCCACCAGCGCGCACACCATGCGCGAGCTCACCTCCTCCTCGCTGTCAACACACTCTTTTACAATGCAGCCTACTATCTGAGTCAACATATATTATTCAAATTTTACCTTTACTAATCACTACAAAGTTTTTCAATGAGACTACGCAATCGCTTCAATAACTCCATACAAGACTTTATGAGAAGAAACAACAAGAAACACAAAAGTAGACTATGCTTCTAGTACAATAACCGCATACCTAAGTAAAAAATGAGCGTTCTAAGAAATTTCATTATGTCTACGCATTCAATATTTCAAATAATCATCTGAATAACCCGATCTTATTAAAAAAAACATTACATGAAACCTTGAATCATGTAAAGTAAAATTGGTAATATTTCTTCATGAAACTCATTTTTGGTACTTGCTAGAAGTTCAAAAATAATTGATTCCAAAACTACAGTATAATAAATATTCTTTTAAAACATCTTTAAATGAGTCCCTTGGTACATTCTCAATATCAAGTCACGGATGCTCACATTAATTATTATCTATAAAACATAACATCATGGAGTTTATCACTCAATCTATTCCTACCTACCTTCCTAACTCATTCAGGCCTCATTTTATGCCTAGTCTGTCTGGATAGGTACCATTATGTTTTTATTTGTACCAGATTTACCAATTTTATGATGAATTAATGAAATCTTTTCACTTTACTTAGCCTCCTTTATGTACGCATGTTATCAATATAATTGGTCTGCATATAACAATTTGCTGAACCAACTTTTACTAATAATATTTTGTTCGACAAAATGTTATCGATATGTGGATCTCACTAACCAGTGGTTTACGATGTGCCGACAGAGTGCAGAAAACAGAACCACATTTTCGTTATATGAGTCGGAGAGTTGTGGGGGTGGGGGCTCCGCTAGAGCCACACCCACACTGTCCTTGCTGCCATCCGACCAACTGCAGCTTTCTGTAACGATTGTAAAGTACTCTAAAATATTGTAATTTTTAAATTTCACATGGCAAAAAATATCATGACTCACATAAAGATCTTTCGCCATCTCAAAATAATCTCTAATATTATACTAATAATTTAATAATTAAATTTAAACATGCTTACGCAGATACTCAACATCCGTAAGGTACAAATATAATAAAACAACAACTCAAACTATCAACGTCAGCCTAAATACTGGTCACTGCTCGACTTTTTCTTTGTGTAGATTTAAAATAACCCTATCTTTGGAAGATTGTTTGTCGGTAGTTTGTTTTGGAGTCTCCATTTCGGTGAATCATATTTGCGGTGATTAATTTAGCATCTATGGTCACAAAATAGTTCTATAGCTGAATTTGATGGTACCAAGAAGACAAAATCCATGATCAAACACACAGCTTAACAAATCAAAATTAATGAAAAACCGTAATTGGAACAAAAACTGTAAACAAACCGAAATTAAGTCATTTTTTTTAAAACATAATTATTTTTTATTATATTAATTTACCTGAGTTGCCCGATTGTGGAGCAGTATCGGATTGGGTTCTTGGTGCTGGGGACCTGTCAAAATTTTAATCATTTAACACGCATAATAATACAATGTAATGCATGGATGATAATGTTGACTTCACTGATTTTGACCACATTTCCTGTGCAACATATTTTATAGGGCCACATTATACTCTTAAATTCTTCTTTTATTATTATTATTGGGGTTATCTATAAAGTTTTCTCATCTGGTTGGGCTGTTTAAATATATAATTATAAACGAACTATATAAACATACATAAATATCAATAAAATAGTATAAATACATAAAAAATACATAAATATATAAAAAAAACCCAACCAGATGGAAGCCCTCGGCAGGGGAGACCAAACGGCCGAGGGTTAGGGGGAAAGGGAAAGAAACCGGCGGACGATGCGGGCGGTATCGAGGAGCACCACCTTCTGCATTTGAGCTTGGAGCGGTCCGTCACGGAGTCCCAGTCGCCTCAGATGACCCGAGAGGCTAACTGGGATTAACCCGTTCGCAGAAACGACCACAGGAATAATTTCGGCCGGCAGACCACCCCACATGTCGGTCACCTCGTGAGCCAGGTCCAGATATTTTGTCAGCTTATCTGTTTCGGCTTTCACGAGGTTCTCGTCATAGGGAATAGTAATGTCGACCAAAAATATCCTTGACTGTGCCCGGTCCATCAGCACAATATCAGGCTTATTCGCAAGAATAGTCCTGTCTGTGATGATGGCCCGGTCCCAGTAGAGCCTGGCGCGGTCATTTTCGAGCACGGCTTCCGGCAAGTACTTATAATATGGCAGTTTCCGATCCACGAGACCGTATTTCAGAGCGAGCTCCTGGTGTAGAATCCTGGCTACTAGGTTGTGTCTGTGCAAATACTCAGAGTTAGAAAGCGCCGAACAACCGGAGATGACATGCCTAAGTGACTCACCGGGATGGCGACAAGCTCGACAGATGTCGACGGTGCCATCCTTTAGGATGTATCTCCGATAATTGTTGGTCTTAATAACCTGATCCTGTATTGCACAGACAAAACCCTCAGTTTCCCCAAAGAGGTCACTGAAACGTAGCCAGTGGAGGGAGGCGACTGTGTCTACGAAAGGCTCATGAAGGGCCTTGTAGAACCTCCCGTGGAGCTCCTTCTCCTTCCATACGGTCTCCCGGTCGGAAATGCTCTGTACTGCCGGGTCTTGCCATTGCTCGTTGGCTAAGGATAGAGGGGTTAGCCCTTTATCACAAGAAATAACGTCCCTATAGTATGGATCATCCGCTCTCGTCAGAAAGTAATTACGGAGGCTGCACACTTCGCGATTATGCATGATAAGCGCGCTTAAAAAGCCGCGCCCACCATGCTTTCGCGGCAAGTACAGCCTCATTACTGACGATCTCGGATGATGCATCCTGTGGGACGTCATTATAGTGCGGACTTTTCTGTCCAGAGCGTTCAGTTCGGTCTGAGTCCACCTGAGTATGCCAAAGGTATACATGAGAACAGGCATGATCCAACCGTTATATGCGTGCGTCTTATTCACACCGGACAAAAGGCTATTAAGCACTTTGGTCAAGCGTGCATAAAACACATCGCAAACTGACCGTTTCATACCCGACTCATCTACACCGATGTTCTGTGACATACCCAGGTATCGGTGTTTCAGCCTCGGAAAGGGTCCTTATGCTGATGGGCATAGATAAGTCTATGCCCTCAGAGTTAGCAACCCTTCCCCTTTCGACATGGAGGATCGCACACTTATCCGTCCCCAGCTCCATTCTAATAGAATTGCTAAAATCACAAGTGATGTTTAGCAATTCCATAAGATGAGAGCGACTGGAGGCGAATAATTTGAGATCATCCATATAGAAAAGGTGGGTCACTTTTGTACCTCCTCTCCGAAGCTGAAATCCCCTCCCGGAGCCCTCCAGTAAGGTACTGAGAGGGTTCAGAGAGAGGCAGAACCAGGTTGGACTCAAACAATCGCCCTGGAAGATACCCCTTCTTATCCTTATGTGGTTCTCCGCAGCCGTCATCCGCTCGCCTAGATGACAAAGGATCGTACTCCATTGCCCTATACACTGCCCGAGGAAGTCTCGAACTGTACAGTCAACCTTGTACAGCTCGAGGACCCTCTTAAGCCATGTATGAGGCACCGAGTCGAATGCCTTTTTGTAGTCTATCCAGGCGGCGGAGAGGTTCCGACGGTTGCGTTTAACCACCTTGCCAATGACCGCGTCAATGAGGAGTGGTTCCTTGGTTCCACGACCACCGCCCCGACATCCATTTTGAGCGCGCGACATCACCTGGTTTGAGTTCAGGTGACGAATAATTCTCGCGCTCAAAATGGATGTTAGTGTCTTGTATATGGTAGGCAGACACGTTATGGGGCGGTATTTGCTCGGGTCTGTGGAATCCCGGTCCTTAGGAACCAAATGAGTGATCCCAGTAGTGAAGAGGCTCGGGAGCGACTTTTGGTCGAGAGCCTCTTGAAATTGTCGGGCGAGCACAGCGTGACACACCATGAACCCCTTCAGCCAGTAGTGATGCAGTCCGTCGAGTCCCGGACTTTTCCAATTCGGGGCCCTACGGACCGCCTCAGCTACGTCATCCGGCGTTATGACGACGGGGTCCATGGGCGTAACATTCGCACACTGACTCACCACGACTTCCGTCCAAGGGCCGTCGCTGTGGTTTACGGGCTCTGACCACAGGCCGCGCCAGAATGCGATAGTGTCGGCCTGATTCGGTGCTGGGCCCGTTCCACGTACCATTGGTCGCTCCAGTGATTCATAGAGCCTCTTCTGATCACTCTGGAAGAGACGATTCTGGTTGAACCGTGTCGACCTCTCGGTATATCGCCGAATCCGCTTCCCCCAAGCAGCGATTCTCTGCTTCAGGTCGTCTATGCGCTCCGTCAGTTTTTGCGTTATATCCGGCTGGGACAAACTGATATTTGTCCCAGCAAACGCCATCCTGACGGTGCGCACAATTCTCGGCCTATTATTGCCTGACCTGAAGCTTATCAGTCTGCCGATAAGGGCCCTTGCCTTTGCGATACGGTCCTCAATCCTTCTTCTCCAGGCTGGGATGGCGCTACTTTGTCTAGTAGCGCGTCCAGCCGTGGGAACTTTGGCGCCAATAATGCGGCAAACTGCCAGTGCGGCGCCAAAAAGAATTGAGTCCGTCTCGCAAAGGTCCCGGCTGGCTTCCAAATAGGTCACCAGCATTGGGTTGAGAGCCCTCACGACAGCCCGATTCCGCTTGCTTAGGGGCATGCGCGGGAGTCGCGGTCGATTTTCGAGAGGCATACTGCGCGTTTCCAAAATAGCCTCTTCCAATGTACTCCTCATTTGCTCTAGTTCTAGTTCCTGGGCGACTGTTCCATCATCGTCTGAACCAACCATAACTGAAAGATTCACGGCGGCATCCACGTGTGCTGGTTGCTCTGCATTTTGTGGCGCCGCATCCTCAGCCGTAGCATTGTCATCCGATGAGGGTACAGCCTCACGTCGTAGCCGTTCGAGTTCGGTGCTATCGAATATGTTTGAGCGCAAGATATACCGAACTCGGTCTGCCAGGTTTTGCTCGGTGACGGTTATAGATGGCTCCAGCTCAGCAAAAAGTCGATGCATCCTAGCCCGATACGCAAAACCTCCAATTTCTCCCCCTTTCGCCCTAAAATACGCCCGCAATGCGTTGCTATTCATCTGCATTGACCAACGCATGCGGCGTACTCCACCAATGGCGGGTGCTGATTGCTGGGCCCGCGAAGACCCTGCCAACACCAAGCCAGCTGGTGGGGATGATGGATGCGAGGGGCTGCTAGGTGGTCGTGCAGCACCTCGCACTCGGCTGGCGGCCCGCATGCTGTCGCGTCCAGCGCCAGCTCCAGACGCGCCCCGGCGACCCCCAGGCAGCGGCCCTAAATGCAGTCTATTTCCTTCCATCATCCATAAATTGGGCGTCAATTAACGGGAGACGCCCAGGCCCGGCACCGTTTCATGATTTGGCCGAAAGCACAAACGGGCCCAAATTAGCACCCTCAATTCTGCCGAGGCACGGCGCTCACACCTCTTGGCAAGATGCTGACTGACTGCGCTGACGTAGCAGTTTTGTCACATAACCATTACGTCAGCGGGCGATGGGGTCGTCACTTCCCTACGCCTATTTATTATTATTATTATTATTATTCTATTATACCCTTATACATAGATGTTAGTCATATTCCTAATGCTAGATATTAAGCTATGATGTTTGGTATGGTTAGTTGTGAAAACGAGACCTGTTTTACTGGCATTCAATTTTAGTTATTAGGATTGGCTACATTTTAACATTTTGATTCTTAATCATAGACCGTTGTAGGACTGTATGAGTCACATCATCCACTTCACATCAGGTGTACTGTAAGCTTATCTATCACCCTTATTTGCATAACAAAATATTTCTGCCATTAAGCATCTAGTGTTGTGTCGATTTTAAAAGTACAATACACTTGTCTTCATAGTTTGAAGTGGGTTGCAGGTTGTCCATTGTCACCTTCTCTCAAGTACGCTGTTAATTTGTTTATCACTTTAATGTCGTAAAGAAGACAATTACTTAAATTTTAAAATTAATTTTAACACATGTGCTCACAGATGAATACAAATAATTCATGAAGAAACCTGCATGTCTAGAAGTTAAAAAATTGTGCATTATGCACATATAACTGGATAGTTCAAATTTATAAACAATGACAGTGAATGTTTTTTTTATAGGATAGGGTGACAAACGAGCACACAGTCCATCTGATGGTAAGTGGTTGCTGTGGCCCATAGACATCTACATTTATCCTCGTTTGCGAATCAAAATGCAGATGCGTTGCCACCCGTGAGGACTAAGATGGAATGCCTCGTTTCCAGTAAAAAGGGTCTCCGGTTCTCTACACTCACCATACGTAACACAGCAGTGTTAAGCTGCTATTTGACGGTGGTATTCTGTGAGAGCGTGGTCCTTCCCTGGTCGAGCCGACCCATTCGTACTACTAATATAGCTACAGCATGGCTCTACCACGTATACTGGCCAGGCAGACGTTGTTCTGCCCTTTTCGACGACCCTTCATATAAAAAATCCTTAAATTCGTAATAAAAAAATATTGAGCGTCACTCATCAGGATAAAAACTATCCTATCTCTCAAGTTGGACCAATCTGCACAGAGTGTTAACACAAAATTTCATTGAAATCAGTTCAGTAGTTTAGGGAGTTCATCGCGGACAAACAACGTACACGTAATTTTTATATATAAAGATAACACACATATTGGGTAATTGACACCATCATTAATAAATTAACCACATGTTTTGATTTGCTATTTTTCGTAATTCCGTAAAGCTATGTTCCATTTTATTTATAAGTATTTTTTTTTATTTCTAATATATTTTGTAATATAAATAATATGACAAGATCAAAGTCATTTATTGTTATTCCCATACAATTTCTAGAAAAAAGGTGTTTCGTTTTGGCAGCTCGTAAAAAGTATTTTAATTTTCGTGAGCAATATTGAAAAATGTTCAAGTGATATCCTTGTACCAGTAACATTGCAGCTGTTCACTGGCATACAGCAGTGTACTTGTGAAGGGCCGTACTCTGTATTAAATGATGATTATATTGTGTGTCAATTGTCGACTACTCCGTTTCTATTTTGAAGTGGATTAAAAAGCAACTATCAGTGCGGTGAAGTGAGGCGCTGTGCGCGTGTGTACTGACGGCATTTCGAAGACGGGCGGGTCGGAGTCGGCGAGCGGCGTGCTGCGGAAGCCGACCGCGACGGGCGCGGGGGCGGGCGCGGGGGCAGGGGTACCTGCCGCGTCCGGCGCGCACGACGTCGGTGTCGCCAGCTCCCCTTCCGTAGGCGTGTCGATCGCCGCGCCAGCGACGCCGTTCGCACAGGTATTGCCTGCACCGACCGATTACATGTAGAGTTACATTATTCACATTCATAATTTTTTTTAAAAACCGTGAACCATGTAATAGCAGTGTAAGAAAATCCACTACAACGAAACAAACAATGAGATGGACAGCAACAACTTCCAGATCATCATCATTACAGCCCTTCACAAGTCCACTGCTGAACATAGGCCTCCCCCAAAGAATGCCACAAAGCACGGTCCTGAGCCACCTGCATCCATCGACTTCCTGCATATCTTACCAGGTCGTCACTCCATCTAGTGGGGGGACGCCCTACACTTCGCCTGCCGGTACGAGGCTGCCACTCGAGAACCTTTCTTCCCCATCGGTTGTCGGTTCTTCGAGCTATATGGCCGGCCCATTGCCACTTCAGCTTACTAATCCGTTGGGCTATGTCGGTCACTCTAGTTCTACTGCGGATATCCTCATTTCTGAGTTTATCACGCAGAGAAACTCCGAGCATAGCCCTCTCCATAGCTCGCTGAGCGACCTTGAGCTTCCTCATCCGGCCAGCAGTGAAGGACCACGTCTCAGTTCCGTATGTCATCACTGGCAACACGCACTGGGTGTACAGTCTCGTTTTCAAGTTTTGAGGTATACCTGACGAGAAGATGTGCCGTAATTTCCCGAACGCTGCCCAACCGAGTTGAATCCGTCGATTGACCTCTCGGTCGAAGTTGGACTTACCTAGCCGGACTATTTGTCCCAGGTAAACATACTCGTCAACAACTTCGAGCTTAGTGTTCCCAACAACTACCGGCATAGGTGTGACATGGACATTGAACATGATCTTTGTTTTGTCCATGTTCATCTTAAGACCTATCCGTTGGGAAACACTATTGAGGTCATTGAGCATAGTGCTTAGGTCCTCCAGCGATTCTGCCATAAGGACTATATCGTCGGCAAATCGAAGGTGAGTGATGTACTCGCCATTGATGTTGATACCGTATCCTTTCCAGTCCAGAAGCTTGAAAACATCTTCCAATGCAGCGGTAAAGAGTTTCGGGGATATGACGTCACCCTGTCTTACACCTCTCTGCAATTGGATAGGTTTCGTACTCTGGTTCTGTAGCCCTACTGTACAAGCACTTCAACACTTCGATATACCGACAGTCAACTTGGCATCGCTGAAGGGACTGCAGCACCGCCCAAATTTCGACGGAATCAAAGGCTTTCTCATAGTCCACATACGCCAGACATAGTGGCAAATTGTACTCCTCGGACTTCTGTACAATTTGCCGAAGGGTATGTATGTGGTCTATGGTGCTAAAGCCTTTTCGGAAACCGGCTTGTTCGGGAGGCTGGAAGTCGTCAAGTCTGCGCGCGAGACGATTCGTAATGACTCTCGAAAACAGCACGTAGACGCGGCTCAGAAGGGAAATCGGTCTGTAGTTCTTCAAGAGAGCGTTGTCGCCTTTCTTGAAGAACAAGACCACCGCACTTCTGCTCCACGCCTCTGGTGTAATGCCACCATGGAGGACGGAATTAAAGAGCTTCTGAAGGACTTCAAGTACCGGTTTTCCACCCGCTTTCAGAAGCTCCGCTGTAATTCCATCCTCGCCTGGGGCCTTGCCGTTTTTAAGGTGCTGGAGAGCCATTCTAATCTCGCTCAGACTGACGTCCGGGATATCATCGGAATAATGTCGGATAAGACTCGCTCTTGGATCGTTACTCACACTTGCGTGCGGCTCCAACGATGACGTGTACAGCTGCCCATAGAACCTCTCAATCTCACTCAAAATCTCAGGTGCCCCGGAAACGATGCTGCCACATTCTGTCTTCAGCTTTGACAGTTGGCGCTTTCTGGCAGACAGATCTCTGGCAAAGACTTTGGAGCCTTGGTTCCGCTCGATCGCTTCTTCAATACGAGCTGTATTGAATTTGCGTAGGTCCCGCCGCATGCATTTGGAGATCTGTCTGTTCAGTTGCCTGTATGCTGTTAAATCTGTTGAAGAATGTAGCTTCATCTCCCGTCTAACAGCCATGAGATTAAGAGTGTGATCGGAGAGTTTTTGTGTTCTTCTGCGGCGGGTCTTGCAGAACTTAGCTCCGACCGCATGGACAGTTTCCACGAGCTTGTCATTCAAATCGTCCACTTCATTGCAGTCTTCTAGGCACTGAAAACGGTTTTGTAACTCGAGCTGAAAGGTTTCGGGACTTTGGATTAGAGCACGAGGGGGACGGAGCGTTGACTTCATTAGACGAGACCTCTCCAACTTAACGTTTAGGTTCAGTGTGCCTCTAACCATTCGGTGATCGCTGCCGGTTTTCACCCTCGCGATCACTGAGACATCACTGAACAGTTGTCGTCTGGTCGTCATAATGAAGTCAATCTCATTTTTTGTCGAACCGTCGGGGCTCGACCAGGTCCACTTCCTGTGGGGCCGCTTCTGGAAGAAAGAGTTCATCATAAAGAGTCCCTCTTTCTCCATGAAGTCGGCCAGCTGCTGGCCCCTTGGGTTCCGTTGCCCTATTCCAAATTTCCCTACTTTCAGCTCACCGTTCTCTCTTGTGCCTAGTTTTGCATTGAAGTCTCCCATTAACACCGTATATTGGGTTTTGGAGGAATGCATGGCTCTAGAGATATCCTCATACATTTCCTCCACCTCCTGATCGGGGTGTGCCGAGGTTGGTGCGTAAACCTGTATGACCTTCAGCGAATACCGTTTGGTGATTCTGAGTATAAGGTACGCAACCCTCGTCGACACACTCTCAATCTTTACAACGTTGTTAACGAGAGACTTGTGGACGATAAATCCGACACCTCCTTGGGACAGATGGTCGCCCTCCCGGTAATAGAGCAAGTTGCCGGATTCGAGGATTACCGTGTCCTCCCCCTCTCTTCGGACTTCGGATAATCCTATAATATGCCAGCGTAACTTGTCTATCTCTTCTTCCAGCTCCACAATCTTCTCGTCAGTCCTCAGGGTGCGTGCGTTGTATGTTGCCAGGTCGAGTCGTCGTAGGTGGCAACCGAACCTCCACCGGAGATTCTTAGCACCCCCTGCCCCGCCGTTACCATGGTCGCCACCGTAGCCAGGAATAGCGGGGCCGCCGGGGACTGGGGGCCGTTTATTATTGTCATTGCTCATGGGGGGTATATTGCCATAGTTGCCACGCTTGGCGAGCGGGTTGGCAACCGCAGTTTTTTTTTTTATTGTTATTTTGGCTATTATCAGGAAGATGCTGCTGCCCATCTCCTGCCTGTTTCCCTTTGTCGCCTTTTACGACACCCACGGGAAGATATGGGGTAGTGGATATTCTTAACCGCCACTACACGGCACTTCCAGATAACAGCGAGAAAATATAACACTGCAGTTTCCAATCACCTGCCAAGCGTTGCAAGTTTGAGAAGTATCCCTCTTGTTAGACAATATATGAGGAGACCTATATCCAGTAGTGGACTTGGATAGGCTGTAATTATGATTTGTGATGACGAAGTAAAAAAATAATATCTGCATACTACGTGTTCATTTCAAGAATGCCGTTAACTCCCGTCGAGCTTCATCACCCCGAGCCTCAAACGTCGCCCTTCTAATACCGATAGCAACGCTGAACTGTATCTACGCCCGTTCTTTGTAGTCCAGTGAGATCTCTAGTTTGTTACTGTTTTTGTTGTTAGTGTTGATTTTTGTTTCTGTTGACTTTCTTTTTACGTTCGTTAATTTGTTATACACAGAATGGAGTGATACAGAAACAAACTTTCATATCGATGAAATAACTGGTATCGAAATTATGGGTGCCTGCCTAAATATCTACCTACCAATTTTTGTTCGCACATTCGTAAATCATTCATTTAAAATGTATAATAAAACTGTAATAAAAGATATTTTATTAAATCGGACAAGTTCCGATTCACTGTTATTATTTTACTTTACTAACTAAATAAATTATTTAATAATAATATGCATTTATCCACTTGCCCTCCATTTCTCTATAGAGAGCAACAAACTAAAAATCGAACTTACAGTTAAAACATTTACAGTAATAGTTTTGTCTACGGTACCGTCTGCTGTGACGTCATAACGAAATGAACGCATAGTATCTATCTTCTGAAAGTGACATGCGTGTATAATGTAAACTCGGAACTATTTAGAACATGTCGGTCGTCAGAATATTTTTAAAATTTATTTTATTAAAAAAGATTAATGGCAATACTTCGGATATTATATCATTAAATATCAAAAGTAATAGCATTTACCATTTTGTATTTTTTTTTTGTAATGCCTACGACATATTTGTAAACATAATGTAAAACACTTAATTTTTTCTATTATTTCTTTTAGCGGCAGTGCTAAACTTAATGACATGGCCTATTTTTTATCAACCACAAAATTTTTTTATCAAACACTGTTAAACAAATATTAAACATAAGGCTGGTTTCACAGCTGTACGGGAGTCCCGTATGGGTAGCCCGTAATGCGGGAGACCCCTACGGGTAGCGCCCGCAGTGCTCTGAAACGAGTGTTTAGTACGATACGGGTTTAGTACGATATATTTGAAGCATTCCATAAACAGGGTTTATTTTGTACTGCGTCTATGACAAATCCCGTGTCAATTAATCGACTATCTCGATTGTACTCACGGGCGCTCCGCATTGCTGTGAAACGATGAATGAGCAGCGGTGCGCTCGCGTTTGCATGTACGGGGGTCCGGGTGCGGGACGCGGGTGGTGTTGTACGGACTCTACGCGGAGCGAGTCCCGTACGGAACAATCCGCGTCGCTGTGAAACGATGTTATAGCGCCTCACGTCTGTCTCCGCTCCGGGAGCCCGTACGGGACTCCCGTACAGCTGCGAAACCAGCCTAAAGGCCTTCCGCCTTGTAAAACAATTGCCGTAATCGCCATTGCCGTTAAGCCGACTGGAGTTTGCAATACTAACCGTATTGCGCCTTGACACTGCTCCACATTGCCGGTCCATGACGTGTGGTGGCAGCGTAAGTGAATCCATTACTCTATTTAATCCCAAGGCAACTATGGAAAAGACCAGAAAAACCTTTGGGTTCCGAGGGATATAATATACCATCCCGGTGTAGTCAGACGTAGAATACCAAAGCCAAGGACGAGAAGCAGCAACAAGGTGCGAGATGTCTGCCAGGCGATCACAAACGACTACAAAGTTTAAAAGATTATAAATCCTCCCTACAAAGGCAGAAGCCTATGCCCTGCACTAGACTTTTGAAGGCAGATAAATAAGAAAGAAGAATGCATGTATATTAAAATTTTGCGTTTACTTACCAGGTGCCGTTGAACAAATGTAGGAAAGTAAATTGGCCAAATTTTGCTGGTCAGCCAATCCAATAGATTTGCATACAGATATACAGAGAGATAGATTTAGTTCAGATTTTTCGCAGCACGTAAATATCTTAATGAAAAACCTAGAAAAATAATGAAATGAAGTGAAAAATATATAATAATTACACTGACATCAATAAAAAAATTGACAAACTTACCTTACTACTCTTTCTGTATATGGGCTCCTAGCATTAGGAGCCGATAGAAGTATTTTACCGAGAGAATAACCGGAGTCCTCACAGAAAACTGCTTCATATGCTTTTCTCCCAGCCAAACGATCCAAAATCTTTTCCCAGTACTTAATCTGCCAATGATACATAACATTTCATAGTTCAATTTATTATGCTATATAATGTCGCACACTTCATTTAATATTTCGGTTAAACATACCATATGACGTAAAGTTTTCTCTGTAGATGGCTGTAAATGGTCTACAAGCACAGTGTACGTGGTCTTCAAAATGTGCTCGTGTATTAATTGTTCCGCTGTCAACGTCTGCGGAACTAGTATGTTCAAGGTCGCATTCAACGGGTTTGATAAGAATTCTAGACGTCCATCAGTCTATAAAAACAATATTAGTATTGAAATAATAATATTTAAAGGGAGGCAATCGTTTGTGGCCCACTAGAAATTTTAACTTAAGGGGACTACAGGAGCTAAACGCAAGATTTATATTGCCTTAAAGTATTCAGTAAACTAAATCAGAAAAATATATGATATTTTTTAGTATATATGCTAGTTAGATAGTGTGATGAAAACATGATACTACTAATTTGATACGATAGAAAAAAAATATAAAGATACCTCTAAATTTTTTTTAACGAGTAAAAACCATACTAATATACATGCAATCATTTTGATTTTTTGTCAGAATATTCTACAAGCAACATGTTAACGTAATAGTGTTTTAATTTTTTAATAAAATTTATAGATTTTCTTTAAATCGCATTTTCTTATTTCTGAAATAATATGTACGGATGTGTGCTTAAACGCCTGTGTACCAACACTGCTGGCCGAAGCCCGATGCTATACAGACGTGTCGCTCTCTTTGCCGCATTATTTACGTAAAGATTGTTTAATGTTTTTGTATAATTTTATTTTTAAATTCATTGTTTCATATTCATAAATATTTTTCTTTTCATAAATATTCCTCTTACGTGTAAATATAAAATATTTTAAGTTTAGATTAATTTAAATTAAGTTGATAATTATAATTGGTAGATATTAGTTCTGCAGCATATGCTGTAAGAAAGATTAGAAGTCTCACAGATGTTGAGACAGCTAGGTTAGTGTATTTTAGTTACTTTCATAGCGTAATGTCTAATGGAATTTTGCTATGGGGTAATGCGACTGATATTGAAGCTATATTTGTTTTGCAAAAGAGAGCCGTACGGGCGATTTATAACCTAAATTGTAAAGAGTCCCTTAGAGAAAAATTTAAAGAAATAAACATATTAACTTTGGCATCGCAATATATTTATGAAAATATAATGTATGTACATAAAAACATAAATAGCTTTAATAAGAATAAGGATGTTCATACCTTAAACACTAGGAACAAACATAAGCTTGTAATGCCACTTACAAGACTCCACAGAATTAGTAATTCATTTATGGGGCAATGTATACGCTTTTACAACAGAATCCCAGAACATGTTCAAAGTTTGTCAATAAACAAGTTTAAAAGTTTTATTAAAGAAAAACTGTACAAAATGGGTTATTATAATATCAAGGAATACATGAATGAAAATAACCCCTGGGAATAAGGTGATCGCCACCATGCTGGTTCTATGAAAATTCATTTAAAATTGTATAAACAAAATTATTGTTAAGTGAAATTATGTTTAAAAAAAAAGTCCCGCTGGGTTTCTTGCTGGTTTTTCCCAGGACAGAGGTATTTTCCGAACCAGTGGTAAATAAAATAATGACTTTCAATAAGTATTATGTAATAATCCATATTGAATAAAAATCATTCTATTCTATTCTATTCTATGGGAAATAAAAATGAAACCCGTTACGAAGACTAAAAAAGTTCATATAACTCAAACGCCCAACATATGAACGATATTAAAAGGTAAGAACATTTTATTATTACTAAATATTTATTTTTATAACAATAGACTTATGATCTGGAAACGTAGTGTATACCTGAGTACCTGGGTTCGATTCCAGGAATATGAAGTCAAATTTTATTTTTTATTTAAAGTATTATGTATTTAGATAAATTTATTAAATATTTTTCTAAATAATAACAAAAAAATATATTTATTTTTATAACAATAAACCTATGAATTTACGAAACTTAGTGTATTACAGTAGCGCATTTTGTAGAATTATGGATTTGCAGTTTGCACTCGAGAGTACCTGGGTTCGATTCCAGGAATATGAAGTTAAATTTTCTTTTTTATTTAAAGTATTACATATTTAGAGAAATTTATTAAATACTTTTATAAATAATAACTAAAAAAAACATATTTATTTTTATAACAATAAACCTATATTTTGCAGTTTGCACTCGAGAGTGCCCGGGTTCGATTCCAGGAATATGACGTCAAATTTTCTTTTTTATTTTTTAGTTTAAGTATTACATGTTTAGATAATTTTATTAATTACTTTTATAAATAATAACTAAAAAACGTTTGAAATGTAATTATTTTTTACAGGAGAAAGAAAGTTGAAAATATCAACACGAAAGTTAGTATTTCCAATGTGTAAGTACCTACCTAAAACTTTTCTAAGCTACAATAACAATAAAAAAAAACTAAATATACCTAATGTTTTTGTTAAAAAACCACGGCTTTTTGATTAATTAACAAATAGGCATGACGAAATAACAGAATCATCTGTAAGAGTTAAGGTTTATCGATTTTGTTTATAAGTAGGAATTATAATTATGTATGAATGTTAGGTATTTTACTTGTAGCTTAACAATTTTTCAGAAGCAAATACAAAAAATAAACGAAATGCAAATTTTTATTTCGTATCTTGTGGACCATAGAACTATAATATTTAGAATTGACATCTACATAATTTGAAATATTCAATTTTTTGCATAGATTGGAAACAGTACCACAGGAAAATCATCATTGTGAAGTTATTGATATAAGTAAACTTTATCCATCGAAGCGTGTACTGGAAGAAGCCTATAGTACACAATTAATATTCATAACATCAGCAGCACGTTGTAATGTAACATGCCTAGCCACAATCACACACACACGCACACGCCAATACACACGCATACACAGGCACACACCCTCACACACACACACCCTCACACACACAGACACACATACATCCGCATATATTTCTCAATTTTATATTTAATAATTTGAAAACCAGATGTTGTTATTTTATTGTAGCACTTACTACTGTAAGTATATACTTACTTATTATATACCTACTATTACGGGGATTGAGACTGTTAATCCTTAACGCAGGTTATTCTGTAGCCTAGCTAGGAGAACAGAGCTACATCCACTAGATTGAATATAATATTTTATAGTAAGTACAAACGATGTAATATCCTACCCATATACTACAATCACTTTTATATAAATAAAGTTTATTACTATTATTATATAAATAAAAATAATTTAATTTTCATCGAATCAGTTTTATTTCAAAATCACCCACATCCTTAAATTTTCAAGTAACATTAAATTAAAAATATATATAATAATTTCGTTGTCCCATCTATTTCTTTGTTAGATCTTTATACCGGCGTAACTTCGTTAGTGTTAAACCTCACTGTCGTTAGATAGCGCTCACATGGGTTGTGTAAATGTGTGCGTGCATAATTCTAGGTCACTTGGCTCTTGTAGTCCTCTTAACTTAATTTTATTACACATAAAAAAGATACAGATTTATTATAGTAAACGACCTAAAGATTTTATGAAAGTCTAATCGGAATCATGAAATCTGAATAAAAATAATGAATGTAACGAAAAACGAACTACTAGAAGGATTTTCCATCAATCATCAAAGTACCTATAAATGCTGAATGTACCTACAACTTTGTTTTATACTATTAATAATTGACCAGTGCACTATTTTAATTTATAATACCAGTGAAAACTACTAGACCATCGCTTTTAGTTTCGTTTTTAGATTATTGTGATATTCATTTTTTCATTGTTAATTTCTCAGTATTTCATTTAATTACGCGATAATTTGTAGTGGGCCCATTCTCCATAGAAAAATAAGTTTTCTCCTTTGCTAGTTACAAATTTAAAATCACTATTCTATACATGGTTATTTTTCAAAGAGTAGTCAAATTTATTTTTGGTGTAAATAAATGTATTTATATTTAATGGTGATCAAAAAAAATACATTTTTTTTAAATGGTGATTAAAAAAAAATTCACCAATATTAAGTAGAATAAATAAAAAATTGTTTAGTTTAAATAGTCTTAATAAACTCACCAAAGCAGGAACAATCAAGCAGATTGCTTTTTTCATAAGATTATTGTTGTCAGCCAACTTTGGTGCACCGATTTCGAGCAGCTTAGCGGCAGAGTATGCTAGCATCATCAGGGAAGGTCCTATCGAGTACTTGCTGTCGACGGTTATAAGCTCACAGTGCGACGACACTAGACTTAGCACTACGCTCTCAGATGGGATGATATGCGATGTAAAGGCTGGCTGCAAATAATATTATAATGAGATTTAGTCTCCTTATAAAAACGTTTACTTAAAAGGCCAGATTTTTTAATGGAATTTGCTAATTAATAAGCCCAGATAATTTTTGCATGTAGTATTTTATTTTTTAGAATAAGCGTAACAAATGACCACACAGTCCACCTGATAGTAAGTGGATGCTGTTACCCTTCGACATCTACATTTATACTCAATTGAGAATAAAAATGCAGATGCGTTGTTACCCCTGAGGACTGTGATGCGATGCATCTCGTTTTCAGTAAAACGTGTCTTTGGTTCTCTACACTCACATCCAGCATTAAGCTGCTATTTTATGCTGGTATAAATGTGTAACTCAACCTACGCGAAAGCGATGCGGGTGCAGTGAACGTGATATTTGCGCATGGAAAATAATAGTAATGGAAATTGCCAATTTTTTTTTATATAGGATAGAGTGACAAACGAGCACACAGTCCACCTGATGGTAAGTGGTTGCTGTGGCCTATAGACATCTACATCTATCCTCGTATGCGAATCAAAATGCAGATGCGTTATCACCCATGAGGACTAAGATGGAATGCCTCTTTTCTAGTTAAAAGGGTCTCCGGTACTCTACACTCACCATACGAAACACAGCAGCATTAAGCTGATATTTAACGCTGGTATTCTGTGAGAGCGTGGTCCTTCCCCGGTGGAGCCGACTCATTCGTGCTACAACTATACTACTAATATAGTTGCAGCATGACTTTACCACGTAAAAAAATATTTGTAACGTTAACAGTTTTTGTATTGTTTGTCCATCATTTTCCATCAAAGTCACTTTCGCAGGACAATGTCGTACCGTTTTGCGATCATTCAATATTCGCGATGGCTTTCGCCGCTGCGTCGCACGTTCACATTGTGTAGATTGCACAGGACGGTGATTAAGCTAAGAAGGTAAGCTAACATACGTGGTAGAGCTACACTTTAGCTATATTATGGTTGTAGCACAAATGGGTCGGCTCGATCAGGTTAGGACCACGTTCTTACAGTATTCCAGCATCAAATAGCAGCTTACTGCTGCTGTGTTTCATAAGGTGATTGTAGAGCATCGGAGATCCATTTTACTGGAAACGAGGCATTCCATTAAAGTCCTCACGGCTGACAACGCATTTGCATTTTAATAGATGTACATAGATGTCTATAGGCTACAGAAAGCACTTAACATCAGGTAGGCTGGCGCAACAGGTGGACTCACGAAGTTGATGCAGGCGCGGTGCGGCGGCGTGGCGAGCTGCTCGAGCACGGCGATGGCGGAGGGCGACAGGGGCGCGCGCAGCCAGGCGCCGAGCGCCGGCGCGCCCGCCGCCGCGCCGGCCGCGCCGGTCGCGCCCCCGCCGATCACTGCCAGCCGCGCCGCGCCCACCGCGCGCTCCGCTACCGACCCACCCGCCTCCAGCACGCCCTCCAGTTTCGCGCCCGCGCTCACGCTGCACCAAAAATCTCTTTTTTTTAGTATTATAAAAAATATCCTCCAGACCGAATATCGGTCAAGGCGGCCAGTCTGATCAGAGTTTAACCGTCTGCACAGGTTAGTGCTAGAGTATGTGCGCAAGCACAGGTGCACTCTCTATTCCTCCACTTTCGTAGTCCGATATTATCCGGTATTACGTGCTTTCTGAGGCACGGGGGTGAATCGCTGCCAACTTTCAGACTCCAGACTGCTAATGAAAATTTCTTGACAAAAAAATCCAATAGCCCGACTTAATTTGAACCCGGGCCTCATGATCAGCAACCGCGTTTATGACCACTACACCAACAAGGCAGACAAAATAAATATTTTTACAAGCCATTTGCTTGTCTACTATCCCCACCTGCTGGTAAATGGCGATACAGACGAAAATGATAAAGCGCACTGACTTAGTTTACAAAATTCTATTCACCCTTGCCTTGAACACACCTACATTATGATCGTATGGAAAATATTGTCGCTAGAATTCCTCGCTGAAATACTCTGTGACGTCAGCAGAGTATGAGGTGCTTTATTACACGCTCAACTTCACAAGGCACTTACTCACTCATTCGCTAGCCATGATAGACGAGCAAGTCGCAACTGCGGTTGTATTTTGCACTCTTACTCTTGAAGCAATTATGAGAATAATACAGTTTGTTTCTGCGACTAATACATCCTTAAACATCTAATTATCCACAAAACAATACGAAACGCAGACATACTTCTTTACTTCTAACTCTTTTAATTTATTTGAATTGAAGTAAGTCGCTTTGCACTCGCGATCCTGGCACTTTGACTCGGGTGCAAAAAACACATTACGATCGGAAGTGCACAAAGTCGAAGTGACTGTACACTTTCGTCCGAACTTCTATCATCTTTTTGATTAGTGTAAAGGTACAGTAAGTGTAATCCACTTCTAGGCATATACCTTCTCTAATTTCTAAGTGAGTTACGGAGCAGAAAATAATCCGCCACGCTTTATGAGTGCGTGACACTTAAAATTTCATTTCATATATACATTTCATTAGTGCCTTCATCGAACTAGGCTTGCTTCCGTAATACAAATTTTTTTACATCGTAATATATGTGTTTGGGTCTGAGTAACAGGTGAGTGAGTAACTGACCATAAGTAATTCAGAGCTGATTTGATACTACATCGGACACACTCCGTTGAGTGTCAACTAGTGTCATTAATGAAGTGTGTACTGCAATAGTGCTTTATTTATAATTATTGTGAACTTGTTAAAATTAGGTCAAATGCAAACCAAAATTTATTCAATATATTTCAAAATGTAACTTACCGACAGCAGTCAAATATAGTTTCCAAAAGCTCCAAGAGATTGGGCATGAACTGGTGCGCTTCTGCAGCCGACGTAGAATCAGCCAAACACATTTTAAGCCTCACTAATGCAGAATCGCAAGAGATTACGTCTAGGAGAGATGGAAGTCCACTCGCTGCAACGAAACCGTTAATTAAAAGGAAGAAGAGTAAATCCATAAAATCAAAAAATATACTTTAAAGTTTCTTCATAGATAAACTTACATGTGATATTTTGTTTTAAATGTTTGATGGTTTCTGAAGCAAGCCAAGCTGTGTATTTGATGTTGTCACAGGATGCACTCACACCAGCAAGTAGATTTTCAGCATACTAAAAGGAAAAAAAAATTACTTCATAAATAATAAATTATCTTAATACAAGCTTATGCATGTTGATTAATACGTACGTGATTTAGGGGAAAGGGGTATTACATGCATTTGAACATATTTTAAGTCTTATTCAATTCTGCTTTATTGCACAATTATGCTTGCACTGCTATTTGGCGGCAGAATTAAATAAACACAAAATGCTATGTTCCAGTCTTAAGGGTATAGAGAACCTTCGCTTAAACCATTTCTGGTAGCCTAAAATGCTTGTGTTAGAAGTGGTTCACGACAGTAGTCGAATGGCGGATTAGAACCCAGGAACTTTCCGAGTTCGCGGACCGCGCCATGCCATTAGGCTATTGACACTTCTAAGATATTTTTATTGATAAACGTATTATATTATTGATTAACAAATGCAAATAAATGATTTACTTAGCGTCTATTAAAATGTAGCGTTATTTAAAATAAAATAATATTTCTTTCATGGCAAGGTAAGAAAAAGTGCGAGGGAGATGGATATTAATCCATCTCGCTTCCTTATATCTGCCAAGGCTGTCTACACTACGTCAGAAGGGATTGTGACGGAAAAATCTTACACTTTTTGTCGCCTAGGCCCCATCGGCCAAATCCGTACCGTCCGATAAAGAACTTTGTTCCATAAACTCTTACGTACTTAACACTTGATAGCTCGTGATGCCTACCGGACGAAGCTACAGCACCACATCGTGCAATGTAATTCAAGATGCTCAACCACGGTATAACTCTCAGTGATGCGTAAGCATAATAGGCAGTATATCACTTATATACTTGTGATTTTATGCATTTTAATTTTTTTTTTGCGCGGTACCCTAATTATTTTTTCTAAAATAAAAGTAGCCTACGCTACTCATAATATTAGCTATCTTCCAGAGAAACTTCCGTCAAAATCTGTCCAGCCATTTCAGAGATTAGCCGGAACAAACAGACAGACAAATAAAAATTGTATTCTTGTTATAAGTATCGTATATACTTTCAAATGCATTTAGTAAAAAGCTGTAATTTTGACATTAAAAACAGACACTTCAATTTTATTTATTTGTATATGTATAGATTGCCGGCTTTAGGAAAGTGATTTTGTTTTAATAATAAATAACGAGAAAGTGAAGGTGATATTAGAAAGGATCTAACATAGGATAATTCTAAAGATAGTTCGGTAGTTCTCGAGTTATTTCTGTAACATGTACCAAAGACTAACAGATATCGACGATAAAAAAATTCATTGGACTTTTTTTAAATATTACATAGAGTGAAACTTAAACATTTCCAAGTATTTCCTCTTAATATTAATGTGCTTTCTTTACGTATTAGTGCGGTTTAAAAATAATAAAACGAATTTAATGAGAGCGGTGATTTCTTCACATACTAGTGCGGTTTAAAAATAATATAACGAATTTAATGAGAACGGTTGGTGTGGACCTTGTCTAATCGATAATAAAGCCCAACCTCTCTCGCTTTGCATTCGAGGTGTCTAATATGTAGAAATCAAATCTTACAATGTGGTGATAGGAAGTAGCATTACCAGTGCGAGGGTACGGGCTCTGCAATCACCAAGCCGCCTACCCAGCATGGTGTGTAGTTAAGTCTTTAAGGTTGCTGTTAGCCGGTGCGTGTACATGCGCACACTAACCTGCGTGTACATGCCCTGCTTGACGAGCGCGTCTTTGAGCCAGGGGTTGAAGACCTTCTTATTGTCAGCGCGCGGCGCCCACACGATGGCGTGCAGCGGCAGCGGGGACGCCAGCTCCGCCTTCGTGCCAGCCTGCAACTTATCCATGTGCGGTGTGGCCGGCGGCATACAGATCACCAGCCTGCAAACAAACGAACTTATTTTATAATACAATCTACACATTGCAATAAAATTTGATGGAAATTTTGTCATAAATCCTTTACATAAAAATATTTTTCTAGCCTTCTTTTTGAACGAAGAAAAGATGTGTGTGCGATGTGTGATGAGTGCGTGTTAAGAAGTTGACTCATTTAAACGTTAAAGTGTATTCCACACACAAGCAGCTTGCGATGGCTGTTTACCGCGGGCCGCGGCTTCAGCCGCTACAACAATATACCACTGGCGGCCTGGAGTGAAGCGCTATTCGCTGTGGTGTCTCTGTGCTACGATCGGACGTCAGTCAACGTGGCTAAACATGACGAAATCTTATTACTCTTATTAGCCCTTTTTCAGGAGATGAAAAAACATTTAGGTAATAAACCATCTCATATACCATCGCTTTCGCCAAGTATTTCAGCGATATTATCCATTTTTTTTTTGTTTTTAATCTTAATGTTTTTTTTTAATCATGGTCTGAAGTATCACAAAGTACTGGATAATTTTGCAATGTTCTATTAAAATGTTTGTATTTAGCGCCATTTTTCACGCGGTACAAGCGACATGTTGTAAAAATTTGCAACTGAGCGCGCTGTAGTCACTAGCTATGAGCATTATAATGTACAGACAATTATGGAAACGTCTATTTACTTTATAATATATAGATAGTTAGTTATACATAACGTTCATAACTGTCTATTTCCTATAACGATCGGCAACGCACAGAGTAGAGTACCTTTGAACCGCAACGATGTAATGTTGCGTTGGCTTCGAATGGTGATTCGTGATATTATTATAATATCACGCACTCGCTGCCGTACAAAAAACGAATGTTATGCCGTGTAAGATAAGAACTAAACTGCAGCGGGGCCCATGTTGAGAGGTGTAGGTGAGCGAAGCGAAATTCGAGAAATACGTTTATTTTTTCTTTTTCATATAAATAATTGTATAACTATATCAAAATGGCAATGTGTCTCTAATAAATCAATTTTAAACCTCATGCTATTTGTTATAAAATTCTACACTGTAAATACGGTTTTTTCCATATATTGAAAAATAACACTTGTTCCCCAAAATTTAAGAATTAAACTGCATTAATAGTTACGTTAATGTTAAAGTTTTTTTAACGCTGTTTACGTAAATAATTTTTTGTAAATACTTGTTGAAATACTCGTGGAAATAGTTTTTGTTTATTTAGTATTTTTAATTGTAGGATAAAATAGTTGAAAAAGTTTGATAATTTAATAATTATATATATATATATATATATATATATATATATATATATATATATATACGTTCACGCCCTTAGCTGCCCCGGTAAAGGTCGAATGGGCTAGGGCCCATAGTAGCCTCCTCGACGAGCAACAGAGGACGGGGCCCAATGGCCTATGGATAAATGTTCGAAAACGGCTGACAAATAAGCAAGCACAACTTACCGATTTCCGGAGGTAGGGTTGACCACAGGGTACCAGTCAGGTGGTAAGTGATGTGCATGTAAGTAGTGTGTAGTAGTGTGTACAATGTAACCTGATTTAACCGTTGAAGTCGGACTGCAGATCCACAAGCGCTGCTTCTCTCCAAAAGTGAGATCTCTCAAGGGGGGCGATCACCAAATAAAAAACTTCTGCTTTTATTTCACAATATTAGTTTATCAACTTCATTGTACATTTAATTAACTTCAAAGTCAACCCAATCAACGTTCATTGAAATTAAAACAAGTGACACTCGACACAAGTAAGGAACAGTAGGTCAAAGTTCAATATTCAATGTTCCGGGTTCACTTAGCACAGAATTACAAACATGGGAACGAACGCGGTCTCTTCTTGAGTCACAAAGTTCAGCGTTCTCCCGAACAAGCCAAATTCTTTCGTACGATATTAAAATGCCACAAAGCAACTAGTCGAATCAAATTAATGTCAATCAAAGTTAAGTTAATAATTCAAACCCAATACAAGTCTCCCGTCACGAAACGTACAAATCAGACAAATCAATTCGAGGCGGTCTACACGAGACCTAAATATTCCATAGTAAATTAGGCGCGCACAATTTACTCAAATTCTAGACCGTCAAAAATCTACACCGGCCGCGCGCAACCAACCCAGCGGTCGCAAACAATACTAGTATACAAAGCCGCGGCGTTTAAGTCACTGTCCAGCCCACCGGCCGGAATAACGGGAAGCGGCACACGCCCCCCCCCCCGCGGCGTTTACATAAACTCGATACCATCGGGTGACGCGCCGGGCGCGAATTATTGGATCCAAATTTCAAATGCCCATATTTGGGCCTAAACATATATATATATATATATATATATATATAATGTTATATATATATATAATTATATATTAATCAATTTGATAAATTATAAAGGCAAAACGTCGTTCCTACTATAATTGTTGCGAGGATGGATGCTTAGTGAGCAATTAAAAGGATTCAGATACATATCATTTTTTGAGGTTAGAAAGCTAAATTTATTTAATTTTATTGTTAGATAGGTACTTATATCGAAAAACTATTTAAGTAATAATTTAACTACAGAAGTAATACCTAAGTACTTTATCACAAAACTTATAGTCGTATTTTTAATTAGACGAAGTCAACTGACGTTTACTGTGTTGTCAGTTTTTGATGAAATAAAAATAGTGTTGTGACAAAGTGAATGATTGAAAAACTCCTGAATTAATGAAATTGCCTCGATTGTCTAGTGAATAGTTAGTGTGCTGAACTGCCGATATCGGGTACGGGGTTCGAATTTTAGTCGTGCTTTGTACATACCAACGAGTTTTCGACGACTATGTTCCTATAATATCTACCTATACTGAATACCGAGTGTTTTAAACATTAAGGAAAATATTGCGAGGAAACTTGTAAGACTGTCCTATTTTCAATACATCATGTAGTTGAAACTATAGATGTATAAAATATAACAATTATAGGTAGGTAATGAGAATAAAAAAAATCGCTTATTACATAATTTGTTTTTATTCATTATCAGATAAAAAATCATCACTATCGCTTTCGGTGACATTAATTAAAAATCTGTCAGTAACATTGTCAATCATGTGGTCGAGACCATACATTTTGTCTTCTTTTTTAATTATATGAGACACGCAGCTATTCCATTTTTCAGGTGTGATATGTTGAAGTCCTTCTTCAAAAAGTTTTTTTACTTCTGTCATTTTGAAGGTTTTGTTATTTCTTGCAACATATCCTTTAGCCTGCGCCCATACCAACTCAATGGGATTGAGCTCACAGTGGTATGGGGGCAGACGTAAAACAATTATCCCATGCTGCGCTGCCATCTCGTCCACAACATACTTATCGCAATGTTCTTGCTTGTGCTGCCGTACAATGTCTATAAGAGTAGCTTTAACCATTGTTGCTTCGAATGAAATATTTTTGCTCGTTAGCCACTCTAGTATTCTAGGTTTAGTCCAAGACATTTTAGGCAGCGATTCTAGTTTCCTGGAGTGGTAGGGGGCATTATCCATCACTACTACGGAATTTGGTTTTAGTTTTGGCAAGACCCCCCTAAACCACTTCTCAAAGGAATCGGCATTCATCTCTTGATGATAATCTTCTTTATTTTTTTTGGCTTCAAATATTAATAAGCTGTCTTCTACGAATCCTTCTTCCCCGCCTATATGGCCGATAATTAATCGTTTGCCCTTTCCTGAAGGCTGTTTTAAGCCAGTGGTCAAGCCATCTAGGAAGGCCTGGCGGGACGATAACACTGTCTGGTCAATCCATGCCTTCTTCGGTGCATGACCTTCAAGATAGTGAAAAATATCAATTAATTATTGAAAGTACAATTTAATGTAAAGAAAACAGAAAATTGTAATTACCTTCGTTGATCCAGGTTTCATCTTGGTAATAAATATACCTTCCTTCCCTTCGATACTCTTTAATTTTTCGAAGGTATCGCTGGCGCCATAGAATAATGTCCTGTCTGTCAATTAAAATGCTGTGTCTTGATTTTGTGACATATTTGAAATTTAAATGTTTCATAACATTTCTTAATGTACTCCAAGAAAAATTGGGTAAGTCTGGGTCTTCATTGACAACCTTAAGAATCTGTAAAGTAATAAAAATATGTTTTGAGTAAGGAAGTCTACGCAATCTAATACTTTGGTTTTACAAAGAACATTATGGTGGACACAGAATATAATGCAGTAGAAGGAATAAAGTTTAAGTTACCTTTATAATGGTGGGTGACTCATTTGCATAAAAAAAATTATGTACTTTTCGCCTTATAGCGGCAAAAGTAAAATCGTCTAATTTATCTTTGAAACTGTGTTTCGGTCCACGTTTCTCGGGAGACTTAAATTGTTCATTTTCTTTGCATTCTTTTAACACACTGTAAACTGAGGTCACACCAATTCCCAAAATGTCAGCTGTTTTCGAAACACATTCTTTTTTTTCGGGGGCCTCAATAGGTAATAGTGAAGCAGCTTTTTCCTCAAATACGTGTTTGTAGACGTTTTGTATCATAAGTTTTTCGGTAACGCTTAAAGCAATCCGTGGTCTCTTCTTTCTTGGAGACAAGCTTTGGCTTGACGTGCTTGGTTGAGGATCCATATCATTTGTACGAAACAATATAGCAACAAATAAACACAACAATTACCACAAACACAACGTAACGAAAAACTTAACAAAAACAATAACTAAACAGCGTGAGCGCAGAAAAAACATTCGTGCTATCAGACCAGAGGTTAGAAGCCGAATAACAAACAAAATGGCGACCGACGCGCGCAGCGTTGATCGGTGTTGGCAGTAGTCGCCGCGCCGCGCTTTGTAATAAAACCTCAAAAAACTGATTGTAGTTACATACTACTAGTAACTTATATCAGAGCACTTTTATACAATTTTATTGTAAAATAGAAATAATATTCTTTTATAGTTTGAAATGATTAACTATACACACTCATTGTTCATTCATCTGATTGAACGAGAACTGAACGCATCACTATTACTTTAAATATGGCAACATTATTTTACAAAGTGACATTAGCTACTGTCAGTTGGCTTCGTCTAATTAAAAATACGACTATAGTTGAAATTGACACTACCCAAGTACCTACTTACATACCTATACTCGCCTTTGTAATTAAAATATTTTAAGTTGTAATAGCACAAAATACTTTTTTTTTAAAAACCTTACCCCCACACTAGGATTTTTCCCTGTATCGTGGAGGCAGTTTACAAACACAAAGGACAATGTTTAAACTCGCCTAAGAACCAACATATATTTGACTAGTACCAAAATTCTTATCCTTAATTATGCATTAGATAATATTCATTAGATAGTAACGGACACTTCTGACTTGTGAAATCAAAATAAAAAGGACTTTTTCGATTTTGAACTTTGTACCTATTTTTTAATACTATTGTGCTTCGTGTATGGCTTTTTTAATACTATTGTGCTTCGTGTATGGCCTCCTGTGATTTGGCCACACGCACAATACCTTCACTCACATATTTCAAAAGTTGTCATAAACTCAAATATATTATGAAAACGTTTATATTTTAAAATATATCTCAGATTAATATATGACACAAGGAACTGGGGTACAGTGAAATCATCTATTTTCATTTAAAATAACAATACTTTTGTCATCTCATTGGCAAATCAGCATTGTGCCACGCAAAAAAAAAAGTCAAAAACGTTGACAGATGACAAGTCAAAATAGACGTCAGACGTGCTATTATTTTGGTTTCGTTTGAAAAAATACATTTCTGTAAATGTTTTAGGAATCTAAGTGCACTCTGTAGTTGCTTTGTTATGCGATAAGTTTATATAAATTACGAACAACGGCTTGAACAACGGATACGATGTTTCATAAACATACAACATAGCCTCAAAATCTCTATGATAACTGCAAATATCTAAGTTTTCAGAAGTGTCCGTCAGGAGTTATTGTTCTTACATACAATTATGTGTAATTTCGGACTTAAAAAGGTATTTTTTTTTCACTGTTGGTTCTTAGGCGAACATTGTATGGACGCAAAACATTGTCCTCTCACAAGGACAAACATCCAGACCCGGAACAATTATTTGCAGGCCATACAAATACTTGTTGCGTGCGGGATTCGAACCCGCAGCCCCCAGTGCAGGAACTCATTGCTAAGCCACTGCGCCACGAAGCCGTCAAATACTGAAATTAAAACTTTGTTTACAAGATTTTCAACTAAGTAGATTAAGATCATATTTCTGTTAGGAATGGTATTTCGGGTTTATTTGTTGTTTACGCTATCTACCATATACGAACGAACCAAGCATCGCGATTCCCGACGAATGGCCTTGCAAGTTGCATGCGTTGGGCATCACAGAACTCACATAGTAAATAATATGGTCGATTATAGTCAGCATAGGTACTTTACCTAAGTAACTTACCATTTCACAATGTATTTTTTTACTCTTTATTAACAGCCCTCTGCAACCACGGAAAGTCCGTTGTGACGTAGTACGGAGAAAAGATGCAAAGTAATACGGACACTCGCACGCAGCGATAAAGTTTTATTTAGCTTGCGTGCGCGATTTATCTGATTAATAATAACTCTGTAGGCTATTAAAACGTCGGCAAGCAGTCAACATCAAAAGGGTGTAACTTCTATAAGTAGTACTATTAATTTTCTGTGAAAAAAGCGCGTTTTAATATTTATAAAAACGAATTTAGTATTTAGACGACGTCAGGTATTTTCATTGGAACAACAAAAGATTGCTAGTTCTTCGATATCTGTGAACACTTTGGATGTCCCAGCCATTCCCGTCAGCACTAACATAAAAGATAACTTTTTGAGCCAGCCTTCGACGTCAAATGCAATCTCTGTGATGCAATCAGCTATACCGCAGTCTCAACACAAACAAGGAAAAATGGATGCCTTAATTGCTATAGAGATGTCAAAAGATAAAAAGTACGAAGGAAAGTTTATTTCAGCAACTAAATTAGTATTTAAATCTCCACAGCTTATGACTAGGTATATACGTTATTACTTATATTTAGTAGTTTACGTTATTTATAAAACACATAACGACACACCGCTAGTGGCCACCTATAGGCCTCACGCTCGCTCACACACGCCGTGACGGAGGGGGCTTGCACGCCGCAGGCCGTGACATGACCGCACGTGTTTGTAGATTCACTTACATTGCAAGGGAATACAACTGGCCGTCACTTCAAGCAACGCACCCCAAGGTATATACATATATATATACATATATATATATATATATATATATATATATATATATATATATATATATATTCTATTAATTATGCTTGACAATGGAATGACACAGATGGGCAGCAGCATCGTCCTGATAACCAAAAATAAGATAATTGCGGATGCCAAGTGTAGCAATTATGATAAAAGCCCTCCTATGAGGTAATTAAATATGTTTATTTTCAGCAGTAGACTTTAGTCTGCAATGGATTAATGAATAAACGAAGAAAAATATATGGTATAAATCAAGCAATTTTGAACACGTCTAATATAGCCTTATTCGTCAAAAGTATAATAAATTAACTTTAATCAATTAATTAGAAAATATTAAAATGTATTCTTTTATATGAGTTGAGTATATATTTCTTTAAAACAAATTACTGGTTTGAAAGAGTGTCATTATTTCTTATTTACCTATCCTTATAAGCTCATAAATTATATCTTTCGAGTTCACACCTTTAACCTTTGGCTTATAATGGTTGATATCACTCAACGACAACAAGCAGCATTCTAAAATAAATTTTACACACTAGTAAACTTATAAGTATATCAAATATAAATGCCCACAAACCTCCAAGCAGTTTGGAAGCAATAGTGTGCCGCAGCGACGGCGGAGGGCGAAGAGTAGTATTGAGGGTTGTCACAGATGCACGCAGAGTTTAGCAACGCCAGCAATGCGTCAAGAAGTAGAGGATACTTGAGCTTATGCGGCGTTCCCAGCACAAAGTTGCAGGCTAGACCGTCGAATTTTGGATTCTCCTATAAACAATATAACAATTAACTTTCTCACATTTATATTATGTAAATAATCTCGAGGTTTTTATAGAAGAAACACAAGAATGTTTTATTACATATACAGAAAAATATTTTATGAACATAAGAAAAAGGTAAAAGAAAAAACGAAAATTATATAAAATTGTTCAAAATAACCAAAAGCTCGATTTTATCTTTCTTTCATTAAAGTTAATAAGAAAAACTTAAATAATAAACATTGTAACAAAATCACTGAGTAAAAGCGTAATGAACATTAAATGATCTCAAATTTCTGATCGTAAAAATTACCTGATTGTTTATCTCAGCGACAGTCAAAGCGTAAAATTTCGGTCTCATTGAAGTCTCATCTTGTGAGAAGCGTCTGTATGCCTGTTCGATATATGGAACTTCGCAGTATATACGTGACTTGAGCTGCCCATTGTCTGTGTTTGCTTGAACAAGATAAATGGAGTCACCTGAAGGTTCGGCGAGGCCGGGTGCTATTACAAGGTTCCACTCAATCTGGAAATTAAAGAAAGTTAAAATATTGTCAAAGTATGTAACAATTATGAAATGGTTTAATATAAGGAGTTATATTATGTTACCTGTTGTAGTAATGGCTGAGGTGCATCATAAAGATGTCGCATGAGATACTCTAATAGGAGCATCAGTCGTGTAGTCAGCATAAGCTGATGCGGTGCCAAGGTCATAGCTCGCTTTCTGTCATTAATTGCCAAGGTCTCCACAACCTACAAAAATCATTATTTACACTCCATAATATGATTTTTTTTTTAGATTTTCAAATCATTGGCGATCCATAAAGATCTTAAAATAAAATTCATAGTATTTAAAACCATTAAATAAAGATGGATTATTCCGGTTTACAAAATTATTATTTTAACAAATTATAGGTCGCGTCATGTAAAAAGAACGCTGGCGGTCAAGCTGCGCATTAGGCGATTTAAAGGTCTATTTGGTGGTATGAGGTGCCACGCGGGGCGGGCGGTCACGCGCCGCATGCTTGCCGGTGCGCTATTGGTACGTCAGTCGACCTTTTCTGTGTCCACGTTACACGTTTTATACCTTCGTTCTTAAAATACCATCGCGCACAAAAGTTTTTAATTACAAAATGGTTTTACACAGAAAAGAGATAAAAATTATTTATGACATATATTGTTCTACGAAGAGGGAAGCTGATAATAATGCAGTTGATAATTTAAAACAATGTATGAAACAGACCGCAGAAGTACCAAAATGTTCCGAGTCTACAGTGAGACGAATTGTAAAAGGTTCAAAAGATTCGGAATTTCTTACTGTCTTCCAAATCTCGGCAAAAATAAAAGAATCAAACAAAAACCAATAACAGACATTGACTGCTTTGACTAGGGTGTTATAAAAAAAAATGATCCACAATTTCCACGTCACTGAAAAATAATTGCCGTTAAGTAGAAAAAACAGAAACCAATAGAAAAACTTTAATGGAGCAGTCACAAATTCGACTTCAAAGAATTGAATATCTGAAAAAGATAAAAAATATACAGAGGAAGAAGGACCTATCACTTACATTGATGAATCATATGTCCATAGTTCCCATGCGTCTCACCATTCTTGGACAGACGGTCCCACCAAAGGCATTAAAAACCTCTATCTAAAGTAGCCGCTTGGTCATAGTGCAAGGGTGGCTGGTGAAGCAGGTTTTGTGCCGAATGCTTTGCTGACGTTCAAAGCTGGTACTAATAATCGGCGACTACCACAACAACATGAATTCGGAAAATTATGAGCGGTGGCCCCGTACTAAACTGATGCCGAATTTACCGCCTAATTCAGTCGTGGTAGTCGACAATGCATCGTAGCACAACAAACAACTCGATGTTACTCCAACGTCCAATACAAAGAAAGCAGACATGCAAACCTGGCTCCGTCTAAAAGGAATTAAATTTGAAATAAAAAAACATACTAAAATCGGAGCTGTACAACTTAATAAAAAAAAATGCAACGAGAAATTTAAGATATTTAATATCGATGCCATATTAAACGAAGCAGACCATTTTGTACTTTGTTTGCCCCCATATCAACTTGACCTAAATCATATAGAAATAGCCTGGTCCCAAATAAAGGGATATGTCGTAATGGGAGCAATAGAATAGGGTAAATTATGCAGCAAGGTAAAGGAATAGAGGTCGATTATTGTAAAAGCGATAATGTGGTCGACATGATGAAAGAAACATTTATTCGATTGGGGATGATGATTCTGACTCAATTGCGGATGAAAGCTCAAGTGACGACAGAGACGACGATGAAATGGCCACCTCTACCACCAACACCGCGTCCTCATCTGGTTTTCAAGTCACCCAAGATAACTGAACGGAAGGAGTTTCTATACAATTTTATTTATTTGTAATTACATTAAACATGGTTTAATTCTATTTAATGATATTCTATCTATTTGTCAATATACCTACTAATAACCAATAAACGAAGCCGCGAGCAAAAGTCTAGTTCAAAAATAAAACAATAGGCTTAGTACTTTTGTGTTTGAGTGTACCCATGCGCAAACACACCCCCCCCCTCCACTTTCTTCTAACGTTCTTTTTACGCTTACGCTACGCTTACGCTACGCTTCCTATATAATATTCACTTTCATGCCAATCACTAATTCCCACCTTTCCATTCCGCCAATGTCAAAGACGCAACAAAATTTAAATACCATTACACATGAAACTGAATTGTATATATGGCAATCTATATGTTTATCTTTAATTATTTAAAGTAGTAATTTTAGTCCAATTCTACAGAATAATATACACAAATCTAAACATACTTACTTTTATAATTGCATTAGAGGTCATAAGAAGGACAGACTTTTTCTGCATTAATGTCAACGAATGGAATAGGTAAACCAGCAACTGAGCATGTTCAACATTCAAATCTGAAAGAAAATGGAGTTAAAATATAAAAAAAAACAATGTTAAGGCTGCCAAGTATAGGGGTGTCTTTACAATAAGTATAATCAATATAATTTTTTACCACAACAATGTTAATTTCAGCCATCATTTTTTTTTTTGCTTACATGTGATGTATTCAACTAGGATTCACATCCAAGTAAGAATTGCGCCACGGTAGATAGGTTATACTGATAAAATTTACTAAGCAACGGTGATAGATTAAGAAAATAAGTTCTTTTTTAATAGGTGACATACAAGCACACAGTCCAACTGATGGTAATTGGTTACTGTGGCCAATAGATATCTTCATTTATCCTCGATTACGAATTAAAATGCAGATGCGTTCTCACCCGTGAGGACTAAGATGGAATGCCTCGTTTCCAGTAAAAAGGGTCTCCGGTTACATTCACCATACGAAACAGCAGCATTAAGTTGCTATTTCACGCTGGTATTCTGTGAGAGAGGGTGGTCCTTCCCTGGTTAAGCCAACCCATTCGTAATACAACTATAATATAGCTGCAGCATCATGGCTCTACCACGTAAAACGTAAAATTTCATTACATACCTTCATAATCATGGTCCTGTGATGGCTGCGGCTGTAGTGCACATTCCTGCAGGGTATTAACAATCTTGTGCCACATCACAAGGATGCTGTTTTCACGATCAGCCGCTGCTTTGTTCAAAACCATGCTGCCCAAGAGTTTTACAACGCGCGGACCAACCTAAAAAATTGGCCATGAAATTATATAATTATGATATGAACGCGTGTCGTGTTTATTTTAAGCTAGGACCTTTATCATTCAAATGGGTGATTTTACTATAGGCAATTTAGGCAAGGCAGTCTTTTACCAAATAAAGCGAGAACTGTCCTTATAGGCAGGCCACATACAGTCTGAATTCCGTTTCAAAAAACCGTTCCGGAAAATCGATAAGGATTTCGAATACAGCAAATATTATGGTACGACTTTCCATTGACGTCCGTCGAGTTTGGTGTTGATACGTATTTTTACAGAAAGATTACATTTTTATAAACACACACACAAAGTTTCAATATGCGGAAACACGTACTTTTGAGAAAAAAATATTGAAAATCAAATATTTTTGCAATATTTATGTCAATTGCTACCGTGAAACTGACGCCACTTTTTATTATTATTGTCAATAGGGATGTCGATTCTTTCCGAAGAAGATCGATTTATTAAATAGATTCGAATTGTAAGCTGATCTATCGATTCCCAAAAACTCGATTTCTAAAATATCTATATTTTTTCATGTTTGCATTTATAATGTAAATATAAATCCATTTTATGAGAAAAAAATTCCCTTCATCATAAAAAAATAAGGGTACTGATTCAGAAGGATTTCTGTATTTATTTTGAGACTGCTACGTCTCCGACGCTGCGGGAAGAGCAGCCTCTACGCCTTAGCGTAACAAATCGCAGGCATACGATACGATACGATTTGTTACAGCAGGCGGAGGCTGCTCCCCCAACGCGCCTCCGGCTCTATAAAACCACTCTAGGGGTAGGACAGACTCGTACCAAGTGGAGTCGGGGTCAATCAATTCGGTTCTTTGACATAAGTTGAACCTAAACTTTTATTTGTTATGTGCCCTAATAGGTACTGTTAAAATAAAACAAATTTCAATAAGAGATCATTTATCATGGTATCTTTCTTGTTTTTCATAAAATGGGTTAGATTTACATTATAAATGCAAACATTAAAAAATATAGATATTTTAGAAATCGATTTTTTGTGAACCGATACATCAGCTTACGATTTGAATCGATTTAAAAATCGACCTTTTTCGGAAACAATCGACATTTCTATTGACGTCGACAGTGACGGTAGGATTAGACATAAACATTGGAAGAATAGTTGATTTTCAATAATTTTTTTCTCTAAAATTACGCGTTTCCGCATGTTGGAACTTTGTGTGTGTGCTTATAATAGTGTAACTTTTCTGTAAAAATACGTATTAACACCCAACTCGACGGACGTCAATGGAAAGCTAAGCCAATATGATAAAATAAAGGACCTATTACACAAATACATTACTTTTCCCGTTCGAATTTTTATTCGACTCGAAATTCCGCATGATTGCCTCTGTCTCTCGCGTTTGAAATCCCACACGGAAATAGTATATTTCATTACGAGTGCGGAAAGCCTGTCATTAAAAGAGTTCCGACCAATGTCTCCCCGAGCTGAGACGCAGCCGAAGGTGAGGGTTGACAGTCGGAACAAGTTGCAATGACGGTTCCGCACGTGTACTGAACAACTATTTTTAATACAGTTGCGAAAAAATGAAGCAATTTAATAAAGAACATTTTTGGAAAATGGCGCCAACCGTAAAAGAATATAAGCAAAGATTTTTTTGTTTTCTTCACCCATTATAGGTAGGCAAAGGGAACTATGCCCATACAGCCAAGTCTTCAGTAGAATTTTTTATTGATATGAAATGAAAATTAAATTTAATGAGATGAAATGAAATGAAACCTAACCTAAGTCATTGATTCAAATCATTAAATCTGATATTGAAACAAATTAGTAGATTCTTTTTAGAAATATTTGCATGAATCATAAAAACTCCTAAGAATTTTTTAGTAAAACTTCGTGGTTGGTTTTTTCTTTTTAATAGACATTATTTTGACAGTTGGGAAAGAGAACGCACGAGTTCGGAATAGGTAAAGAAAAAGCACGAGTATGTAATAGCCCACATCCCGAACGCTATACGTCCCTGCAATACGCCACTTTTTGAGCAACTGTATTAAAAAAGACTTCCATAGATTTTTTATGATTCGCATCACACGACCGAAGCGAATAGGTCTTTTTATGTATTTTCAGCTCCCGTACACGTGAATTTACGCGCGCGATGTATAACATTGAACACATAATTACGGCCGATGGCGAAGTATTTTCTTCTTCTTAAACAGATAAAGCAAAAACATCGTCGTCCATATTCGCTGACAGAATGTCTGGACTCAATGCCTAAGCTTACTCAACTGAGCCTTGTTATTTCGAAATAAATGTATGTATGTGTGTGATGTATTTACAGAATTCCGAATCGATATTTCGATATGTGGCGACTCATAGCGTTTGTTTCATATAGAATGTGAAGTGGGTAATAAGCGGTACCTGCAGCGGGGTGATGTTAGAGCGGTCCGGCGCAGGTGCGGGTGCGGAGGCGAGTGCGGGGGCGGAGGCGGGGGAGGGCGCGGCGGCGCCGGCCAGCTGGTGGTGCAGCGCGGGCTGCAGCGCGGCGAAGGCGGGCGCGCCGCTCAGGTTGTGCAGGTAGCGTACCAGCGCAGAGCTGAACGCCGCGTACAGCGCGCCCAGCCGCGCGCCGAAACACGACGAGATCGTGCCTGCACGCACGTAACGCTTATGCAATCTCACTAAAATGTGGCTGTACCTCAAAGACAAGTGTGAATAGGTTACTGTGATTGTGTCAGATAAAAACCGTAATACTAAAATAGATACACTGCTACTGGGCAGTAAAATAGCTAAGGAAATGCCAAAACTTATCGTGATGTACTCCTAGTAACAAAAGAATCTTTATAACCTAACGAATAAATGGTATTACTAGACATATCCCGTCATTGGGCATAAAGTTTAACCCAAGAGTTAATACGTTACTATCCATTGTCTGTTACATTCATTGACCTACTACTAAATGGACCTCAGGTAACGAACTCAAGTGTCCGAGCCAAAATAGTTCCAAACGGCACCAGTATTCGTTTTGTCGACCGACTTAATATACGTCCAAAATTCCTTACTGAATTGTAAAAATGTGCAAAACCTACTAAGGCAAAATAATAAAAGAGGAAGCCATATCAGATTTTTGATAACGATTATTAATATTTAATCATTCAAAATTAATATTTTGCTTAGGATACATATTATTTAATTTAAACATTAGTTGTAAAAACAATTTAAAGTTATTTTCATTAGAAGTTTCATAAGGTGAAAATAGTGCGACCTCTAGTCGAAGTTAAAGTCGAAGGCTGATAAATTGTCGCAAGTAAAATTGAACCGTTTTCTAATGACAATATGGATTGAATTAGGATGTAATAGTTTTTTATATATATATATATATATATCTATACCTGTACGTGTGTTTATATAGGTTGACTAGGGATACATTTTTCTAGAATTTTGTTCTAGACCCAGTGACAATAACAGAGTGCGGCGCAAATTTTGTGGTGCAAACACCTAGCAAAAAAACCAAGCATATTTATTGTAAGAACACGCACTCAAATACACATTTGCATACACATGGTGTCACGTGTATAGAAATAAAGAAAGAATAAAATGTGTGCGCGAGTGCGTGTCAACAAGTTGAGCTCTTTCTATTATGTAGTTTTCAAACAAGGGCTAGGGTAAGTAGTAAGTAAGTAAGCAGTGTGGTGGTGTACCCGTGTCAGTGCGCGCGGTCTCCCGGTCGAGATCCTTGGCGAGCGCGGCGAGCAGCGCCTGGTGCGAGTCTTGCAGCTGCAGCGCGCCCGGGCCCAGCCGCTCCGCGCCCTCGCTGATCAGCTCCGCGCTCAGCAGTGTGAACACCTCCGTCGCCAGCGCGATGTACTGCCATGCACGATACAGTCCCGTCATAGTACAATCGGATAGTTGACAACATGTTTTAAAATATTACTATACGTAGTGTTACGCGCCACTATTAATGTCTTGTACATGGCAACACTAGTTACACTAGCGCCCCCTAGTGTCGAGTAAATGAAAGTATTGCGCGCCACTATTAATGTCTTGTACATGGCAACACTAGTCACACTAGCGCCCTCTAGTGTCGAGTAGCAGAACTAGGAGAGTCGAGATCCTTCCAGAAATTTCGGGACCGATATGTACTCGAACATTCTAGATGTCGCTACAGTAGAAGGTTCTGGAAACTATCTGAGGCCCTATATGAGGCCGGTATAGACCACGACCGGGGCAGTATTGAATTGGCGATACAAGAGAATACTTCGAAGCGAAATAACGGCGAACTGTGTTTTATTATTAGTGTGATTTTAGATTGTAATTAGTGTTGTGTAATTAAAGTGTTAATTTTGGTAATTCAATCGGCAGTTTTTAATTGTCTCGAACCCCAAGTTCGTAACAATTGGTGTCAGAAGTGGGATCAAATATGCCGATTTTACCTAAAGACGACACGGAGGGTATCCGTACCCGAAGTCAACGCCAACAGGAGACGGACCAGAGACGATTTGGTAATGCAACGCCGCAAACGTCGGAGGGCCAGTTGCTAACCACGGAGGCTGGCCCGTCAGCAACTCCTGCATCTGCAGCACCTGACTTAGGTGCTCTGATGATGATGCTGCAGGATCAGGCTCGCCGACAGGAGGAACAGGCCCGCCGACAGGAGGAACAGACCCGTCGGCTGGAAGAGCAGCTGCAGCGCGGTATGGAAGAACAGATGCTCCTCAGGAAGGACCTTCACGCTACCTTCGGGAAAGAGATAAAGGAGGTGAAGGATAGGGTTGCTCAACATGACAACCGCCTGTCGGAAGCTGAAACCCGAATCGACCAAGTGAACAATCGGGTTGACAACGTGATGGCTGATGTGAAGAAAACGCTGGACGACCTCAAACTTGGGGATGGAGTTACAGCTCCCGTGGTAGCTACAACACCTTCGCTACGTGGATTCAAAGTGCCACCGTTCGACGGGACTTCTTCCTGGTCGGCCTATAAAATCCAGTTCGAGGCTGTCATGAAAGCGAACGGCTGGAATAAAAGTCAGGCCATGACTGCTCTCACCCTAGGCCTACGCGACCAGGCCTTAACTGTTTTGGAAGCGCTCGGTAAGGAAGTGACTTACGAGCAGCTCCTTGAGGCATTGGAGGCGAGATATGGCGATGCTCACCTGGAACACGTCTTTCGTGCGCAGCTCAAAGATCGCGTGCAACGCAGTAACGAAAACCTGCAGCAGTGGGCCCTTGAGGTGGAGAAGTTGGTTCGAAAAGCTTACCAGTCTGTACCTGTGCTCATTGTAGGGAACCTGGTGCAGACTTTCATCGACGGCATCCGGGACCTTGAAGTCAGAGCTGCTGTGAGGCTCGGGCACCACGAGACGCTTAAGGACGCCCTGACCCATGCACTGGAGGTGGAAGCCGTGCGGCAGGATCATCGTTCCCACCGCGTCAGGGAGGTTGCAGCAGCTACAGTTCAGGACCGCAATAAGGGCTACAACCCTAGGTGCTACGGCTGTGGGGAAAGGGGCCATCTTCGATCCAGCTGCCCTAAACGAACTGTAGAAAGGGAAGGTGATCGATCTCGAGAGGGTAGTGCGGATAATAGCACCGCCCAGCAGCAGCAGGGAAACGAGTAAAAGCCAGGACTGCGGGGCGGGTGCTGGCTGATGTTAAAAGAGCCCCAAGGATTTCGATCTCACAAACCCATGATGGGAACAGCCTAATCATCAAGGGCGAAGTCAACGGAACGCCGTGTAAACTGACCATAGACACTGGAGCCTCTCGCACGGTTGTCAGTTCCCAACTTATAAGTCGGTTCCTTGGGGACTCCGCATACAACCGAGAACGCATTAATTTGGTGACAGCCACCGGTCAGCGCATACCCGTCCGTGGAGGGAAGGAGATGGAGTTGAAGCTAGGCAACATGATCTACCTGCATAATGTCATCGTGGCTGATATAATGGACGACTGCATCCTGGGCCTAGACTTTATGAGGAAGAATTGTTGTGAGATCGACGTTAAGCAAGGTGTTTTGAAATGTGGACAAGAAGAACTTTTCGTGGAAGGGGCGTTACCAGGGAATGTGTACAGCCTTAAGAAGATTGTTCTTCCGCCGAGATCGGAAACGATTGTGCCGGTTAGTCTTCCTCGGAGTCCTGGGCAAGCTCATCGTTGTGTACTCGTGGAAAGGGTAGACAATGACCTTCCATGGAAAGTGGCTCGAACTTTGGTCAGAACCACCGACATCTCAGGAGTACGTGTGTTAAACCTTTGTGATCAGGAACAGATTATAGAAAAAGGCACATTGGTTGGTACTAGTGAGGAAGTGGATTGGTTGCGTCGGTGCGAATATCTATCGACCGGGACCCCTAGCAAGGATGGACAAACGAGAGTGACCACACTTTTAGAAGACAGTCGCAGCGTTCTCTCCCCGAATGAAATGGTCAAGGCGAAGAAGTTGTTACTCAATTACGCCAATGTTTTCTCGTCAAACGAAGCTGACATAGGAAAGACTGGCTTAGTTCAACACAAAATAAACACCGGACAAGAATTGCCTATTCGTCAGCGGCCAAGAAGATTGCCTGTAGCACGTGAAAAGGAAGTGGAAACCATGATTGAGGGAATGGTGAAGGATGGTGTTATTGAACCTTCATCTAGTCCATGGTGTTCACCTGTGGTGCTGGTAAAGAAGAAGGACGGCAGCATGCGGTTTTGTGTTGACTACCGCCGCCTGAACGACGTTACGAAGAAGGACAGCTATCCCTTGCCTAGAATTGATGACACGCTGGATATGCTCACAGGCGTAAAGTGGTTTAGTACGCTGGACCTGAAAAGTGGCTACTGGCAGGTTGAAATTGACCCTAAGGACAAGGAGAAAACTGCATTTTCCACAGGAAAGGGTCTGTGGCAATTTAAAGTCATGCCGTTTGGATTGTGCAATGCTCCAGCAACGTTTGAAAGGTTGATGGAGCTTCTACTTACCGGGCTAATTGGAGATGCCTGTCTCGTCTATTTGGATGACATCATCATCGTAGGCCGTACGTTTGAGGAGCACCTTCAAAATCTGGAACGCGTGCTCATGAAGATCCAGAGTGCCAACCTCAAGTTGAGTCCAAAGAAGTGCTCACTATTCAAACGGCAAGTTAGTTTTTTGGGGTATGTAGTGTCGGAAGAAGGTATCCGCACGGATCCAGAGAAAATTGCTGCTGTCAAGGAGTGGCCGGTCCCAAAAGACAAGACACAGGTTAGAGCATTTTTGGGTTTGTGCTCTTATTATCGGCGATTTGTGAAGAACTTTGCAGATATAGCCAAACCTCTGCACAAGCTAACCGAGGAGAAGCGACAATTCTGCTGGGATGAAAGTTGCGATATTGCATTCCAGGAGCTCAAGAACCGCCTGTGCAAAACACCTATTTTGGGGTACCCTGATGCGGGCAAGGAATTCATAGTTGACACAGACGCAAGTGATATAGGACTTGGCGGTGTGTTGTCTCAACGGAATGGTGATCAAGAGATTGTGATAGCGTACTTCAGCAAGTCGTTGTCAAAGCCGGAAAGGAACTATTGTGTCACAAGACGGGAATTGCTTGCTGTGGTAAAGTCCTTGCAGCATTTTAGCAAATATCTTCTAGGGCGGAAATTCCACTTACGAACTGACCATGCTGCACTGAAATGGCTATTGCAGTTCAAAAATCCGGAAGGACAAGTTGCGAGATGGATAGAACTACTGCAGGAATACGACTTTGTGATCGAACATCGCAGCGGGAAATCTCATGGCAATGCAGATGCATTGTCAAGAAGACCTTGCCCTGAAGATTGCAAGCATTGTACTAGGCAAGAGGGTAAGGAAGTGGTATCTGTGAGAATGCTCAGGACAGACCAGCTCAGCAATGAGTGGAAGGACAGCCTACAACATGCACAGCAGGAAGATTCGGACATTAAGCCGATTCTGGAATGGATGAAGGCCAGTGCTCCTAAGCCCAAGTGGAGCGACGTCTCAGCTATGAGTTCGACCACGAAAAGCTATTGGGCCCAATGGGACAGCTTGCTGATTCAGGATGGAGTCCTGTGCCGTAAATGGGAAAATGGTCGGGGAGACAGGTGTCATTTGCAAATGGTTGTCCCTAAGGCTAAAGTGCCGGATATTCTACAGCTGTACCATAGTGATTGTTCAGGAGGCCACCTGGGAGTTAAACGAACTCTCCTGAAGATCCGAGAACGGTTTTACTGGGTCCACTGTCGTGACGATGTCGAGGACTGGTGCCGCAAATGTACAAGTTGTGCGGCTGTAAAGGGACCTCAAATTCGTAGTAGAGGCGCATTGAAATTGTACAATGTTGGTGCACCATGGGAGAGGATAGCCATTGACGTTGCGGGGCCGTTTCCAGAAACTGAAAGTGGTAACAAGTATTTCATGGTAGTGATGGATTACTTCACTAAGTGGCCAGAAGTCTTCGCCATTCCAAATCAAGAAGCTTCAACAGTTGCAGATAAACTAGTTCATGAAGTCTTCTGTCGTTTTGGAGTACCTTTAGAGATTCACAGCGATCAAGGAAGGAATTTTGAGTCTCAAATATTCCAGGAAACTTGCCGAGTTATGGGTACTCAGAAAACACGAACAACTTCTTACCACCCACAATCTGATGGAATGGTAGAAAGATTTAATCAGACATTGGAGAGGTACCTAGCAAAAGTTGTGGAAAAACGGCAACGAGACTGGGACAGGCACATACAACCGTTTTTGTTGTCATATCGAAGCGCTGTTCACGAAAGTACATCAGTGACACCAGCTTTCGCAAACTTTGGGAGAGAATTGCGGCTGCCTGCAGACCTGATCACCGGAATACCACCTGATGCCCCACGCAGTATAACCGATTATGCAAATGACTTGCGGAACAAAATGAATGACATTTATGAGCACGTCCGACAGACGGGCCAGCAAACGTCTGAGAAGATGAAAACACGGTATGACCGCAAAATGAACAACAAGGGCTTTGATGAAGGTTCACTAGTGTGGTTACACAATCCAGTTCGCAGCAAAGGGAAATCTCCTAAGCTTCAAGCTAAATGGGACGGACCGTACCGGATTGTGACAAGGATCAATGATGTAACCTACCGGATACAGAAAGGTGCCAGAGGTACTCCTAAGATTGTCCATGTGGATCGACTGGCGCGTTATTATGGGGCCAATAATGCTCGGGACGAGCATGTCTTAGGAGGGGGCAGTGTTACGCGCCACTATTAATGTCTTGTACATGGCAACACTAGTTACACTAGCGCCCCCTAGTGTCGAGTAAATGAAAGTATTGCGCGCCACTATTAATGTCTTGTACATGGCAACACTAGTCACACTAGCGCCCTCTAGTGTCGAGTAGCAGAACTAGGAGAGTCGAGATCCTTCCAGAAATTTCGGGACCGATATGTACTCGAACATTCTAGATGTCGCTACAGTAGAAGGTTCTGGAAACTATCTGAGGCCCTATATGAGGCCGGTATAGACCACGACCGGGGCAGTATTGAATTGGCGATACAAGAGAATACTTCGAAGCGAAATAACGGCGAACTGTGTTTTATTATTAGTGTGATTTTAGATTGTAATTAGTGTTGTGTAATTAAAGTGTTAATTTTGGTAATTCAATCGGCAGTTTTTAATTGTCTCGAACCCCAAGTACGTAACAGTAGTATTACGAGTCGTGAGCCGTGAACCACAGCCTTGACATATCCCATAATCGAATTAAAAGTCTTTTTGGTAAAATATATATATATATATATATATATATATATATATATATATTCTGGTAAAGTAACATTAAAACAATAAAATAATATATAGTAAAGGTTTCGACCAATGAGTATCACTCATGTCGTATTTATTGGCAATCGTATTTGACTGTTTCAAAGACCTTTTTAATTAAATTAGGATTAATACTAATTTAAAATATACAAATTACATGCTGATTTGATTCACTATGAAATCATTTTCTGTGTAAAGTATTTTAATAGATATGTGTTTTCTAATTCCTTATTGTGTAGATTTATTTATTTACAAGTTAAGTCCCCTGATTACTGAGCCATGTAATTTGTCAGAAGTGAATAAAGAAATAATTGAATCAAGCTAGTTTTTTAACGGATTTTATCTTATTTAATTAACTTTTTTTATATTCCTGACGATTCAAGTACTTTGCAGCCATGGTAATAGGGGACTGAGATGTTCCACATTCCAACGTCATAGGTAAGCACGGCTACCTTCAATTTAAAATTATTAATTTTTGTTCAGATCTACGCTGAAAGGACGTATGTATATACATATAGTATCTTGAATCTTGAAGTATTGTAGTGGTATGCTTGGGTTGGGATTTGATTTTATTAATTATAGGATCCCCTGCAGATGGTACAACCCGACCATCTTATGAAAACTAGGATATTTCGCCAGAATAAATATCTACGGTGGTTTGGTCACGTAGAAAGAATGAACGAGGAAAAAGTGACAAAGCAAATTTATGTTTCAGAAGTGAAATGCAAAGTCGGGAAGGGACGCCCTAGACGAAGATTTATCGACCATATCGGCGATACATTGAAAATGGGCCAGTTTAGGAGTACCCTTAACCGACGAGCGTGTATGCGTAGATATATGGATGTAAAGGAGGCAAGGCAAGAGATGTCAGGATCGCGCCAAATAGAAGTCCGTAGTCTCCGCCTACCCCCCTGGGTGACAGGCGTCAGTGTTTGTGTTGTGTTGTGTTGTAATAAATAAAGAAGACAACATTATAAAGAGAACAGTAGCGGTAGTGGCAGGTGCTAACTGCTGACTGACCGAGTAGGGCTCCGCCTTGTCGGGCACGATGGCGTGAGGGCGCGCGGGCGCGTCGCTGTTGTCGTTGGCGTCGGTGCCGGCGCGCGCCGCCGCCTCCGCCGCCTCGGGCGCCACCAGCGTCGACTCGAACCACAGCCCGAACAGCGGTTCGCTGTCTTCTGGAACAAACGCTCTTGTCATTTATCATTCAACTAATATGTACAATAGAACACTATTATTTAATACTTATTTTTTTTTTGTAGGATAGGGGGCAAACGAGCATGCGCGTCACCTGATGGTAAGTGACTACCGCCGCCCATGAACAACTGCTACACTAATAGTAATTTGCGACGGCTCCGTGGCGCAGTGGCTTAGCAATGAGTTGCTGCGCTGGGGGGCGCGGGTTCGAATCCCGCACGGAACAAGTATTTGTATGGCCTACAAATGATTGTTCCGGGTCTGGATGTTTGTCCTTGTGAAATTTGTGTTTGTAAACTGCCTCCACGATACAGGAGAAAATCCTAGTGTGGGTGTAACGTTTTTTTTTTTAAAAAACAAAAAAAAAACAAAAAACAAAACTAAGAGAATTGCAGATGCATTGCCGGCCTTTTAAAAAAGAGTAGGCTCTCATTTAAAAAAAGAATTAAAAAAATTGAAAGTTATTTTTTTATTTACCACTGGTTCGGAAAATACCTGTCCTGGGACGAACCGGCAAGAAATCTAGCGAGACACTTTTTGAACATATTTCACTTTAGAATAATTTTGTTTGAACAATTTTTAAATTAATTTTAATAGAACCAGCATGGTAGTGATCACCTCATTCCCAGGGGTTATTTTCATTTATGTATTCTTTGATATTATAATAACCTTTTTTTATTATTTTTTTAATGAAACATTCAAACTCGTTTATTAACAAATTTTGTACATTTTCCGGGATTTTGTTGTACGTACTAGAAGAGACGCCTAGACGTGATTGTTTGCGGCAAACGATAAAACCCAGGGGTCTGTGACATAAAAAGGTACTCCGTGACTCCTGCCTCGCGCTCCGTACCGACGCACAGAGACTTTATTGGCGATATATGTTCTAGTACATAGTTCAATGGTTGTTACACCCACGGAGCAAATACAAAGAGGAGACGGCCTAAGCAACTGTGATCTGTGATCTAACTAGATCCTGACGTCATCACAGTGGGCATGGCTTTAGTTAGTATACTATCAACGTTCGTCCTGTGCGCTTATGTGTTGAAAATAGGAAATCATTGTTTTTTCGTAGTATTAAGAAGAAAAGGAAGAAGTGTTGCGTTTTATCATGTAAAAACTATTCGGATAGGTGCTCTGATGCTATGGATGGCATCACATTTCAAAGTTATTTTATACCTAAATTTTACATATTTATTAAAATAGTTCTAGAATAACCTCTTTGTGTCTGCTTTTAAATATAATTAAATATAATCGACATTAGATGGCGACACTTTGTGTCATGGAAACTAAAAATATAAAGGTACGTAGAGTTCAGTATTGGTAAAATAATCATACGAAAATGCTGAAATTTGTTTTGCATTAAGTCCTAAAGAATTTTTAATCCAAAATATTATTTTTATTATTTTTTTGTGAACATGCCACCGTCTATCGATAAGGTAGCTAAACTACATTGCAACATCGGTATGGAACGATGTGAGTAGTTTTACTATTTATCGGTAGATGGAAAATAGTTGTGGACGGGGCTTAACACCCTCTCACCCTGCAAATTGTCACGCGTTGTAACATTGTAAAATTTAATTTCACCTCCTCTTTGTATTTGTTCCGTGCTTACACCCGTCGTGCGATAAATCCTTTCCTGCAAATATTTATAATGTATATTTACCACGGGCTCGCTGGTGAAGGGATACATCACATCAATTCTTTTAGTAAATATAGGTAATGCTTATGCCCGGTTCCTACATTTACTCAAACAACCAAATAAACTACTCTGAAATTAAAAACAGTACATTGTGTACATTGAGTGTCAATAAACAAATACTAGCTTAGGTATTTATCTTTAACACTTAACTAAAATCCATCATGGACTTAATTAATATTGTATTAAACATTATACTTAAAGGCATGCTAAGATATACTTAACTATTACAATAACTTTTAGAAAGATTAGTAGGCATTTTTTGTTATAACACATTACCATCATCAGTTTCAGAGTCTTCGGAGCATAGAATCATGTCCTGGAAGTAGACAGTGGAATCGGAGCGGTCGGGATCAGCGTCCTGGTGCTGCTTCTGCACAACGGCGCGCTTCAAATTCGTTGCTTTACGATAACACACTACGCCAAGTGCTACCAAGAGCTAGAAAAGAAATTATAGCAATAATGATATATAATTATGGTTTTATAGCTTCTTTACCGTAACTGCTATAGAGTATATAACTTTTGCATAACGGCACATGTCAGATGGTGTTTGTCGGCTTTTATCCGATGGGACGGCAATTCGACACGACCGTAGAAAGATCAGGTAAAGGACCAACGGCTTGAAGTATTTCTCGAAGTGCAGTGCTGAAACACTGCCAACTACTTGATTCCAGATTGGGGACTTTTTGACATAAATACCATTAACTGATTTTCGGCACGACCCGGAACCACATGATCTGCAGTTACGCTTATGACCAAAGACCAACGAGACAGTGTTCAGTGAGTTTATACGCAATAGAGCTATGCTGTAACTATATTACGGCATATATTGTGACGCAAATGGGACGGCTCGACTGGGGAAGGATCACACTCTCACAGAATACCAGCGTAAAATAGCAGCATAATGCTGCTGTGCTTTGTATGGTGAGTATAAGAATTGGAGACCCTGTTTACTGGATACGAGGCATTCCACCTTAGTTCTCAGGGGGAACAACGAATCTGAATTTTGAATTTCAATTGAGGATAAATTAATGTAGATGTCCTTCGATCAGTGGATACTGACTTACCATCAGGTTGACTGTGTGTTCGTTTGTCACCCTTATTCTATAAAAAGAAGATCGGAGAGTAACTGTGTCGTGGACACTGATGTGTTTGCCCCCTTCCACAGCGCGCGCTGCGTCACAGTCGTAACAAACTCTTTGTTCTTTAGCTATTAAGTGGTGCAATTAAATTTTGGATGTAGATATGTAGTTGCAACACCAAACCGTATCCCCCGATTTTGTTATCATCAGTTCAGGGATTTTGTTAAAAATAAAATGAGAGAATAAATCAAACTAAATAACTTGCTAAAAATAAAAATACAATCCCAAGTTTTTGATGGTTTTACAAGATGGTGCCCTTCCAGTCATAAAAAAGTAAAAAAGACACGGTTATTTGTCAAATGTCATTTCTGTCAAATGATATTTTTATTTATTCTGAGTTTGGTTGTGTAATTCTGAACTTGTGAATGCGTTTAATTGTGGATTTCTTTGGCGATTTGGTTTTTTGTTTGGACTTTGGATCAGTTACTACTTGTTTGACTCTGCTTTTGTTTTATGGACTTAATGATTTATGTGAATTTTGATTTCGTTGATATCGGACATCTGTATTCTGTAGAATCACATTTTGAATCAGGAAGCAGGTATGTACTAAAGAAAGATGTTTCCTTAAGCTATTAAACGCATCTGAATGACATGCTTCTATCTGTAGTCTGTTAATAATTATTAATTTCTACATAAGTTCATAATGGCTGCAAAATCTTAATATGATGCAATTATCTTTCAGTTCACCTGTTAAAATATGTTGCACTGTTTAAAATGCGCTTCTGCAATATAGATAGTTTATTTATTAAAATAATATTGCTTTGTTCTAGATGGATGAAAATGCACCAATATGTTCACAATGTTTTGCAAATGTATTACAGTAATTATCCGTCGGCACAAATCTTGAAAATGAGCTCCAGCGCCCTAATGGCAATATTATCAGTATATTGTATGTTTGGTGTCAACGAAGACTGGGTAGCAGATAAGTTGTGAACCAATTAATATCATTCCAACAAGATTCTGTTTTAATAAGAGGCCGTATAAAATCTCGCCATCACTCGGGCAGAGCTTACATATATACTGTTGGCTAGACAAAGGACAAGTTGGGATGAGATGATTGCAGGTTATTATTGCGGTTGCACTTCTGGACAACAGATAGTGGGTTGCTGTGCCCACATAATGACCGTTGCCTGGTATTTGTGTTGGGCTCGGTATGAAAATTCGATAACCGCACCGGCCTCAATTCTGGATGGCATTTTAGTAAGAGAGGATTTTGAAGTAGGATAAATAAATAAAAAATAAAAAAATTAATCTGTTTTATTTATATTACCTTAAGTATCCAAAACATGATTGACCTAATGTTTCACTTTCTATAATTCATAGGACTGTTAACCTTTGTTAAGACATTATCCAAGCTCTAAATATCTGTCAAGGCTCAAGGCATACTCTGACACGCTGAGGACCTGTTATATGAAAATATTTGTACGCCGGAAACGGCAGAATATTTAGGATGAAAAATTTTTTTGTAAGAACTGTAATGTACTATATTATAACAAATAAATTATATTTTCTATGATTGTACCCTAGCACTTCAGCAGCCCAGATAGATACATATACCAGAACAGAAATTAGTATTCAGGATTATTCTGTTTATCCACCTTAAAATAGCCACAATAGTCTAAAACAAGTTAAATATATTCTTTATTATTAGTGCAATAAAGTAGTATCTCAGGTTGGATTTTTTAGGGTAGAGAAACGGAGTTACCCGCTATTCACATATAATCTCGGATTTTAGCTATCTGGCACTAAATTTTTGTAAAAACTAACAAAACGCCTAGGCCTCATTTCCTCATGTAAAACAAAAAAAGTCCTGGATGCCCCTGGCACTGACGTGTGCATTAAAACACCACTAATGAATGGAATGAAATAATTTTGTATGTAGGCACCGTTGATTTATCACAACAATCTTCTTGTCTGGAATTAGGTAGTACTTTTTACATTTGTTTTCTCCTGAACTGCATTTATGATATGCAAATATCAATAAGAACGTTAGTTGTTTTAAGACCAAAGAAGCACATACACAATCTATGATACACTTTATTCGTGTTTTGATAAAAAAAATACAACTTTATTGCCCTACATTCCTACTAGTTTCGAGACATTTTAGTTATTTTACATAATAAATCTACCTGATAGACTATAGGTGATATGAGTATATTTCAGAGATGACAGCTAACATCACATAAAAACGACATCAATCCGCCATTAGTGTTGCATTTCTTGGTGAGAATAAAATATTAATACCACTGAAATTAAGGCAAATTCGTGGATTTTAATGATCAAAAGTGGTTTAATATTTTATTTTAATTTATTTCCATACTAGTACAAAACTAGGCCTACGCTTCATACAATTTTGGACAGTCTCATTTAAAGGCAAATTAAAAAAAAAGTGAAGTGAAGCTACCTGATGCAGGGGCGCGGTGTGCGCGAGGCGCAGCTCGCGCTCGTGCGCGGTGTGGTGGTCGAGCACGTGCAGCGGCGCCGGCTCGGCGGCCGCGGCCGGCCCGCAGCCCAGCGCCTCCAGCCGCGCGTCGCTCAGCAGCGCGCCGCTCCACGCCAGCCAGCGCCCGCCCAGCGCCACCCACACCACACTCAGCCCTTGCTGCCTGCACACACATCACGCGTGCTACATTACATTCCCTACCGCTTAAAACAACTTTATTTCTCGTTAACATTATTGTCACTTACATCATAACGATGATGTTTACAATTAAGTGTTATGTGAGGGTAATATGGTCCCCTTAAGCTTTGCCGCCCTATAAAACCAAAACTAGGAAGAAGACAGTGACAAAAACACTACATCGTATACTATAACTAATATATTAAGAAAATAAACTTCTCAAAATCAACTTGAAAAAAAAAACTGTTAATGACTACATTTACTATACTGTCAACTGTCAAAATAGCGTCGATAACGCAACACCCTTTAAGCTTTTATTATTTGATTGACTGATGAAGACTTATCGCATTACAAAGCCGTCTATGCAAACAAGGCTGTAGTTTTAAGTAATAAGAAAGTGACCATATTAACCGGATAATCGTATAATATTACCCTCACGTACGCTATTACAAGTCTCGGTCGATCGTCAACCAAGAACCGAGTTCATTGCGTTCCTATATACTCTAAGGCGGTGCTCCAATTTAATTTTAATGCATAGTTACATCTTCATAAATATATTCAAAATCTTCTTTTAAAAATATTTATGGAAGTTGCTCCAATGCAAGACATTCCAATACAATTATACATTGTGTTTACATGTAATACAGTACTCCACGTCCCCCATTTCTCAGCTCCTCTCATGTTCCCTTCTATGCCCCTGCACTCGCCTCTTACGACATCCACCGGACGAAATAGGGTGATAAATTCTTATTATCGCCCCTGCACGTCAAAACTTCTTGAAGTATTAATCACTGTATCATAAAAGATATATTAAAGCCCAAGAAAAATAACTTGGAAAATCTCAACATACGTAAACTTTATGTTGTTTAAAACATAAAAGTTATTTTTAACAAAAAAACACACACATGTTCTTTTGTTTCTAGAAATGCACTGACTTTACTTTGTGCTACGGTTCATTCGTTCATTACACTTATTACAAACAAAACTCCATTGCTCAACATAGGGCTACCCGATTAAGATCCCCATAGGAAGGTATTTAAAATAATTGAAACACTTGGCAGGCGAGTTGGCAACTGCAGTTTTTTATTATTTTCAGTTGCTATGAGAAAGATATTGCTGCCCATCTCCTGTTTCAGTTCCAATTTGTCGCACTATAAGAAACCCACAGGATGATATAGCGAAACCCGCTAATACATAGTGGTGCGCTAGGGTTGCCAAAGTGTAATTAATAAAACTTACATTTTAGTCAGATTGTAAGGCCTTGATGGAGTTTTAGCAGGGCTCTTGCCCGGTGCCGACGATGGGTACGGTGCACCGGCGAGCGAGTGATGTAGACCACACAGCAGTACCCAGGCGCCGATCATAAGATGATTTTGATAAACCTATTATATCCATATCAAAACAAAATTACTATAGTAAACAAAACTATGTTTTTAAATATTTATATTCGTTTAAAATAGCTTCACAATTATTTTAGGACTTGAGAAAGGCTTTACTCATTACAACAGAACAGATAAAAAGAATAATATCGCATATAATAAAGAGTTATGATAGTTTAAAGAAAAGGTTTAGAAGTAACTTTTAAAAGAGCCCTCTAAACACGTTTAATTTAAATAGATGAGATGACGCATTAAGCGCAATTTAGAGAACTTTTTTTCAGCTTATTTATATTTATAATTATTAATAAATAATATTGAGACATTGACAATGAAGTCTGCCAACACGCACTGGAGCAGCGCGGCGGATTAATTAGTAATTACCCTATAACCCTCTCAGAATTTTGAGACAGCCTTGTACAAATGTAGTGCAGCCCGCTCACTAGATGGAGTGACGAACTATGTTCAACAGTGGATTTGGAAGGCCTATTTTCAACAGTGAATTTGTAAGGGACAGTAATGGTCATTATGATAAACCCTCTTAGAGGCCTGTGCAAATAATGGGATGTAAATAGACTGTATCTTTACTTGTTTTATAATAATTATAGATTGTAATCAAAAAGCTAAATCGAGTTATCATTACTGGTATGTTATAATAACGTCCTCCAGACCGAATTTCGGTCACGGCGGCCAGTCTCAACGGAGACTAGCCATCGGCGCAGGACAGGATTATAGTGCCCAAGTGTATGTGCCAGCACATGTGCATTCTCTATTCCCTCATTCTCATAGTTCGATGGGACGGTAAACCGACACGACCGGGAGAGATCAGGCGCAGGACCAACGGCTTTACGTGCTTTCTGAGGCACGGAGGTGAAACACCGCCAACTTTCTGACTCCGGGCAGATACTGAGAATTTCATGATGGAAAAACTCCAATAACTGTTTTTTTTGGCCCGACTCGGGATTCGAACCCGGGGCCTCATGATCAGCAGTCGCACTACTACAACCACTAGACCAACGAGGCAGCTGGTATGTTAAATAGTATGTGGAATTACTATAACTCATTTAGCAACGGCTAAGGTTTTTCTATGTAAATGTTAATTCTTTTGACTATGCAATACCATTTTTTTAAATGTATTTTATGGCCAAATTCTCAAATGCTACTCAATTATAAGATGTCATTAAGTCTCTTGGTGTCACAGTCACTTTGACTTAAAATGATAGAGACAGCACGAGAATTAACGGCATCTTAAAATTAAGCAGCGTTTGAGTATTTGGGCATCAGTTTCTTTTTACGCAAACAGCCAAATTGATAATAATTAAGTTTATTAGCTTAGTAAGCTTATTAAGATGGAAATATAGACCTGTAAACATCAGTGAAAGTACTACTAACAGCACTAATAGTACTAAGTCGTAGGAATAGGTAATAGGATGGTACCTACCTGACCTACCCAGACAGAGTTCTAAGCAGAAAAGTAGTCCTACAACTGAGTAGTATGTTGCTATATTAAGTGTAGAAATCTAACATTAAACTTACGTATCCACCAGCTCGTGTGGATTGTTTGAATGTTTCCCCAACAGTGTTGTATAAGCTGAGTGCACTTTCCACTAATGTTGCGGTCTGCTGTTCACTCTCCTCATCTTTCGGGTTTAGGGAGGCCTATTATGCAAAAATATAAATTTATAGCAAATAATCAACAGTTCTGTAAAGCAGTTTTAGCTTAAAAAGGGTATTATATACATTGAAATATCCTCTTTAACCTAAAACTGCTAATAGTTAGTACAAAGTGTATAAATACTATGAATTCTAATCCGCCTTATCACAAGATGTGGTTTATCGATAGTCTCGGGCAAAGAGTATATTATAGTCACTGCGTGTATTAGTCTCGGGTTTAAATAATGGTTTAAAATAAATCTTTTTCACAATCAGTACAGTCTTTGCAAAATTTGAGATTTGACTGTCAAATTCTATAGTTTACATTTTCGCAGGACAGTTCGCGACTTCTTTGTTCTATAGAATAGGACGGTATGGCGCCTGTAGTGTCATTTCAATCATTTTTTATAATACTAGCTGGCCACGCAGACGTTGTTCTGCCCTTTCCGAACGACCATTTGCTTTCCTAAAAAAAACTCCTGAAATTAGTAATAAAAAAATTGAGGGTCACTTATCGGGATAAAAAGTATCCTATCTCTCAAGTTGGACCAAACTGCACACAGTGTACAAAAGTTCATTGAAATCAGTTCAATAGTTTAGGAGTTCATGGCGGACAAACAATGTGAAACGTAATTTTTATATATAAAGAGTTTAAGTTTTAAATCATTCAAGAACAAAATGTGAATAATTGTCAAAATGTGAAAGTTCTATTTCTTTTAAAGTGTGCTTGTGGTTACCATCACTTTAATGTGACTAATGTGTTTTACCACTTAACAATATGGTTCTGTTATCAAATGAGTACCATTGGATGACATGTTATAGAAAAAAAAATTTTTACCTGAGCAGTGGCACACAGCAGCCACGCAGTGGCGACGTCGCTGATTGTTGCAATGCGGTCGGCCGTGAACGGCTCCAAACACGGCAGCGACAACGCCAATCGGCAGACGTGCACTTCATTCACCAGAAAATGGAGGCTGCGGATTTTAAAAACAAAGCTTAGATTTCAGCCTGAAATCAACAACTCTATTTTATTATCATTTGGTGATGACGTTCTTGAAAAGAGATAGAGAAAATGGCAATCAATAAAATATTTTTTCTAACTATTTTATATTTCTAAAAAGTTGTGAGATAATCATCAAAACAAATTATTTTATCAGTTTCGATCAGGATGTCAACCTCAGTCCTCCCATGACCACGAGCGTTGTAAAGTACTTGAAACATCGGGAATCAATAATAAGTCAAATATAACGAGAGAAAAACCGTAAAATATGTTTTATTCAATGTATAGCAGTAGTGCAAATATCTTATATTATCATTGAAGTTTCATTACAATTGGTTCATTCATATCCGAAATAAGCCCAGATAGAAAACAAAGCGGGCATAGACAAATTCTTTATTAAAGGTTATTCAGTGGCGAAGCTAGGGCTCTAAATTAGGGCAAGCCCAAGATATGGTTTTGTTGTTTTTAGCAGTTTTATAAAAATTTATCTTTTCTCTTTTTCGATTTTACCTTTTCCTCACCGATTAGCACTTTAACACACTTCAATTCATCACAAGGAACACCATTATTCTCCATTTTTACTAAAAATCTATAAAAAAGTATAAATTTCCAACTCAATATTGCGAGCTTCATTCGCTCAAGTAAACACACAGAGTAAACATTGGAATATGAAGTTGTGAAGAGAACTTTGTAAAAGCTTCTCATCTCCATACTGATTGCTATATAAACAATCGTAGTTATATTTCATTATAGAACATTTTGCCACAGGTTAGAAAGGCAGCGATTGTCTTCTCGAAAGCCCGGTAAAAAGCCAACGCGTGCGAGAAAGACTTCTAATCTCTCAACTGCGAGTTCGCTTTGAGACAGAGAGAACACGAATCAGTGTATTTCGAATTGAAAGCAATCTGCCAAGTGTTGACGTTACATAATAAGGCTACGTGGTCACGACCTGTGTAGAACAGAGGAGCGCGCTTTGAAACAGTTTACGAGTTATTTTATTAGTTGATATTATTGATGGCAAGCCCGGCTTCCCGGCTTCTATGGAAGCGTCGCTGCCGAGGTTATTTATCTTAATACTATGCAAATAACCTCCCCAGCGCGAAAGAAGTAAGTTATTTCGATATTACAGAGTGTCTCCCTGTCAATTTATTCAATTTTATTTATTTGTATGTTTGTAAAGATTAAAAAATAATAAGACCAAATCATGACATATTACTTACAGTGAGGCATCAGAGTTAAATTGTGGTGCGATGGCGGATTCCTTCGCCATTTGCCAGCGATTAAGATACCGCTGCAAGCATGGCAATGAGGAGCAAACCTTCAGCACAGTGAAGCCAGCTCTAAGCTCCATTAGCAAAGATGCACATGTTGATGCCACCCACTTCTGTTGAGGTTTTAAAACAAGCGTTAAAATATACAAATATAGCTTAACAGAGAATTAATTTTCAAAATTAAAATATCTGTACCTTCATATCAATGGATGCCTGTTGGTTAGCATTGGGTTCTTTAGAACTTTCTAAACTGTCTTTACTACCAGGAGACATGACCGCTGCAGCAGGTTGAACCTGTGATGTCGGCATCGAAGTGGCCGGATTCCTCAAGGGCATAGTTAATTGTTCTAGTAGTGCATCTGAACGGCGTTGAGTGCTAGAGGGCGCTTGTTTCTCATTGTTCGAAGTTTGTGATGCAAGGGATGTGATAGAACTTTGAATTACTGAAGATTTTGCTGTTTGAGTTTCTGAAACATATTATGAATAAATGAACTATATTATATATTTGCTTCTTTGTTATACCTTAAATAAAATGGTTACAAATAGCAGATTTAATGCTTAATGCCTTCTAGAATTATCTTCCAATGAACCGCGGGCGTATTTAAATAAAATTTTAAAATCGATTAAAAAACATAATAAGTAATGATTACTAATTACTACGCAAAATAATAATAATAGCGGCGATTTAAGAATAGCTACTACCACGTATACTACCCATGGGCGACAGGGAAACTGAAACAGGAGATTGGCAGCAATATATTCCTGATAACAACGCAAAATTATAAAAAAACTGCAGTTGGCAATCCTGTCGGCGTGGCAGAAATGGACAAATGTATAAAGCAGGAGACCTATATTCAGCAGTGGATTTTTATAGGCTGTAACGGAAGAAATGGATGGAACAATAACTACTATATAATTATGTAATCCGCCACGTTATCTCTAAACCTATGTGGAATGTGCTCCTCCTTAGCCCTTTCTCGCAACTTCTCCGTGCTGATAGCTCTCTTACTGCTATCATTGTAATATCAAACACAAAGTATTTTATACTTCTACTCATATTGAATAGTTAAATTTTCAAATTGTCATTTTGTTTATTATTTGTTACGATTTTTCGAACCAGTGGTAATCAAACAAAAGAGTGACTTTCAATTAGTATTATTTATAATCTATATTGAATAAAATAGGTTTCTGTTTCTTATGCATGTGATGTAAGTGTATTAAACAAACCTGATACATTAACATGTGCTGGCAACTTGGCATTCTTCAGCAAAGATGTCAATATTACTAAATCAGATTGAGGGTAACCGCCTCCATCAATGCCACACAGTCCTACTATCGGTAAAAGTAACTGAAACAGAAATATAAACAATTATTATTGCACTTACCAATTTTCAAGCAAAGGATCACATCAAAAGAGTGCCCTGGCTATATTTTGACGTAAAAGTTATATGATAAAAATATAACCATGGCATGTGAGTGTATATTAATTACCTGCTTGACAGAAACATTTGGAGCAGCAGTAGTAGTGGTGTTCTCATCATAGCTCAATCCAGCTTCGGAGAGCTTTTTAAGAATTTGTCGTAATATAATCCGGAATGCATCACATGCTGTGCTTAGTTGGTTGACAGTTACTAAAAGAGGTGTTCATAAATATTATTGGTAACCACATAAATTATTAATAAAAAGTATAAAACCTCACTACAGAGTTGTTATTATAAAATGTAGTCTATGAAATTTCACATAATATTTTACACTTTCGAGCCTAACACCTTTCCCCAACAAAGTGAATCAGATATCCACAAACACTTACATTTATTTAGTAATATCAGTAGTAGATATAATTACAGAGAATATTTCATTGCATGAGTATGGTAAAAGACAGTGTAAGATAGACTTGATTTCTTGGTTCATTTTTTGTAAGTCTATTATTAGTCGTCAGTAGTTGAAGATCATCTTGAGAGAGGACGAAAGAGTAATTTTAGTAACAAATACATTATCAAACAAAGATTGGTCACAATCCACAAACCAAGACTTAGGGATTAGTCGCTCTTCCATATAATATAATATAGTAAAATGTGCTTATTTTGTTCTTTATAAGCCAGTAGTTTTTTGAGAATAGGAGAAATCTAAACCCTTAACAACTAAAAAGTAGGAGCCAGGGTGATATGCATACCCATAGATACCGAGCATAAGCAGATCATTAATATGCGGCTGGAAAAGAGTAGCATAGTATTCCCTATGGAACTCTGGCTTTAGTCGTCATAGCGACGAACGAGCAGCCCTAGATGACGACGCCCTAGATGACTACTCAGATAGACAGCTTGCCCTAAAGGCTAGGCTAGTAATAAACTCTTAAAAGCCCTAAAAAGGACTTTGAGACATCAAGAAAAACAGCAATTGCCTTATATGTGAATTGCATATGTGTGGCGTCCCCATTAATTGATTTCAGCAAAACCCATGGAATGCCATGTGGTGGGCATTCAATATGAGCTTATAATCTTACATAATGTGACAGTATTTGAAATTTATCAATATTTGATAGGGTCAGCATGTCTGCCTTTTTTGGGAGTGGCTATATTAGAGAGCTTCCAAAATTGGAGCATTATTCCAGTACTAAATGAGAGGTAGAACAAGCATGACAATCAAAGAGATAACTCAGGCATACAAGCCTTTGGAACTATAGCTGGGCCACTATCTGCTGTAGGGTCTACCACAAGGTTTAGAGAACTTGCTTTTTGGTGATATGGGCCTCCCATGTATAGGTAATACAGAGAGTTAATTCAAATAGAACCTAGAATGCTGATATTTTGCATTTTATAAATTCCATAGGATAGGATAGGGAAGAAAGAGGATTTATATTTTTGCTTATTATTATATAATAATTCTATGAGATGACCGGTAGACTGTGTCCATTAATAACACACACGGAGTACATCTATCCTTAAAAAGTATAGTTCTTTAAGGAGCAACTATAAACAAAATTTCTGAAAACTGCAAATCCACGCAAACGTATTAACAGGTGGTCACTAGTCCTTAATACAAAAAATGTCATCTATCAGGCGTTACTTTGCGGAAATCCATTATAATGGGATTGTTGCTGCGGAGGCTGGATAAGCGGCCAGCTTCCGCAGTCTACTTCACCTGAGGATGCCTCGTGTAGAGGCGAAACACGTGTCGTATTTTCGAGAGTGGTGTGTCGTGCCTAGTGTGGTGGTGCTGGGGATGGTCGTTCTGGGATTGACAGCGACGGGTATAGTGCGCGCGATTGAGGGAGGGTGGGAGGTCCCCTTAAAACTGGGCAGGATACATCATTTTTTTTCTTTACGCTTAATTAAGCAAATTAGTTTATAACAACCCTATTAAAATGTCAATGCTTAATTAAATGTTACAAAAGGTTCACTTTAAGAAAGGAATAATCGACCATAGATCTAATGTATAAAAATTAATTGATAGAATCAGGCATTACTTTGCGGAAATCCATTATAATGGGGTTGTTATAAATTTAAGAGGACCTCCCACCCTCCCTCAATTGCACGCACTATACCCGTCGCAGTTAATCCCAGCGGGGATTAACGGCGACAGCCGGGGGGGGGGGGGGTAGTGCTGGGATTAACGGCTACGGGTATAGTGCGCGCGATTGAGGGAGGGTGGGAGGTCCCCTTAAAACTGGGCAGGACACATCATTTTCTTTCTTTACGCGAATTTAAGCTAATTAGTTTATAACAACCCCATTATAAAAATAAATTTTTGTTTGTTCATATTTTATGCACTGCCATACCGTTTATCAGACTGCAGTAAAAATTTGTCAACTTATTGCTTGCACTACCATGAAGGTTATAGGCACAGTACAATTGACTTATTGTAGGTGGCGCGCGCACATCGTACCAACAAATTTATTTAAAAGCAATATATCACTTAACTTCAATAAATGTATTATTTATATTTTATATTATTTTCCTAATTAAAGAATATAAGTCTTCTAAATTTGAAATAATATTTCTACAATTATTTTTTCTGCGGCAGCAACGCACAGGGTACCAGGTAGTATTAAAATAAGCCTTCTTCATGGGTTCAGCAGTGGACTTTTTAACAAAAATAATAATATAGTATCCTAGCTGTTACGAGTACTTATCCGACTACTGTGCCATTGTGCTTGGATTCAGATCCTAGCCAGATCTAACATTTCTGTTGTTAGTCTTCAGGTCAGCTTTCAGGGAATTACGATATCTCTAACACAACATCCTAGCCTACCTCTGATCTATCAATCTTAGCACATAAACATTGCATTGGTCATTTAAATTGGAATGTGTGGGTGCCTCCTTCCCTCCAAAGAGGGATGTTCACCATACACAACACTATTACATAATAGTCCAGGAAATGAAGCTATAAAAATGGTAAAACCTCGCAATTTTTTCGTCCAGCACCGATTTGTACAAAAATTTGGGATTAGGCTTATTTCACCCTCTAGTTCATTTTCTATATTGTGCCGTTGTACGCTTTTTGTTTTTTAGGGGTGAAAACGACCCCTTATTTTCAAAAATTATAAAATAACATTAAAAACCTAAATATGGGTAAAAAATAGTTAAATAATGATTGTTGCATGCTTTAGGATACAATTTCATAATCTTTCAACCTACCCTTGACAACATTGAAATTGTCAGAGCACGTGCTACTGTCTTCGAACTTTAAAATATACACTGGTGAGAAATCAACGAAATATACATTCACACACGCATACACGTGAGCAAATGTTTCTTTTTTTTATAGGATAGGGTGACAAACGAGCACACAGTCCACCTGATGGTAAGTGGTTACTGTGACTCATAGACATCTACATCTATCCTCAATAAAGACTCAAGATGCAGGTGCGTTGTCACCCGTGAGGACTAAGATGGAATGCCTCTTTGCGAGTACAAGGGGTCTCCGGTTCTCTACACTCACCATACGAAACACAGCAGCATTAAGCTGCTATTTTACGCTGGTTTTCTGTGAGAGCGTTGTCCTTCCCCGGTCGAGCCGACCCATTCGTGCTACAACTATACTACTAATATAGCTGCAGCATGGCTCTACCAAGTAAAAAAGTGGAAGTTCTTCTTCTCTGTCTTCCAATAAGAATCGAAAAAGTGGAACATATAACGTATAACGGCCGAATATACCGGTTATGTAGATTACTATGCTCCGAAGCGGGTAATTCGAATTTTTCGAAAAAAAAATTGATGGGTTTTTTAAGCATAGCTCCTTCATTTTAGGTGATAGAAATTTTTATTCAGAAACGATTTTGTAGGGCTTTTCAGGAAGACTATGTGAATTAAATTACTTAAGATCCCTTAATTTTTAAATAAGGAGAGTTTAAAGCGCTTGAATATGGTGTGATGTTTGATCGCAAATGTAGGTGTTAAGCGGCTATATCTCGCCGAATATTCACTGTAAAAAAATCTGCGCACAGGGAAATTTTTGTCATTAAAAAGGCTACAATTTAGTACTATATTGTTTCTTTCGTATCTTTAGTATTTTGGGAGATATTTTTAAGAAAATGGTTAAAAACACGAAATTGAAAAAAGTCGTTTTCTCTTTAAACTCCAATTTTTCTAAAATTAGGCATTTTAAATTGGTCAAACTTCGTGGGTGTATTAATAGTACATATATAAAGAGAATCACAGAAGGGTGGCGATCAATTTTAATTAGGGGATACTTTGGGGGTTGTTTTCACAGATTTTTTTCGTAGAAAAAAGTGGGTACCGATCTTATTTTGATCATAAGTCGGTCAATTTTCATGCTAGAGACATTTTTTTGTTTTTGTTTGAAAGCTCAAATTAAATACTTTAAAAAATATATTATGAGCTTTCTTCGAATAATGCAACTTTTTCTCGTTATTTCGCTTTAAATCTTCCAATTTATACATTTGACGAAAAAAGCTAAGCATTAATTTGCTGTATCTCAGTTCGTATTTGTCGTAAAAAAAATTATAAAAAAAGCATTGTTTTTGTTTTTTTAAAAGCTACAAATTGGCTCTTACACTTTTTTTGATAAAATGCATATCTTTAGAGTTATTCGCAAAAACCATTTAAAAAGGTCGATTTTTTCGTCAAAAAACTGTTACTTTCAACTTTGAATAACTCAAAAAATATTAGTTTTACGAAAAATTACTTTTTCCGTCAATTCCTATAGTTAAAATGTAATAAAAAAATTCCACTCCCGAGATGAGGTGGCAACCATCCCCAAGGCTCTAGCGTACAGCAGCATGATATAGACAATGATCCTTGAGCTATTCCCTACCTTCTGTGAAAATTTCAAGTAAATCCATGTTGAACGAAAAAATTGCGAGTCAAAATGCTTCATTTCCTGGACTAATAATGTTTTGCAAGCCATATGAATCATAGAATATATGGAATAATAAATGTGAATATATAGTTAAAAGTATGAGTAAAACAGATTATTTTTTGCTTTATAAACTTTTCCTTTAATTTTCTTTTCAAATAATGAAAACAAAAATATATTTTTTATGATATTTTCTTATAATATCATAGCCCATTTTTAATAAAACAATATTCATTCAATTTTTTTTATAAATAACTAGCTGTGCCTCGCAACTTCGCCCGCGTGGAATTTACTACGATTTCATGGATATCAA